AGCCAGAGCATAGGATCAGAAACCCCGCGCCTCTTACAAAAAAACTCAAGAGGATGACAGAAAAGCTTGATAAAGCATCTACTAACGGCATTATCTTCCAGAGCTATCAATTGAAGGAGGAAAGATGTCTTCTGGGTATGATATTCCCATGTCAGTTTCTATCTCTCCTCCACTAACAAACATATATTGCAGTTCACTCAAGGACCTTACGAAGGCGATCAAAACATCAGTGACAACTTCTACCCGTCTACCACTTCCCGATGATCTTGTGCGAGTTATTCACTCTTACCCTGAAAAGAATCCTACCCACGATGAAGCCGATTCCAGCAAACTACAGGAAGACCTGCTCTCCATCTATGAAAAAGACATCGCCGACCACCCTACCCGCTATGCCTTCTTCCTGTCCATATTGCGAAAACTCAGAACTTCAATCAAAGGGGGTGGCAGAATGTTACAATGGTGGGATAAACTATGTATACCAGTATTGAGTCATCTTGGAGAAGAGAAGGGATTGGCTTTGGAAGCTAGGAATACTCTGCTGGATATTCTCATTTATGATGAAGACGAAGGACATATCGAGGATGCGATTACTACTTCGGACACGGTGGCAGAGAACCTAGTCGCAATTTGGTTGGCAAAGAGTAACAGTGGCGTCATACTTGATGAGAGTGCGAGATTTATTGAGAGTCAATTAAGGGGTATACTAATATCATTCGGGAGGAAGAGACCAAAGGTATGTATATACATCGTTCAATCTAAAGGGGGGGGTGGAGCGCTAAGGAATTACAGAACTTCTTGACTGTCATCAACCGATACTTCGTGAAGAAAGACAGCCGAATCCTCACCCTTTCGTTGCTTTGCGAGTTTATCCGACATCAACCCCCTCATTTACATCAATTGCTTCAGACTCCTCTCTTCGAAAACCTTCTGCGATGTTTACAAATAGATACTTCGACTCGAGTGGTGTCATTGGCTATGACAGCTTTGATTATGTTCTTGCCACATGTTCCAAGCTCCCTTCCAAAACATCTCCCTGCTCTTTTCAATATTTATAGTAGGATGCTCTTCTGGGATAGGGAACGAAAGTACGAAGATCATCTGCCGTCTGATGACCGAGATGATAAAAGCACTCACAGTACAAGCTCTTGGACCAAATTATCTTACTTACTGGAATCAGAAGATGTATCAGTTCCTGAATTGTTACATTATTACACATTTCTTTACGGTCTTTATCCGATGAATTTCATGAGTTATATCCGAAAGCCTCAAAAGTTTTTGAGACATCAGGGATTTCCGGGAGCTAATGAACTTGCGGTTGAACCTATGGAAATCAGACAAAGATCTGAACCTTTCAGACAAGTCCATCTCTTACATCCGAATTTCTTCACAATGACTATTGATCAAGAATTATCGGATACTAACCGATGGATGAAAAGTGAAGCATCAGATGTTGTGACTGAATGCATGGCACTATACATTCCAGGATATGCTCAACAAGCTCCATTGTCAAGGTCACAACTACCAAATTTACATGTTGACACTAATCCCGACGTTCCAGATCAACCACTCACTGAAAACAACGCGACTACACCCGCTCAATCTCGACATACGAGTTGGAGATATGCTGCACCGGCTAGCATGGCATCACCAGAAGGACTTAGAAATTCGTTACTCAGAAGAGCTTCATTCACAAGTCAATCAATGCCTTCAATTGCGGATTCCCCTGTCTTAAGAGCCGAAAAACGATTTGAAAGTCCTACATTCCCTCCATTCATGGCTACATCACCTTCACATACTCAATTACAAGATTTGTTGGATTCTCAACGAGCTGGATCGATCCGGAGTGGTATTTATCAGACGTTAACCAATGAAAGCGTACAGTCTCTCGCACTGAGTCATCATGCCCAGGATAACAATTCTCATGTTGATTCATATCTGCAAACACTTGCCCGAGCACATGCTTCCCCTCGTTCGCCGTCTTTGAGACCTGGGACAAATGATTCGACCAAAATTGCATACTTACAACGCGATATTATGTTATTGAGGAACGATTTGAATTTTGAGCGTTATCTCAAACAGCAACATCTAACCCATATTGGTCAACTCCGCCGAAAAGCCATCCGTGAAGCCAGGGTCGAAGCCGAGACTCAGAACCTAATCAACTCGAATAAAATTTTAAAAGCAAAATTGGAAGATGCCAAGAAAACCATTGTACAAATGAAAACGGAATCCGATAAAAGTCGTAATCACTCCAGGAAATGGGAATCAGATTTGACGGCCAAGTTGAGACTGTTGAAAGAAGAACAAAAGAAGTGGACCCTTGAAGGTGATCAATTGAAGCGTGATTTGGCGGCCTCAAAAATTGACATGCACAATTTAAGACAGTTGGTCGTTCAGGCCGAATACAAGGTTGTCCATTCTACACAAGAGATACAAGTGGTGGAGTCAAATAAAGAAGAACTGGGAAGGTTACGCATCGAGGTCGAAAAGCTTACGACTAAATTACGAAATTATGAAGCTCGAGAGGTTGAAATGGACAAGGCGAAACAGGACGAAGAGCAAGCTCACAATACGATTGAAATTCTCAATACGAAATTGAAGGCTAAAGATGCGGAAATCCAACAATTGATTGTTCAATTCCAACGTGAAATTGAAGAAGCACAAAACGCCAAACAACTTAGCTCTACGCAGTTGGATCCTGCAAAGCAAAAGGCCATTGATGAGGCTTTGGCTGGATCACGAAGGCGTATGGAGGATATGAATAAAGCTCATTCTAATCTTTTAAAACGATATACTACTCTACAACAAGAACACCTCGAATTAGTCACAGCACGAGACAAAGTGTCTGATTTACCCATGAGTATTGATGGATCATCTGGAGCACAGGTTCCTCAAAAAGATCATCTTCGCTTAGCTCATAGTTATTCTGATTCGGGCAGACCAGGAAGTCTCATACCTAGTGCGGCATTTCCACTTACGGGTACATCAAGTTTTATTGCTCGCCCTAGGATAGATACCCATAGTCCAACATTAGGCCATGCATTCAGACCATCACCCACGAGCACTCCTGCAAGTCCTGATCTCTATGGGGGTAGATTTTCCCATTCCAATACCTTTGGTCCAGCACCTGGTTCTTCACATTCCGATGGAACAATGAGTAGAGATGGCAATATTAGTGATAGGGATTCTTTGGAAGCGATAGGGAAGCCCAAAGTCAAGCCACAAAGTGAAATGAGGGTTTATGGCCGTGGTGAGTACACTCATGTCTCAAGTCTAGCAAATGGGACTCTGGAGTCGAAAAAGAATGATCCTTTCCCTCTTGTGTTTTCCATCTCTTCGTATTCATTACCTGACGTGCAAACAGGAGGGGTCCAAAATATTGGGAAGTCGAAGAAGGATAAGGATAAGGATAATGGTAGGAAGGAGGGCAGCGGGAGTGGTGCAGAAGACAGTCCGAAGAATAGTCCGAAGGAAAAGAAAAAAGGCAGTGGGTTGAGAGGATTGAGGGCATTTGTATAGAGTAAAAAGTTATTGAGTTGATTGATTGATTGGATGGATGGAGTGCATATTGGGAAGGGAAGGGAAGGGAATATAAAAAATGGTGGTTGGATGGGATAGGAAAGGGGAGTTGGAAAAACGTACATAAAGTGCGGTCGCTGCCTTATTTTTGTTTTTATGGGTTGGTCAAAGATGATTTGATTGCTTCATCTGTTGACTGGATTTGGACTGATGGACTAGAGGCGTTTGGCTTGGGCATGGGAATGGAAATGGACATGGAATGGGTGGTTTGCATTGATGAAAAAGTTTGTAGATGTAAGTCTTACATAATTACATCCAATTGATATTTGCAAATACTACTTTCTACATACTACCCTTCTTTAAGTCATACTTTGCATTTTGATCTTAGGGATCTGTATAAGATATTTTTGCAATAATGATACATTGATACATTGATAAATACGCATTATCTAAAATCCGAACATCCTGGGTGTATTGAGTGTCTAGACACCCAATAAATATCTTCTCATCGCTTCGCTACAGACTCGGAGTATTTCCATAGTCTCCTTGACGCAGTGAGATTCAGTCACTGATACAGTACCCTTCCGCCCCAAGATTAATGCAACGAATCAATTCTTAGTCAATGCAGCTGACATTGTTAAGCCGATGGATACCGGTTTCCGAGGTTTGTTTTTTATGTTGGGCTTCGATTCCGTTCCACCAGTCCCAGTAAGATTATTTATAAGAATTGGGAGATAATTCTGTATCAAAGGAAAGGAGAAATGTTCTCTTTTGTAGAATAAATCTAGTTAGTCATTGTCGAAAGAAATTAAGTCAAGTTGCTCAACATTTGTTTTTGTTCACATTAAATATCGAAGATACCAATGTGTGTGAATTTGAAGTAAAATAGAGTTTAATTAATATAATAAACTTACATTTTTGGAGAGGGAAGGGAAAACATCTGAAGATTTGAAGATTACCGAGGACCGCATTTACCGATTGTAAAGGCGCTAGTATGACGTTTGCGGGTGAAGGTTGCCGGTATTGATTTGGAAGACTAAACAAAATTACTTCACTGCATTGCATTGCATTGCATACACACGATTTTAATCGATCGAATATCGAGTTTTTACAAAGTTTTCAAAGCGATCGACTTCCAAATACACAAATGGACTGTTGAGAAGAAGATTGGGACAACTGAAATGTGAGAAATTGTTATGGTGGATTGCATCAAACGAATGGATATGATATGACCAAGGATGCCTCATCGAGCTCAACGAATATATTTACAGGATATATCGAGCGGAAAGAGCAGAACGAGCAAAACGAGAACGGATCACGAGAGACACATCAGCGCAACGGACGCAACAGAGCCATGGCAAGCGCAGTCGTTGAGGCAAGGAGGAAGCCCGCGCCAACTATCTCTCCTACCGATGATGATACGGTAGTACTGGGGGAGAAGGGGGTAGCTATAAGAGAAGGGGAGAGGCTAAAGGCGACGGGCAAGGAGATTAGGAATAAACAGAGTTGGGACTATATATGGAGGACTGGATTAGCGGGTGGCTTGGCTGGTAGTGCGGTACGTATTCTCTATTTGCTATTTTCAGCGGAATCTACCTAGAGGCTCTACAGCACCGAAATCTAGAGATAGGGACATTTAGCTAACACAACATTCAACAGGCAAAAACTGTGGTCGCGCCTCTCGATCGAGTAAAAATCCTCTTTCAAGCCAGCAACCCTCAATTCGCCAAGTATACCGGCAGCTGGTTTGGCTACATAACCGCCATGCGCGACATCCACACGGACGAAGGACTTCGCGGTCTCTTTCGTGGTCACTCTGCAACAATTCTCCGTATATTCCCATATGCGGCTATCAAATTTCTAGCCTATGAACAAATCCGCGCAGTGATAATACCGAAACACGAATATGAAACTCCGTTTCGAAGACTTATAAGCGGCAGCTTGGCGGGCGTAACTAGTGTGTTTTTTACGTATCCGCTCGAGGTAATGAGGGTACGATTGGCATTTGAGACGAAGAAAAGAGGGGTGGGCTTGGGTGAGATTTGTAGGAAGATTTATCATGAGGTTCCTCCTGCGCCGAGGACATCTACAGCAGGATTGGTTGTCGGTGCAGAAAATGCAGTTCAGGCTATGGTACCGAGAAGTGGGCTCGCCAATTTCTATAGAGGGTTTTCGGCTACGATTTTGGGAATGTTGCCATATGCTGGAATGTCGTTTTTAACACATGATACCGCGGGTGATTTATTAAGACATAAAGCTGTGAGGAAATATACAACACTTCCTAAACCGGATCATTATGCGGAGAATAAAGCAGCGCCTCTTAGATCGTGGGCGGAATTATTCGCTGGTGGTATTGCTGGGTTGGTCAGTCAAACGAGTGCTTATCCGTTAGAGGTTATTAGGAGGAGAATGCAAGTTGGAGGGACCGTTGGAGACAGGAGGAGGTTACACATTGCGGAGACGGCGAGAATGATTATTCGGGAAAGAGGGTGGAGGGGATTCTTTGTAGGACTCACTATCGGGTATGTGAAGGTTGTGCCAATGGTGGCGGTTAGCTTTTATGTTTACGAAAGAGGGAAGGGGTGGTTGGGTATTTAGGACCAGGATACGGATAAGGGGGCTTCTTATAGATTCGGGAGAAAAGAAGGGATAGATTTTGAGGCTTTTTTTGTGCGGTTATTGTATGTTGTATGCTCTATGTATGTATATATGGATTCTTGTTTGGAAGGATGCCGAGATCGAATTATTGGAGGGTCCACCCACGACTTTATCAAAATCAGAAGTTTAGAATTAGAATTGGAAATCTTTCGTCACTTGGATTGGCTGGTTCTGGTATCAAGGAAGTGAATAGGAACCGAATTTTTGATAGATAGACCAAGTGGATCTTCTTCGTATCCTTCGTCCTCGTCTTATCTTTCCAGCGTACGAAAATTTCGATCTTGTAAGACTTTTGGTGTGGTACAATAGCGAAGTAATGCTTCATAATTCATCCCATGTTTTCAGCTGTAAGGTCACTTGCATGAAGTTTCGTTAAGATTCTTAAAGATGCATATATTTGTGTATGAGTGCAAGGCACGACATGATCAATTATCACGAGACGGGATAAGCAATGTAGCGTTTCTTGATTGAACCACTCTAAGCACGGAGGAGAATGGGTGGCTGCATGGAGTGTGTGGTTCTCCTGCGGTATGAGAAGTTGACGGCTGTGATAAGAAGAGGCTGGAGAGGGGTTGGTGTAAGATATTGGCTGGGTAAGTACAGCTCAAAGAGGAGGAAAATAACGGGAAGTTTGGCTGGAAGGCAGAGTGTGCGGGGATTTAAGGAAAGTTTTAAGTCATATGATTAGTGGGAAGTTTTGGCTTTCCGTTCTTCGATCTGCACTTAATCATCGGTTGGTTGGTATTTGTGAATCGGTATATTTCATAATTAAGAATTCTATGTGAGTATGTGGTAGGTAATTTATCTGCCGTACTTGTACTTTTGTACTTGTCCATACTTGTGTTTGTGTAATGACGGCCATCTTTATGTCTTCTTGTCTCGTGTATTCAGATGATTTTCGTTTTTGTATTTATGATCCGTTACTTACTTCTTTCTTGCCCTTATCCCGTCTCATCATTGTTCCCCACATCTTGTTTGCTGTATCGTCGAATTAACCTCGCTCTTCCTCTCATCTCTTCAATCAATATTCTAATCCTCCCCTTAACATAACCCATTCATCCAGATGCTCAGCCGAATTCTCTATCCCGCTCTTATTCCTCGCCCTCCGCTTTCCCCTCCTCCATCTCCTTCACATCCCTTACCTCCTTCTTCTTCCTCACTTACTTCATCCACAAACCCAAAATTCACAACAAGTCAAATAGCAACAATCCTCCTAACTCTTTCCACAATTTCCTCTCTCTTGCTCAGTTCCACATATCTACCGCTTATCGAAAGGTACATATGTAATACGTATACGCCTTCTTCCTCCTCTTCTTCCTCTTCGCCTAGCGCCTCAGCCAAACATATAGGAGGAGAAGAACAATGTAAATCACCACTTCTGCAATTCCGAATAGCTGAGATCATTAGAACTTTCCAGTTTCTATGTTATTTACCGGGAATTTTTTTGACAGAGTTTTGGGGGTGGGTTGCTGGGAGATATTGGGCAAGTGGAAAGAAGTTGTCCTGGCAGGTTCCATTGCATGGGAGGAAATTGGTCATTATGAGCGCGGCAGGCGGTGGTGTGGTTGCGGGGTGTTGGTGGGGGTTTCTTTGTAAGTTCTTTTATTTCGTTGTTTCGTTTTTACATGCGGCAATGGGAACGGAACAGGGAAGAGAAGCTAACAAAAATACGATATAAATAGGTTGGAACTCTGATACATGGGACATCAGATGGATATATATCATTCCCGTTTTTGATTTGTTGGGTGGAGGACACGTAATTATGACGAGCTTGCTGTATACTTACGTCAGTGAAGGGGTGGTGGGTGAGAGTAACGATGGGAATGGAAGGTTGTAAGTTTTTCCCGTGGCTCATCCCACGAAATCTCTATGCCAATATTACTTTCTTTACAATCTCGTAGACGTCTGAGTTATTCCTCTCTTTTACCGAATTGCTGACAGTTAAATCCAAGGTCTTCAACACTCTATCGCCTGGTTTCTTTACAGCTCTTTAGCAGTTTCAAAACCCTTTTGCTAGCAGACTTCTTGTTGAATTATGGATGGGGAATTTGGGTTATTTGTGCACTTGCGATTGGATGTAGGGTTATTGCTCTAGGAATGACGACGTTTTTACCTTCTGGGAAAGTTGTTGACTCACTTACTGACTTAGGACCTGAAGGAGGAAATACAGGTGCGGAAAGGGAACGATATGGAGATTTCATTTCGGGCTCAGAGGATAACGGCTCAGCCGCTTCAATAAACTCAACACACTCTGGCACCTCATTCTCATTATCTACCAATGTAAATCCCATGCCGCCACAACCGAACCAAAGCAATGGACTGCAAACTTTACTTCTACTATCCTTCTTTTTGGTCACTTTCTCACTCAGAATCCATATTTTCTATCCACAATTCACAAATCTCTCGCAAAACTTTTCATACTATATTACTCCCATTATTTATAGTTTTAGTTTGTTAGGCGCTAGTATCTTGTTGTACCTAATTTTCCGAATCCAAGAATACATGGAACGTAGAAGGAATCTGCGGATAGTATTCATCATCGGCGAAGAAAATGAGAATCCAAATCTCGGGATCAGGAGCCAAGCCGAGGGGATGGAAGGTATAGAAAGAAAGGGGGAGAACGATTCAAACATTCTAAGATGGAGTTTAATAGCTACTATAACGAGTTTAATACTCTTAGCACTTCCTACGACGAAGGGAGTGGTGTTTTGGATGGCGGTTGGAGCGAGTGTGGCTGGTAGTCCGGTACAAGTTGCTTTGATGGCTTGGGGGAGTGGATTGGTTTCTGGTCGGGGAAGTTCGACTAGTTCAAATATTTTTAGTGAGGAGGACTGTGGGAGGGAGAGGAATTTTATATCTGCTCAGAAAGTTTTAGGGGATGTCGATTTGGGCATTGATTCCGAAGTGAGTCTGATTAATGTGAAGGGAAAGGGAAAAGGAGAAGAAAGATCGGAAATGGAAAAGCTATATGTGAGGATGGGGATGATAGAACAGGTAGGAGCTTGTTTGGCGACGGTAGCATGGAGTTTAGGGCTTTCGACGGGAATTGGTGGAAATGAAAATGGACATGAGGGAACAGAAGATGGACTTGTGGACTTCGGTGATTGGGATTTTTGGGAGTGGATGGGTAAGAGGGGTGGGTTTTTATTGGCTGCTGGGTTGATAGGGTTAGTGTTTGTCATTGTGCGGAGGTTGGAAGGGAAGAGGGATGCGAATGGAGGTGGAGAGGGGAGGATTTCACTTCTTTGAAACTGGGCAATGATTTATGCATAATGAGGTTTTACACGCTGGGTTGAGGATATTGTTCTTTTGGCAGGGGCGATTGAACTTGATGATCATGGCTAGATAGCTACAGAGAGAGAAACGGACAAGAATGAGGGATGCAGGATCATACTTTGCCAAAATTTGGGGTAGAGGGGGGCTTAAGGAATAGTGAGTTTCACGAACTTGGTGGTTGTCGATTTTGTCTTTGCAAATTGGCAGGAAGGAGTTCAACTTGACAATGGCGATGAAACGAAATACTGGTGAATACAAAAGGCTCTTTTATCATGCCCACATAGAATCATGTAAGTTAAATTAAATTCCTAGATACCATTGTAAGTTGTTCGAACCCTCCTTCCTCAGATCTACGGCTTACTAATTTAATGGTGATGGTTATAGAGGAAGGAAGGGTCGTGACTTGTCGGTATAGCTACCAACCTTTATTTTATTTATATTTGTAACTTCGGGCTTTGAAGCATTCACCAATAACACACAACTAAGGTTCTGAATCCATCATTTTGGAGATCGCCATATTATTAAACTATCTTAATTCGGCTCAAAATTAGGTCGCTTAGCAACCCCATACAATTACTTCATATACAACTAATCAGCCATGCTTCTACTTCAAAAGAAGGATGTGGATACGGATGTTGATACTGATTATGAGTCACTCGTGATTGCGAAAAGGTCGTTGCCCTTAAGTGCAAGTATTATCGAGGGTGTGGGTACTGATACTGATGATGGGTCATTCGTGACTGCAAAAACCTCGTTGCCACTAAGCGCAAGTATTATCGAGGGTAGAAAAGTCTTTACGAAACTTGGTACAAGCGAGCTAAGATCATCATTTATGATAGATAAAATATACTAATAAACCATTAGAGAACAACCCTGGAGTCATGAATAAACTGGCAGCGAAGCTCGGTCTTTCTCCCGCTCTTAAATTTTACGACGTATATTCACTTATTGAATCGGAATTACTCGGACATATTCCTCGTCCCGTCTACGCTCTTCTTTTCATCATCCCATTAACTTCTTCCTGGGAAAAAATTCGGCTTGCAAAAGACATGGCAAGAGAACCTTATGATAAATGTGGAGCTGATGAGCCTATCATTTGGTTTAAACAAATAATGTGCGGTGATTGTGGTACCATTGGTCTCTTACATTGCCTTCTGAATGGTCCGGCTCAAGAATACATCCTCCCTAACACTACATTATCTCAACTTTATGAAGAATGTATTCCTTTAAATCCGGAAGCGCGAGCAGAGCTATTATATGACAATGAAGCATTGGAGGAGGCTCACCAGTCTTGTGCAGAATTGGGCGATACAAAACCATCACCACTTGGAAAAGAGAATTCAGGACTGCATTTTGTGGCTTTTGTACAGGGAGATGATGGATGGCTGTGGGAGTTGGAGGGGAATAGAGTGGGTCCAGTTCGAAGGGGAAAATTGGAAGAGGGTGAAGACATTTTGAGTGAGCATGTATTGAAGCGGTGTATGGGAGGACTTGTTGAGATGGATGGAGGTAAGGATTATAGGTATAGTTGCATTGCGCTAGCTAAGGATCCATCCCAGTTTGTAAGTTTGCCTCTTCATTTTCTCGATCGTGGTCGTTCACTTAGAGATGAAGGGGTACCACGGCGTGGAATCTGGGATCCAACTTATCGCCATCCAAGCTGGTCCCCGCCACCGCCGGATAATGGGGGAAAACTCCCAGTGGAGTAGCAAGATCAGTGATTCCGTTCTGCTTGGTAATTCAAAATGTGGAGGTGTTATTGAACAGCGTCAAAGAGTAGTTTAAAGACAGCGTCTATAATTAGTTTAATCGAAGAATATTTACAGCTAGGTCAGAGATCTTTTTGTTAGTCTCATGTGTTCTTCGATCTGTAGCCATATTTCTTTAAGATCATGAGTTATTGAAACTACTGTGATCAATCCACCTTAGCTAGTACCAATGCAATATTGGTAGATTTAACATGTGTCAGGCGGTATAGCACTCATTGAGATCTCATGGGGTAAACATTCCGTTCCGCATGAACCAACACAAGCCAGACCGGTATTACTAGGAACGGGAAAGCAAATTAGACCGAATCTCATTTATCGGAAGGATCAATACACTTCTGTATGATATAGAATTACTTTTTACGGTTAAAATTATGGTTAAATCTAAGTAGTCATCAATCATTCATGCCGTGAACGCCACAATTTGCCACGACCTATCACTACCGAGGTCTTACATCCCCTCGTTTACCAGGATATTTCCCCAGAAAATACAAAAAAGAACCAAGACAAGTGTTGAAGAATTCAATCGGACATATACTCGGTGGTAATACACGATCAAATGATTGGAAATTTCCAGAGAAATATATCAGCCGATATAAAAAAGGGTCTGGTAATTTGGTTCACGAGGGTAAACAACGCATACCCCAGATTTCAATATTACGCTGCTGACACTATTTGAAACGGAACTTTCAGAACCTATCTGGCAATTGATAGGTTATCTGTAATTCCTGCGGGGCTTGCTTAATATTAGGGTTACTTCTGTCAGATTGTCGAGTGGCTCAGATCTTTGTGTTCCAAGTGGTCATAAAAGCTCCGTAACCCCTTAATTTAAAAGAATACACATGGGAAACGATCCACACTGGACTACAAACTTCTGTGGCTCCTCTAGTTGGCGTAAAGGATAATATATAACAACTATGCTTGGAACTTTCATTCGTGGGGACGATGCTTGCATGTTCTGGCCACCTTTATCCCTTGTCGTCTCTTCCGTCTTCTTCAGCAGAAATTCAATGGACTTGGATATTATATACCAAATTGGCAAGTGTTCTCCGACAGATAATATATGATTTGCTTGAAGAAAGTCATGTCCGGTCCTGAAGTGCCAAGAACGAATATGGGGAATTACCCCGGATTTTCTCACATGGTTTTAGTATCAGAAGATACTTCGATTACATTGCAATATACCAATGTGCTACACTTGTAACTCTTCCAAGCAAGGAATGACTGCAACATTCACTAGACGGGATCAATCTCTAGATTCGGTGATGCGGTCTATGGCAAGTGATCTTACTAACCACCTCGGTAATTTGGAAAAGTGATAGCTTTTCCTAGAATGTGCATATAAGTGTCCATCATTTCCACTTGGGATCTTCTACCTGTAGATCTTACACTCCTTCTGATTGACTTCTTGCATTTACCTTCCTTAAAGCGTAACATTGACTGGATTTCGCAGCCTTCGCAAGAGCTTGTGTAATACTCTTCATTTATACATATCTACTCTTCAAACACAGCAGGATGTATCCCAAATCTACCCTCCTCTATCAAGCCCTCTTACTCTCCCTTCCTCTCACAATCACTGCTCTTGCCACAAATATCCAGGGAACCTATCAACAATATGCAACTGCTACCTACCACTTAAAGGATACGTACAGTTCTAAAAACTTCTTTTCGGAATTTAGCTTCTTTACGGGTGGAGATCCTACTCATGGATATGTATCATATCAATCCCAATCAGCGGCATCAGCACAAGGTCTTATCAATACCAATAATGGACAAGTTTATCTTGGTGTTGACTCCAAGACTGTTAATCCTGCAGCTGGTCGCGCATCCGTCAGGCTTTCGAGTAATAAATCGTATAACCATGGTCTTTTCATTGCGGATATTGCCCATATGCCGGGCTCTGTTTGTGGTGTGTGGCCTGCTTTTTGGCTTGTTGGACCTAATTGGCCCTATAGCGGGTAAGTTCCAAGTTCTTTTTCCTTTCTTCATCGTTATCATCCTCTTATATCAAAAAGCAGGACTTTTGGACTAGATATTGATATCACTTGATCAAATCATGTGATTATGTCATGATATATTATATCGTGTGATCGTGTGATACCGATATCTAGTCCAAAAGTCCAGCTGTTTGGACTTTTTGGATTTATATTATTCAGTCCGGACCATTTCTTCAATTCACTTCCAATAGTCCTAAGTAGTCCGAATGAACCACAGACTAGCCGTCTAGACTGCCGTCCGGACTTTAGACGGCAGGACTACTGGATAGACTGTATATTCCCAATTCTGATTATTTCTCAGAGAAATAGATGTCATCGAAGGTGTCAGTCTCGCTGGCACAAACAGCATAACCCTTCACACAGCACCCGGCTGCGTAATCAACACAGCCGGTTCCCAACCTGGCATCACACCAAGTGATTCAAACTGTAATTCCAACAACGGCTACAACGGCTGTGGCGCCGCAACCAACAAAGCCAATTCCTATGGAACCGATTTCAACAATGTCGGAGGCGGCGTCTACGCCATGCAATGGGAATCCTCCGGAATCTACGTCTGGTTCTGGCCTCGCGGCAGCGTACCAGCCGACATCACTGCCGGCAATCCAGTAACGGGGAACTGGGGACCGCCAGTCGTGGCATTTAATGGCGGAAGTGGATGCAATATGGATAGTTTCTTCAAGGACCAGAGTATCGTTTTTGATACCACCTTCTGTGGAGATTGGGCCGGTGCAGTTTGGAGCTCGGGTAACTGTGCGTCATTAGCAAACACGTGTAATGCGTTTGTGGGGCAGAATCCGGCCGCATTCCAGCAGGCGTATTGGGCTATTAATTCGATTAAGATTTATCAGCTATAGTGGGATGGTTTGGGTTTGGATGGTGATTAGTGCTGCTACCATTCTTTTTGGTGCATTGGATTCCATGAACTTATTTTATGTTGACTTCTATGTATGGATGGGGGGCTTTGCATAAAGCAGGGCTAGATTACAATAAGGCATAATAATGGCTGGCTTCATTATTATATGCTTTATTTTTTGAAGAAAGCTTAGTCAGTAGAGCCAATCAATGCAATAAGATATTTTTGAGGTTATTTTGATATTCCTTAACCTTCCACTTGAGTTCTCGATCTGCCCAATCATATGACTCATGTAATTCCCAAAAACCTACTTTTAAACCTATAAATAATAAAGAGAGCTGTGCTATTATTATATATTATAAAACGAGTTCTGTGATTATACTTTATAATCACATTCTATACATCCTTTAAAAGATTTAAAAGAATAAACTAGTGTATTAGATCTTTGCTTGACTTATATCTAGCTGCAAATCATTTATGTTTATCTCCAGCGTTGAAGAGTTTCCATCAAATATTCCCATTTCCTTAGCTACAAGTATAGCCTGTCTGGATTACTTCATATTAATCCCCAACAGCTATTCGCTGGTAATTCGTGTCTTGCTCAATAGTTTTCCATACCGAGACTATCTTTTTCTTCTGTTTTTTGCTTTTTAGGCGAGTCTCAAATTGGGCCTTGGGAATGAGTGTATAACCTGTCTTCCCTAAATCTTGTCACTAGTTGTCGGAAGGTATTTTAAGATAAAAGTGTAAAAGTTGATTTGAGAAACATCTCCCTGTGGAAAGTACTGGAAACTCTCAGCCTTCCTCTAAAAATATCCAACGAATGCTTCACAAAATTCCTCGAGATCAGTTTACCTCAATAGATAGCATGAAGAAAGTCCAAATCACCCCATGAACAAATCATGCCCGTAGTATCCACAGAATTTGTCTTCTGAAATCAAGGGAAGAACTATCCAAAACGGTTTTGATTGAGCATTTTGCGCATCATTTAAACTCCGCAAGCGATTCTTTATTTCCCTGCCTTTCCCAACCGTACATCGCACCTCCGTCCAAAACCTTCTTGACAACTCTTCCCAACCTCACAATTCCTTCCTCCAAATCATCAGGTTCCTCCCACGAGAAACAAAGTCTCAATCCCCTCGGCAATTTGACACTATCATCACCTTGAACCTCAAATATACTACCTTTAGCCACGACGAGATTTTCCTCTTCCAATGCTATCTGTGCTATCAATTCTCCATCAATGCCGTCTGGAAGATTCAACCAGATAAAATATCCTCCAAAGACTTTAATTTCCTTTGATTCTGTGCTGATGTTTTCAACTTTAACACCCAGTGGTCTTAACTCCCTCTTGATTGCTTCCATTATCTTTTCATATCTATTCCTATAAGCAGGTTGAAGCACATCCTCAATGTGTCTCGCAAGATCGCCAGATCTCAAAACCTGATCAATAATAGTAGCAGTCAATTGACTCGCACAGCCACCACTCCTCGAACTGCCCACCAAACTTAGTCCCAACGCGAATTTAGGAGTCGCTTCAGTCCATCCTGTTCGCACGCCTGGACCGGCTATTTTACTAAAGGAGCCATTACTAACTGCATTTCCAAAACCCTCGGAATCTGGGATTGGCTCGAGTGTACGGTCAATATCTACAAGTCGTGGTAAGAAAGCTTTTTTGAGAGGACTATCCGAGGAAGATGAAGTGGTAGACCATTGGAGGAAATCGTAGACATCATCTGTAATGATTAGAGCATCGTATTTGCGAGCTAATTTGACGAGCGAGATGCGACATGATAGAGACATAGTTTTTCCAGATGGGTTCGAGAAGGTAGGGACGCAGTAGATGATATTTTTATAGATTTTGCCCCAAGGTCTAGATTGCACATCTTTAATAGGCTATTTAGAATCATTAGCATCATATCTCTCATCGCATCGTAACTTTGACGTCGGATGTCACGTGCAACCACAAAAAACGTACCTTCAACCCCATGTCCTCCTTCCCAGCTCCCTCCATCATTTTCTCCAGGTCCTCCAAATCCACACCCTCATCCCCATCCCCAACAGCCTTGACCCTCAACCCGCTATCATCAAAAATCCTCCCGGCCAAAAAATACCCCGGCGTAACCATCCACACCCTCGTAACCATCGGATCCGTAAACGTTTGCAATATACATGCTAGATTCTGTGATGCTCCTCCTGTAATACATATCCTATCTGCTTCTGGCGAGATTTCTTTGCCTTGGTTATCTTGATTCAATGGGACGCTTTTTTCCTCGACACTGGTGCTGGACCCTAAGGGAGGATAATATTCAGAGTAAAATTCTCGAAGCCATGTAGCGACGCTCTCTCTCAAACTCGCTGGTCCTGAATCAGGTCCGTATAATAATCCTGGATTAGCAAGATCGGCATTTGTAAAGACCTTGTTTGCTGCATTTTGAATGGCCGCTGTTGGAAGCAGCTCGGTGTTTGGCCACCCCCGAAGGAGATTGATTTGTTTCTTTGGTTGAGTGATCTCAGATGTAGAAGAGGGGTCAATGTTCGTCATGGTCGTCGTTGTGAAATATGTATGATGGTGTTTGATTGGTGACTGTATACCTGCGATTGAAGGAGATATATTAATAGTAATTCGAAGTTTTGTAAGATTTCCAATCATTTTAGTTGAAAATTCCAAACGCCATTTCTTTGATAGGAGTGGGGTTCAGGGAGAAGGAAGGGCGCGGAGGGCGTTTGTAGTGGTGATCGGCATCGGACGCATATTGCGATGACCGACTAACCATACTCTAGGGAAGTATTATTCAGTAATTTTACTAATCCTCAATCAGTTAAAAGTAAAGCGACCATTTTTTTGGCCTCTGGCTTGTTCAAACCAGGTAACGAGATTTAGTGTGAATAGCTTCAAACTTTATGACTAAGCTACGATTCTTGGATTCTTACATTTTCCGATTCCGGAAATTCAGTCTTCCTCCCTTCCCCTCTCTTTCCTTTCTCTACAAAAGCATCACTATTATTAATATACAAAAATGTATTGAATTTTTGTTTTGTGCTTACTTCTCTGTATTCTATTCTTCAATGATCAGGATTATATGTTAAAGAGGTAGAAGACTGATGAATTGGTATTGATAGGATGTAGCGGTGGTAAGCAGACGCCTACATAAGATTACATGGCTACAATATCATGCTCCATCATCACAAAAGTAAAATCACATTCATAATCATTCATCAAATTTTTTCATGATTTTTAAAATATTTTATTCATCTGAAAATTGTGTTTAAGAGCCATTTCCATTTGGCATTGCTGTCATTCCAAATGTACAGCCATAGAGCAAAACATACTGCGATAAAGTACTTGTGATTGAGAGTTACTTTAGGAATCCTCAGGAATATTGCAATGTCCAGGTGGTCCCTTTTTAATTCCCTCATATCGTCGTAAATAGTGCCCTGTATCTCATCCTAATCTATGACTATGCTTCCTGAAAAACAGTAAGCAAGTCATGAATGCGTGCAAATGTACATTGCGATCCATAATGCAAGCCAAATTGCATAATGATCACTGACGAGACAAACACCCGCTCATGAGGGTTTGAAGTTACAAGTGTAGATATTTCGAAAAGGTGGTGTTGCGTAGGAAAAAAAAAAAGTGGTTTCTGAAAAGTACACGTTGAAAGGTCAATATCCACAAAGAATATGATGGCCAAGGGATTGTGTCTTCTCGAACTACTATGACAATTAAGTGTGAACTGGCGTCGCGGTATGGCGATTCCAGCTAGTACCATTCCCAAATCCTCTTCCACCACGACCACGGCCGGAAGTATTACTTGAATTTTGGGATTGGGTTTCACGAGGAGCAGATGCAGGGCCATTATTGGCATCTCTTGCACCACGGCCGCCTCTTGGATGAGTTGATGAGGGTTGTCGTGATCCACCACGTCCACGTCTAGGATTGCTTCTGTTTCGAGACGTGGGAAGAGGAACAGACCTAGATGTTTCCTGGCCAGGTAGCATAATGACAAGAAGATTGGAATTACTGCTGGTCTCTAATGGAAACTGGAATGGCTCAACGGATGTGGCATCAGAAATGAGGAATCTTCGATGCAGGCTTTTAGGAGCTGCAGCAGGTTGAAAGGCGTTTGGTGGTATCGTTTGTGGAAATTTCATAACGGGTACTGAACCCATCTCTTGTTCCTCAAAACATTCTTCTGCCGCTGGTTTCGTGTCAAATGATTCTTCATCATTCGAGTTCTCATTGATGGAGCCTGGGAGAGAAACAGTAGCAGAAGCTTGCGACTCTGATGAATGATCAAATGCACGTCTGCTAGAAGAATCGACAGCAAGTGCATGAGTTCTTGGTGGGGATTTCTTGCCGAACAACTGATCAATCTTTTCCTTCCATTCCCCTGTTTGAGTTGATGGAGCGGGACCTCTACGAATATCATAAGTAGTTGACCCAGTTCGCACAAGCCCTTGACGAGCTGCTAACCCAGGAATTTGACTGATTGCAGGAACAGCTGGAGCTGCGGCTGCAGCTGCAAAGGACGTTGGTCGAGGAGGAGCAATTGGTTGAACGATAGTTGGAGGCGGCAATCTAACCACGGGCAATGGTGGTGGTAAAGCAACATGTGGACGTGCGAACTCGCTATCATAAGCCGGATGACCAGCCATGGTAGGTGGAGGTGGGGATGGCGATGATGATCGTTCAAAACCATGGCCATTCATCTCCTCAAGACGAACATCGCGGTTATGATTTGGGAAGAATTTCGACTCTCGGTGTGATGCGTTTCCTTCTACACCTGATGGCCATGCATTGCTGTCGTTGTATTGTGGTCGAGCATTTCCACGAGAAGTATTTTCTGCCAAAACCGAGGACGTTGACGGCCTTCCATCAACTAAAGCAGTAGAAATATTCTTTGTCTTGCTTCTTGTTCCGTCCTCGTTCAATGTAACTTGCTTCCAGGTATCTTCGTAGACAGGCTGATGAAGTTCCTCCACAATACCGGCTGCCTCCATTTCACGCTTGCGCTCCATTTCCTCTTGATGTTGTTGGTGAAGAATTACATCCTCTTGGGAAATTCTTTCTGCTACACCACCCCAAACCGATCTAGCCAGAGCTTTTCGTTGCTCCTCTTCATATGATCTTGGTGGTTGCGGTGCTCTATTCGCCGATGGAGGTCCAATCGGAGGTGGTCTGGAATTATATTGGTCACGACCACGATTTGCCTGATAAGTACCATTACCACGGTTTGCATTTGGTGGTCCAATTGGTCCTGGATGAGCAGATGGATGAGACATATCTGAGAGTGATTGACGGGACATCTCTGGAAGCCTGTTCAATTCTGGATTGAAAGTACCATTTCCAATTGTTTTCTCGTTTGTGGGAGGTCCCCAAATTCTTGAAGATGAATTTTGTGGTGGTGGGGGCGCAGCCGACCATGAAGTGAATCTTTCGGTAGGATAATTCGAAGATGAATTTCTCTGCCATGACTGTGAATTTCGATTATCAGGCACAACTTGCTGTGAAGGCACTGGAGCATTGGGTTGGTAGACACCATTTGATCGCAACTCAGGGCCAGGAACATTTCCTTCAATGTGCCTTGCATTGATATTTTCATTTATGACTTCTGATTTTGGTGCATGTGCATCATTGGATGTTTCCGCCGATTTGGTAGGAGGAATAGGATTGACTTCACGGGCTTGAATTGATGTAGGGACATTGTCTTCTTTGGCCATCTCGTCCTTAACCTTCTTCTTTTCTGGAGGTGGGCCCATGGCTTCAAGCTTAATACGAATACGCTCCTTTCTCTCGGCCTCTTCTTTTGCTTCTGCCTCTTGTCTTCTCTTAATAGCGAGTTCACGTGTTCGTCTCATGATATTCTTTTGTTCTTCAAGAACATCTTCTTTCGGTGCCGAACCCATTGGTGGACCTTGTGGTGGGGCCTGACCATGCATGTGCATATCACTCGGTCCTGGAGCAAGTTGTCCATAAGCAGAATGAGGAGATGGATGACTGACAACTGGCGATGCTCTGGATTGCCATGGCTGGTTTTGATTTTGATAACCTCGTTGCTGATGTTGTTGATTTGAAAAACTTTGACCAGATGGAGAGAAATTTCGAGGTGAAGAGGGTGCATCACTTACAGCTGCTAAAGAGCCTCTGCGTGCATTCAACATATCGTTCGGTGGTGGCATATCATGACCACGACTCATACGTCTAGCAAAATTTCCACTTCCCCCACTAACATTAGACGAAGTGCGACGGCGTCCATAATTTCCTTGTTGCGCGCTAGTATGGTGAGTTTGGAAAGCAGCAGATGGTTCTGCAGGTATGTCTTGATGCGGTGGTCGTTGAAGAACTGCGGGGCCACGAGATTGTCCATCTGATCTAGATACCCCACGTCGAGCCTCATTAACCGGTTCATATCTACCAGATTGAGAATTATAGAGCTCCCTGCTAGCATTTGCATTTCCATCTCTCCAAGTTCGACTGAAATCATCCGCAGCAATTTCTTTCGCGGCTTGTGGCATACCAGAAAATCCATGAGGGTCTCGTTGATTAAATCGACTTTGTTGAGGTTGTTGCGGAGGTTGTTGTGGAACATCAATTGCGACAGGAGCCACTTTTTCAACTGGCGGAAGCTGAGCCCATGGAGATTTTACAGGTGTCGGAGGTCCAGGTGGTTTTGCTACGAGGGTAGGCTTTTCAGGAGCACCCTTGAGAATCAAACCAGCTTTTCCGGACCCTAGTCGAGGAGCGGGAGCAGCTATCACTTGAGGTGCCGGTGACTTAGATGGTTTTGGCACGGGCTCTACTTTTTTGATTTCTTTTGCAACCGGCGCAGGCTCTGGCACAGGTTCGGGGGGTGGAGGAGGTGCATCATCGGCATGTGGTAGAGTAATTTTCGTCCCATCAGTCCACTCAATTGATTCAGGTGCCCAATCATCATCGTCATCATCGATATCTGCCCAATTTGCTTGTTTGCCAGGGTCGTCGGCTTGTAATCTAGTCGCTAAATGAATACCATAACGTTGCTTGAGTTCTTCGTCCGTAAATCGTTTTGGCTCTGGCGGTGCCGCAGCTGTTTGTTCGTTAGAAGATTACCTGTATAAATACAACGATGTGTAACCTACGTCTGTTTTTGTTCCACACGGCGCTCGCATCAGGGGCACCACCAGGTTTTCCGCCATTCGCCGTAGTTGAAGCTCGTGGTGTTGAGTCACGAAGACCAGTACCTGATTTTGCGACTAACCTAGGTTTCGGTGTAGTTGATGTTGAAGTTGTCAAAGTTGTTGGCGCGGTAGTAGACACTGTCGCACCTTTTTCTCCGACCTTCGTTGGTGCCACAGCGGTGGAAGCTTTCGATGCCAAAAATGTCTTATTTACTGAAACTGCCTTGAAAGAAGGGACTGGTTTTTTGACGGCCGAGGTCGACCGACCATGACCACCTTTTTCGTCACCAATTTTCGAGGTTTCCGCTTTCGTAGCTTCAGTATCTGATCCTCCATTAATACTGACCTCCGCCGAGATATTGTTGGGTTCGAGAAGATCCGGATATTGTTTACTTCCATCTTTGTCGGTAGTGGTTCCATCTATAGAGGGAGTTTGTTCGGAGGGGACATCTTGACTCTTGGTTTCAGTAGTGTTCTGGGCGCATGTCAGCATTTTTTGAATAACTGCAAGGGACCATTTCAAAATAGAGACTAACCAGCTCATGATCAGGAGTTATAGATGGCGTCGCGAAGTTCTCAGAAGTGGCTTCAGTTGCCATCATACGTCTTCAAAGTGTTTATTTGGTTGTCGAAGTAGTTGCGCATGCGTTGATCCCGATCGTACTTTGTGACTGTACAAGCTCTCTAACCCTGAAATGCCTATGTAAATATGGTGGCGGCTTTGGAAAAGGAGAGATTTCGTTTTCGTAAATATGAGGTTGAGCTGCAACAACAAGGGAAAATATCTTGAATTAGTATTTTCGCAATGTCTTGGGTATCTTAAAATTCGGAAGAGGAGAAGATAAAAGGAATCAAAGGGGGGAGTATTGAAGTTTGATTTGTATTCTTGAGAGAGAGTTCAACGATACGGGACACTATTATGGTCGAACTTTAAGGTACAGGGCCATTCAAAATTGATTCTAACCCAATTAGGTTAACGTTGGACGTTTAGCGTTTAAATTACCTCGAGGCTGAAGTTAGAAGTGAGATTCAATAATATGAGCCAGAAAAAGAAGGTCAGTGTGTGATGAAATGTTGTGTATCAATCACACCTACCTACCTGCCCAGTCCCTACTAACTAGGTACCTACCTACCTAGCTTTATAATTTCTTTGTTTTGGTTTGATATCATTACATCGTTGCATCTATGATATAACATCTGATAAACTTATATCGATACAACATCTATTGAATTGACAAATAAACATATTTTCATTTAATTTGATTCTTCATCCGGTCAATTTTACTATTTGGCTATGCGTGTTTGAGAACTATCAACAAGTGTAAATAACTTCGATATTGATGGTTTTGACCAAAGTACTTGCAACTTTGGAGTCAGTCATAGAAACGCTACATGAGCCATAAGAGATGACGCGAAACATGAAGGTGGGACAAATTCGGGGTGACACATACACGACGGTTACAATGCGAAAAGTATGCGGCGAGTGGATTTTCGTGAGGTAGCAAGGAATACATCTCAACTCATTTCCAATACTTTTCTGTCCACTGGCACAAAACATTTAGATCCGGCCATTTACGGAATGCATTGTTGAATGACCTTGATAGCAAGGGTATGAAAGGAAAAAATTGGGTGCGGCCTACCACATCTTTAACGTGATTTACTACCTCTGAAAGCCCGGGTACCTTAGATGAAGTTGGAGAAAACATGCAGCAATTCGGTTTAAATGAGCTTATGGAGTAGCATCTCCTTTCTTATGATGAACATGCTCCGGGACTAAAAGCGTATTGATGAGTTGGACTGGCCGTGCCTCATAATCATTGTTGGGAGTGCCTCGAGGCCGAAATTGCATCACACCCACTCAACGACCACAACGCATAGAATCCAACCAACAACTTGACTGGTATTCATCTATTCTTTCCCTTATTTACACCCAAGTAACACAATGCCCGCGTATGTTATTCTTCCTACCCGCTTCCTCTTTCCTAAACCATCCATCTAGTGAGCATTGTTCTTGTGGTGACCTATCCCAGTCTTGTTAGTTGTCTATTAACTCACGCAAGCCCAAATTTTTCATCACTTACGCAAGTGGAAGTAGTAGTTCTGAGCATAACCAATAGCAAGCAAAACGGCCAAGGCGTGAATGATAGGTGTAGCTGATGGGTTCTTTCCAAAGTACTTGGCTTGGTATCTGCCCAACAATCCCTTGGCCTTGACCTCTGGTGCTGGTCCTCGGGGAAGCTTCTCGTAGAAGCTAACTACACGTTGCATACGGGCAGCATCTTTGGCAGCACCAAGTCCCTGTTTTGTTGTTAGAGATGGTATTTGTGCGGTTTGTATTTCGGTATATGCGACGGAAGACGAAAGCTCGAGCCGTAGACAAATGCGAATCTCTGCCGAGAGTCAGAACTTACAGATGGAGAGGCAACCTATTGTCGAGTTAGTTCCATGTGTAAGTGAGGAGTCTAGATGGGTATAAAAGATATACCTTGGGAGGGATAAGGGTGGAAAGAGCTCTGCGTGTAACGAAACTCATCTTGATGACTACCACATCAAATCAGCCCAATTGATCGACGCGCAATAAGCAATATGTTTGATTGTTGATTTCCACAATAATACATACCTTTTCTGACGTCGTGATGAAACCTAGGAACGATGGATTGATTGTTGTCTTGAATCTTCCCTCAAATCTCGTTCCGAAAGCCTCCACTAGTGTGCTTACATAAGCATTCCCCGGAGCCTCATCATGGAACCTCCAAATCAAACATCCAATAACCTTCCCCTCATTGCGATTTACTCTACACAAAATGTCACTTCTTCGTCCTTCAATCACAGGGCGATTACTGCGCACCGCGGTTCCTACTGCACTGCGTTCTGTACCAAATGGCGTGAGGTACGAGCAGACATCTTCAGGTGTCCCTCTTACACCTTCAAACATGTCGCAACCTAAACATTCTACCGGGGAATCATCGATGATCAATCATCCACAATCAAAGGACAAGTTGGTTAAGCATAATCAACCACATTATGGAGCGGAGGTTGATCAAGCTGCTTCGTGAGTTTTCCTGCAGAGGCACAATGCGAAATTGGGCACTCAGAGATACGAATGGATTTCAGTACTGATGTGAAATTGGCAGATTATTCACACCAATCCCAAAGCGTGTTATGAATGGTAGCGAAGATGGAGACGTCTTACCCGCAGCAGTTTTATCTGGTGCTCCTGTCGAGTTGCAAGCTCGGACAGTTCGGTACGTTTGCCGTTCAACCTAACTCGACGATAGCCCATTGTCTAGTATCCCGAACAAAGCACTAATTGGCCTATTCTAGCATCTATCGACCTGCTAAAACTGCCACACAATCTGGTGACTGGCACGGTCATCACTGGCGCATGGACTGGGATATTTTGTCTAAGGGTCACCGTTGGGAAAATCCTCTTATGGGTTGGCAATCATCCGCCGATTTTATGCAAGGCACACACATCAACTTCAAAACTAAAGAGGATGCTATCAGATTTGCCGAGAAGCAAGGTTACGAGTTTTTTGTTCAAGAGCCGAATGAGAGGAAAGTTGCACCTAAGGCATACGCGAATAACTTTTTATGGAGTGCTAAGAAGTTGAAGCACATCAGGACGAAGTAAAGGGCTGGAGGGATTCGGGTAGGGAAGGAGATTGTACATATTTGGATGAGCGAGGCAGACATATCTAGCTGCTTGTATTGATGATGCATTCAAGATTAAAGTTCTTTATTGCTTGGTAAAGCGCGGCTCAAACGCATGCTCTGATGCAAGTACCTGAGTAATTGTGAACTTGACAGCCATTTTCATTCAAATCCATCCACATTTACCAAAATTTCGAATCATTCTCCTGATTGCTAAACAAGTTACATGAGCCTCCTTATCTCCCTATCGTTATCTTGCAGCTCTCTTCCATCCCATGCTATTACTCCCTCCTGACATGTCTCTGTGTCCCTGGCCGTGGTGTTCGTCTTTCTCCTACGCTTCTAGGACTCCAGATCCATCGATACTGAAACTCCGCAGAAAGCTTTCACTATTCATAGTACTAGTTCTACTTTTACCTTAATATAGTCTCTGAATACCTGGGTGCGGCGAGGAGACACCTTTCTAAACCAAAGTCGCAAGAAAGTTCAGCTACCTCGCCACAAAAAGTTTTGTTGCATACCGCACGGCCTTCCCCTCCGTCTTTTCGACCACCCTTCTTGACATTGTTCAACCATCTGAAATACTCCAAATTCTAAAGATCGTTTAATCAGAAGTTAGACATTTCGTTCACAAAGAAATCAAATGTTTAGGATAAGTAGTCGATTTAAAATATCTTTTAAAACACGATATTGATGGTTTCGGCTTTTTAAACTGGGAAAGTAAGAGTTCACTCAAGCGATGAAGTCTATCAACACATACTAGGTAGGTAGGCAAAATCATCTATCGTTTTGTCGCATATTACATCTAAAAAGAGGCACATTTTCCATACCATTATATAACCACACGAAGCCATTTGCTTCTTAATGCTTTCTAGTGATGAATTAGAAAAAGCAGCTTTATGAATGTAACAAGTATCAAAACAGACAGATAGGTATTCGAGGAATTATTCAACCCCAAAGAGAGAATTATTGCAAATCGCACTCCCCCAAGGCATCAATTTCAACAGTAAGTATCAAATTGCCTATCTCTCGAATCTATATCGAACTTGATATACATTGTAAGAAGAAGTAAGTTATTTTACAATCCAATTCCCAAATGAAAGTAGATGGAACAATCCTACAAAAAGAGAAGGGAATCTAATAGGCACATTTTGGGACTGATGTCATTCTGTATCCCTTTTGTAAAGCATGAAAGGATAATCTAGGAACTTTCCTAAAATAAAAATGCCTACACCGGCAAGGATTTATCTGCAAAGAAGGGGTCAAAGGATATATCCAAATGATTCGTTCTAGAAGTTGACGAATTGACGTGTGGCAGAAAGTGAAGCTCGAAATATCGTTGCGCTTCGCGCTTATGAGTGTTAATATTACATAATCAATACAGGTTAAGCGCGCCTCGGCATCTAATTGATTGCTGAATCTCGAAAGATTTATTGACAAGTAGCAATACCTCGCCATCTTCGAAATGGACGACCTTGAGTCCCTCGAAATTCTTTCTTTGGTGCAGAGAGTAGCTTCTGAATTACAGAACCATCTTGGAATCAGTGATAAAACCCTCGCCGAGTTTGTTATTGCGCAACATGCAGAATGCAGTTCTCTCGAAGAATTTCAGAAGAAGCTCGAGGCGATGGGCGCAGACTTTCCCCAAAGTTTAATCGAAAGCGTGGATCGCCTGGTATTAACGATGCACCCGAAGTTCAAAGGTGGCAAAGGTAGAAATGGTGCGCCAGCTAGAAATGAGAATAAAGTCGGAGAGAAAACGAAAGTCTTTAAAGGTTTAGCATTACCTGACAAGGAACCGACATGGCAGGACGATGAAGAAACTACAAATGATCACGCGATAAATGGAACTGATGCGATTGATGATACCCTTGCATTGTTAGAAGGTTTAGCACCAAAGGCGCAAACGGAGAAAGTTGTGAGAACAAGCAGAAAACGAAGTAGGAGCCCAGACCAAGATTGTGATAGAGGACGAAGTCGCAAAGATAGGCACCGATCTAGATCAAGGTCCAGAGAAGAGCCAAGGAGGCGGCGGAAGCACGAGTACGAGGAAGAGGATGGATTTGGGAGAATGAGGAAGAGTCACAAAAGTAGCAGGAGGAAAAAAGAAGACGACGATTATTACAAACGACCCCTCACTCCTGAAATTGATGACGAGGTTAATTTATATAAGATTTATGACGGTCATGTCACTGGTGTGAAGGATTTTGGAGCTTTTGTTAATATACACGGTGTAAAAGGAAAGGTCGATGGACTTGTGCATGTTTCTGCATTAGTGGAAGGGCAACGGGTAAATCATCCATCGGATCTAGTTTCGCGGAACCAACCTGTAAAGGTCAAAGTCATCAAAATCGAGGGTAATAGAATTGGACTTTCAATGAAGGATGTTGACCAGGAGACTGGAGAGGATTTGTCTTCTCAAGATAGGATACAATCTGGAGCTAATAGTGCTCCTCTTGGTGGTAAAAACGAGTATGGTTTGATTGATGAGCCTGTACCGGTTTTCGAAGGAGAAATGTCGCGGAATTCGAGGAAGAACAAAAAGAGAATGACATCTCCTGAAAGATGGGAGATTCGACAATTGATCGCATCCGGCGTGGTAAAAGCATCGGATTATCCGGATCTTGACGAGGATTATAATGCGACATTGAACGGTGAAGGGGAAATGGAGCTCGAAGAAGATGTTGATATTGAAATACGAGAAGAAGAGCCTCCTTTCTTAACTGGACAAACGAAGCAGTCATTAGAGTTATCGCCCATCAGAGTCGTGAAAGCTCCCGATGGCTCGCTTAATCGCGCTGCTATGGCAGGCACAACTCTAGCCAAAGACCGGAGAGAGCTGAAACAGCAAGAAGCTCAAGACAAAGCTACGGAAGATGGAGCAAAGGTTGATCTTTCGGCACAATGGAATGACCCTATGGTAAACCCGGACCAGAGACAGTTTGCCAGTGATCTTAGAGCTGTCAAACAACAGCCACCTACCGACGTTGTACCAGCCTGGAAGAAAGCGACTCAGAGTAAGAATGAACCTCTAGGTCGCCGCACGGATATGTCCATCAAAGATCAAAGAGAGTCACTTCCAGTGTTCAGGTTCCGGTCTGAGCTGATTAAGGCTGTTCATGAGAATCAACTTTTGATCGTAGTTGGTGACACTGGTTCAGGAAAGACGACACAATTGACTCAGTATTTGGCGGAGGCGGGCTTTGCTAACGATGGTATAATTGGTTGTACTCAACCTCGTCGTGTTGCTGCTATGTCAGTTGCAAAGCGTGTGGCGGAAGAAGTTGGGTGCGAGCTCGGTCAAGAGGTTGGATACACTATTCGATTCGAAGATTGTACTAGTCCAGCTACGAAAATCAAGTACATGACAGACGGAATGTTGCAGAGAGAGGTATTGATGGACCCTGATTTAAAACGATATTCGGTCATCATGTTGGATGAGGCTCACGAACGTACCATTTCTACAGATGTTCTTTTTGCATTACTGAAGAAAACTATCAAACGTCGGCCAGATCTGAAGATTATTGTCACATCTGCTACTCTCGATGCTGATAAATTTTCGTCGTATTTTAACGAATGTCCAATCTTCTCTATTCCTGGTCGTACATTTCCTGTGGAGGTCATGTACTCAAGAGAGCCAGAATCTGATTATCTTGATGCTGCTCTGGTTACGGTTATGCAAATTCATTTGACAGAACCTCCAGGAGATATCCTTCTCTTCTTAACAGGTAGTGAGGAGATTGACACTTCTTGCGAAATCCTCTACGAACGTATGAAAGCACTTGGCCCAAGTGTTCCCGAGTTAATCATTCTTCCTGTCTATGCCTCGTTGCCCACGGAATTGCAAAGTAAAATCTTCGACCCTGCACCTCCTGGAGCTCGAAAGGTGGTGATTGCTACCAATATCGCCGAAACTTCCATTACTATTGATCACATCTATTATGTTATTGATCCAGGATTCGTCAAACAAAATGCTTACGACCCAAAGCTTGGTATGGATTCGTTGATAGTTACGCCCATTTCTCAAGCTCAGGCCAAACAACGTGCTGGACGTGCTGGAAGAACAGGTCCTGGAAAATGTTTCCGTCTTTACACTGAAGCCGCTTTTCAATCCGAGATGTTGCCTACTAGTATACCAGAAATTCAGAGGCAGAATTTATCTACGACTATTTTGATGTTGAAGGCTATGGGCATCAATGATTTATTACATTTTGACTTTATGGATCCACCACCGACAAATACTATGTTGACAGCCTTGGAAGAGTTATATGCACTTTCGGCGTTGGATGATGAAGGTCTTCTCACTCGTTTGGGTCGTAAGATGGCTGATTTTCCTATGGAGCCATCTCTCTCGAAAGTTCTTATCGCAGCAGTTGATCTCGGCTGCTCCGATGAACTTCTTAGTATTGTTGCTATGATTTCTATCCCAACTATCTTTTATAGACCAAAGGAAAAGCAAGCTCAGGCCGATCAAAAGAAAGCGAAATTTCATGATCCTCACGGTGATCATCTTACCCTTTTGAATGTCTACAATAGTTGGAAGCAAAACAAATTTGCGAGCACATGGTGTTTCGAAAATTTCATTCAAGCACGGAGCATGAAGCGTGCAAAGGATGTACGCGATCAACTGTTGAAGATCATGGAGCGATACAAACATCCTATTGTATCCTGCGGTCGTAACACAGATAAAGTCCGACAAGCACTTTGCTCAGGATTCTTCCGAAACTCTGCTCGAAAGGATCCTCAGGAAGGATACAAAACTCTAATAGAAGGCACACCTGTGTACCTACATCCTTCATCCGCTCTCTTCGGCAAACAAGCCGAATGGGTGATCTATCATACCCTTGTCATGACGACAAAAGAATACATGCATTGCACAACAAGTATTGATCCTAAGTGGTTGGTGAGTGCAGCACCAAGTTTCTTCAAGGTGGCGGATGCAGGGAAATTGTCAAAGAGAAAGAAGGCAGAGAGAATTCAACCTCTTTATAATAAATTTGCTGCAGAGGATGATTGGAGATTGAGTGCGCAAAAAAGGCAAGGAAGGGGAGGTGGAGGTGGAACTTGGGGTTGAGGTTTGGTCTTATGTATTGGTTGTACAATATGGGATATTTTATGGCAGTTATTAGCTTAGATGTAAACGCAGCGATACAATGGAATAAATTTGATACCCATTGAGGGCTTATTATCTCCATCCATTCTCTGTGGTCCATGGTTTATGCTTTCACCTCGAATGCCCATGAACAATCACGCAGTATCACATCTCCTCTCCGCCTATCTGCAGCTTGTACTGTGTTGCTCCTTCTATTGCTGAAAGCCATGGATGCCTGTTCTTGACAAAGGCCTCCCGTTCCGGCAACATGACTTTTTCAAATATACCCATTTTAAGAATCGTTTTCCCAGGGTATGCTTCTGCTATTGATTGAATCGGGCTGTCATTTTGTTAGTGGTCTCATTTACAATCTGGACCGGAATAGGAACTTTATGCACACAGCTGTGTACAGGGAGGGAGACGCATATTCTAAAGAGAATGAGAGACTTACTTCCCGCATGTTTTACGAAAATACTCCTCACGCATTTTCCTCTCGTGGTAGCATAATCTTCATACACGCTTAAATTCTGGGCTCCTTCGATCGTCACCTTCTCAGTCTCGATCATGAAGTTACTTCCAAATGCTAGTCTCATTGTTAGTATCTTGTATCGTATTTTCTTATCAATATAGATTTTTTTTGACATACCAGAAGAAGCAGTCTTTTTACAGTTCTGACAATGACATAAATGACCCCTTGGACGAGAAAAAAGTTCCAAATCGTTGATTGTGACGGTTATGGTGCCGCAGAGACATGTAGCTTCCATTTTGATTTAGCTAATAGATTTTTTGGGATTTTTGATTCAGACAAGAGAGGTTTTGACTTGATTGATGTTTGCGGGGGTAGATTTCTCTGTGCGTGTATTGCTTGGGATAGGGTTGAATTTTGATATATATATTCTTCATGTGTGACACGGCATACATGCGGAATAGGGACGGAATGTAATGATGACGAGGAAGCGGGGTATTGTGGATTGACTGGTTTGATGGTGGGGTGTTACCGGTTTAGTGGTTGTCAGGGCTTGGGATAGTTCAAGATAAGATGTATACTAGATAGGTAGGTACTTATTCCGTATGTATGTATGTTTAGAAATGCATGCCTTGCTTGGACCAGAGGAAATGTTGGTATAAAGGAATTAACCGAGACGATGAGGAGTGAAGGAAGAATATTTGGAAAGATAATGATGACCAGCTCAAAAACATCACAGTCCCGATCGAGGCACATGTATTTTTTTCGTTTATAAGACCATCCACGAAATATTAGCATTTGATTTAACAAAGTGTACTACCTCATGATGATTTTGTCGAGGCCTCTTCAAAGCAAGGATGACGTCCAAAAAAGAGGGAATAGACAGCGGATGCTCAACGGGGCAGCAGCTAGGATAAGACCCCCACCTACACATACTTTGAAGGGTTAAGAATGAAACAACCTCGAAGCGATGTACACATAGACGGGAGGAAAATGTCTTCGGGTCTTTAACCTCCACACATCTTCGATCTAGATATAAGATTTCTGCGTCAGATGATGACCATTCCGCAGAAGCTAAGTAGCATGAGGGAGCTCCAAGTATCTATTCTCGCCATTTGGGAATAGATCAACATAAAATCTGTCTCCATTCTCCATGCCAGCGGGGAAGGGAGAAACACCTCTCTCGTCAACAATGGCATGATATTTTCACATCTTCAACTTGAAAAGGAAAAAAGGAAAAGAAACTAAAAAAAAGCGTATAAAATCGAGCAACATGAATTCAATGGGAAGAAACAAGCCACAAATCCATGGTATCTCTTGAGACTTCAAGTCTTTCCATTATCTGACTGAATTGTGTCAACTAAGTGAGCTCAGTCGCTTCATTGGCCTGATTCATGGAATAGGAAGATTAAACCAGCCGCGAAATAATTAATCTTGAGGAAGCAACTATACCGAAAAGCTGGGAAATACATTCGTCTGATATTGATAGTAGGAGATCACCATCAATACACTTCAAAATTACCATACCGAGGGAGACTTCTCAGTCTTTTCTTGGTTCTTTTGAGATCAATTTCAGGTAACAAAGCCTCGAGTTGAGGCAAGAACGATTAGTGATAATCCCTTCGAGATTTCTCAAATATAGATCATTAGAAACATTTTTACTCTCTCCTTATGATCTTCTTATTTGTCGGACATTTATTATATCATGAGCTTCAGCTCGATGGTTCACCTGTTCAACTGTTCAATGCCATAACAAAACTTAACCAGTCAATTATTTATTATTACTTTGACCCACTAAATAAGCTTGTCTCACTGGGGAGTGGTAGCAGATCAGCATCGGGTACGTGCTAGATCAATAATTTCCCAAATATCCTAGACCTGACGACGACATGATTGATTTCTATGATTTCCTTTTATCATGACTCTGAGAGCTGGGAAAAGGATATACTTTCAAACGCGCATTCACTGATCGCGGTCAGTACGGCCTTGAATATCATAACCTCTTTTCCATTCATCAAGTGGTGAGTGTGGTGATAACTCGAGCTTATCGGCTGTATCCCGTAAGACGACATACGGTATATAAAAGTTACACTCAGCGTATAACAACATAGCACTTTCCGGTCAATCCAACGAGTTCTTTAACACGGTACGCTGTCACCGGTTCAATAAACAGTTTTTAAGTATCCTACTCGAAAATCTTCAGATTGATTTCACCACCGGCGAAGAAAACACATGATGAATTTCCTATGGACGACGATTTTGGTATCGTTCTTCACGCTCATACTATGGCTTCTTCCAAAATTGTTTACTGCCCGGAATTTCTTCACCAAGTTAAGAGCCCGGGGCTTGGTAAGTTTTCTTCTTCCGTAAACGTGATCAATTCTGCTAACATTTCCTCAGCCAATGCCACCCCATAATTTTCTAGCTGGTCATCTCATCGAGCTATCCAATGCGATGAAAGGTTTCCCAACAGATGCTCTCAAAGTATATTTCTTCGCCACGCTCTCTCGTCAATACTCTCGCAATGGCGCCTTCTACCTCGATCTCTATCCTTTCGCTGCCCCATTTCTAGTCATCACTTCTCCGTTCCTCGCAAATCAGGTTGTTCAATCTACTCCGGTAGCATGTCGCAAGCCTGATGCTCTCAGAACATGGTTTTGGAGTATCACGGGTGGAATTAGTTTGTTTGATGCCGAGTACGATGAGTGGAAGGATTTGAGGGGTTTGTTTGCTAGAGGATTTAGCAATAAATATTTGATGGGTCTGGTACCTGGTATTGTAGATGAGGTCGGAACCTATACGTTGGAGTTGAGAGAGAAGGCGAGAAGTGGGGAGATGATTGAATTGGATGGAATAAATTTGAGGTTTATGATTGATTTGATTGGGAATACGGCTTTGTGAGTTATTTTTTTCCCTCCTCTACATCACATAAAATGGCGGGATGCATGGGGTAGAGAATAAACGAAACGAGTCGGACTGGTGAGAACAAATTCTAATATATTCTAGGAATGCAAAACTAAACGCACAGAAAGGATACAATCCTCTTGCAGATGCTATGTTGAATCAAATCAAAAGCAAACTCGCAAATCAAGAAGTAAATATGCTTCAATGGCTCAATTTTGTGCGTCCTATTAAAGAGTGGCTCAATGGTCGAAAAATGGATGCATATATCAATGAAGAGCTGGACAAGCGTTTCGAGACTTATAAACTATCTAAGAACTCCGAAGCAAATGGACATCCAAATGAGAAATCAGAAACTTTTCAATCAATTATTGATTTGGTTATTGAAGATTACATGTCAGATCCAGCTCAACGCAATACAACCAAGCTCGATGAAAAATTCCGCACCATCGCCACCCGCAATGTCCGACTTCTTCTTTTCGCCGGCCATGATTCAACTGGTAGTGCCATATCCTGGTGTTACTATCTTCTCTCTAAGAATCCATCCACTCTTGACAAACTAATTCAAGAACACGATTCAGTATTTGGAACTGATATCACAACTCTTCCTGAACTCATCAAAGAGAATTCAACCCTGCTAAACCAATTACCATATACAACCGCCGTCATTAAAGAAACTCTTCGTTTGTTCCCACCCGCTTCAAGTATTAGACAGGGAATGAAAGGTGTAGATTTGGTTGATGAAGAAGGGAATACATATCCGACGGAAAATTGCATGGTATATATGCTCCACCTGCCAATCCAACATGATGCAAAATATTGGGTTCATCCGAAAGAATTCCTACCGGAAAGATGGCTTGCGCAACCAGGAGATGAATTGTATTGTGATGTCAAAGGGGCGTGGAGACCTTTTGAGTTGGGACCAAGGAATTGTATCGGTCAGGCTATGGTGATGATGGAGTTGAAGATTATTTTGGCCATGGTGGTCAGGGAGTTGGATGTACAAGATGCGTATGGAGAGTGGGATGAGAAATTTGGGAGGCAGAAGGGTGTGAAGGAAGTTGATGGGGAGAGACCATATCAGGTTGGATGGTGGGGCTGCTCATCCAGCTGATGGGTTTCCTTGTAGAGTGAGATTCAGGAAGGCAAAGGTATCGGTGTAATGGCATTTGCATATATATCGTCGTTTTCTGGTGTCGTCTAGCGAATGTTAGACTAAGAGCGTTAGTTATTTTCTTGCTCCAGGTAGCTTTTTAACAGACATGACTTCTATGGCTAGTGTAGTCGAAGGATTAATCATATTTCTGGGGGGGGGGGGGGGGGAACTTAATGCAAACTATAAATAATAAATTGAGGAAATTATAATCCAATAATCGTTTATTGATAGTTCAAAAAATTGTTACGACGGGCTACACAACTACCAAGGCACGTGATCATAGAAGCATGAAGGACTATATAATCAAGATGGATTTCCTTTGTATAGAGCTTCGTGCTCAAGATCAATCATTTAGTATACTCTACTATTAGTTACGAATTGCATATCATTATTGTCATTACTTTAAGTCCCTGCTTGACGCCTAGTTATAAACCACCTCGAGAGCCTAGAGCACTTCCACGTGATCTAGACGGCAAACCTCGTAACAAAAATATCTTTAATCAACTATAAATTTTTTTGGAAATAGTTTTATATTTTAATATCTAATCATTATATATGTATCATTAAATATTATAATTTTATTAGATTTTATAATAAAGTTTAATACTTAATAGAAAAAAAATATAGTTATTTTTTATATAATTTTAGTAGATTAGTGTCACGAATCACGAGTATTATAACACAATAAAAGCAAGTACGGCGGTTTGGGCCGCTGTTTCCGAGGGGGTCCTTATCGATAAGGAATCCTAGGACAAGTGTCCTAGGATAAAATATGTCCCAGGATAATTAGTATCCTAGGACAAAACGATTAGGCAACCATGTGGGCTTAGGACAGGTGTCCTAGGACGTTATTCGTCCTAGAGTAGAATGTCCTAGGATAGTATTTGTCCCAGGACAATTATCCTAGGAGCTATATTATCCTAGGATCAGAATCATCCCAGGATTAGTGTCCTGAGGCCTTTAAAGGATCACGTGATGGATAGACTGGATAGCCTAGTCTATCCAGTCTAGGGGATAGCCCAGGTAGACCAGTCTATCCAGGCTATCCAATAGTATTCAGAAGTATATAGTTAAGATAGTTTCATAGTCTAGGAGCTTTGTGCTCAACTTAGTTATCAATTAGTTTACCTACATTCTACTTGATCTAGTAACGACTTCACTTCCAAGTGAATACCAGTGATAAAGCCTTAACCCATAACTGTCACACTCAAGAATACTGGGTAAAGTATCTTGTATTAGAAAATACTAAGCTAAGGAGAAAAGAAGAAGGAAAACAAGAGTAGAGAGTTTTCCTATGATTAAATACAAACGGGGCATGCCACGTGACCCGGAGGTGTGAGGCGTCACAGATAGGGCAGAAGTGAGGCTATATTGGTCTTGTATATGAATCACTCATTATTTAAGTTCTACGGAAGTGCGAAGCTCTCCTACAGAGAGCTTCTCAATCTAGTCCTAATAGGACTAGTGCCCTGTGCTCGTGCTACGCAGGAACCATTCACTTTAACAATAATCTCTCTTCAAACGGGGTAATACGTAAATATTTATCATGTTAAAAGGAATAGAAGTTACCGGTACTAATCACGTGTCGTGATTAGTAATACGGTTACCTAAACAGGCTAGATTAGACGAACCATAAGCAGGCATATTGGTCCCCTCCGAGGATACCAAGAGGAGATCTTAATATGCCTACAGACGTAGTAATATAGTCAATATAGAGGCCTCTTCCACCCAATCTTTTAATATATCATACATATACTTGAATTATTTTAATTTATAATTTACCAAGCCTTAAATCTATATATACAATTTATAATTAATAATTAAACAAAATTTTAAACCCATATACTCAAACCACCCATCGACCACACTGTTTACGGCTTGCCATCTTGTCCCTATTGCCCCTACTTCTCAACAACTTCATTAATAAATTCGCACTCTAGCTGCGACTGTATTTGGCTTCTTCTACTTCTGTATCCCCTCTAGTGACTCCCTCTAGACATATCTCTAGCTATTGTATGATTTCAAATTCGGTACGATTTCCCTGAGTCCCAAAAGACTATACCTCCCTGCCTTTGCTAAATTTTCCCGAGCCAGCAACACAACATCTCTAATAGCCGATGGCGAAAGTGAATACCTCTCGGTATAATAGGGTGTATCAGCTAATTTATGTTGTCTTGTAGCTTCCTCTCCAATAGTCAACACAAGACGTCCTGTATGATCCGCTTCTTTGCTTGCCTCTCTCACATGGCAGAATTCTCTCCATCTCTCGCCACTTGATGAATTCCCCAGATTTACCCGTCGGGTGAGCGATACTAGGATGCCCTGTCCAGCATGGCGCTCAAATTGAATATGATATTTATCATCGCAATTCACAGCGGGACAGTCAAAGGATGCTGAGCTCTCAGATGCATCTTCCTTCGCTATTCGGAATTGTTTCGTTCTCCAGTAATTCCCGGTGGCGCTGCCGAGCTTAAATGCATGGACGAAATTTTTATGTGTTTCTATTTGCACTTGGATATGGCGACAGGTTTGGAACATGGTTTTGTATGTTCTCTCCGGTTCAAGATTGATATACGTATCCTGCAGACGGAAAAGCACAGAACCATCGACCATTGCGACATCTGCTCGCACATGATTGACGTAATTTCCAGTGCGGGATCCGGTTAGATCGCCCATTGGAACAGGATATCGTGATTTATCGATATCGATTGGATGCTCCTGACATTCGACTTCACGCATTAAATCACCCATGATAGTAGGAGACATTGGAAAAATGCGTTCGGAATCGATGACACCCCTGGCCGTGAATCTGAAATGGGCTATCTGGCGTTCGAGTTCGCAGTAGCTTACTAAACCGTATCGATGTAGGAGATATTTCAGGGCCCGTCTTTTGTAGAGAGTTTTGCAGTCTCTGCAGAAGACTTGGGAGCGGAGATCTCTTGTCCAGAGGCTGACGAAGGCGAGGGAATTTGCATTTTCGCGGAGGACGTTGTCCATGTATCCTGTTCCGACTAGTTGTAGGACTTGCAATGAGGAGATTGAGAAACATGCTGCGGAGGCGGCAGGGAGGAATGATAAGATGTTATAGATGATTTCTGTAGGTAAACGGGGTAGTAATGAGGAGGAGAGGGCATCGCGTCGTTTTTTCGGACGAGATAGAATTAGATTGAACGTCTTGGGTTTGGGTAGTCGCTCGTATGAATAATAATCTTGTCCTACTAGAAGTATCGATACGGGGATCCTTCTCTTTGTTACTATTGCTTTGAACTTGCTCTTGATATCGTCCATGATGATAAGACAGTCTATAGAGAAAATAATTAATTCCTTCATAGCTATTCCACACGAATGAAAACGACGTACCTTAAGTCTTTCTTTCTTTCTATCCCAGGTATCTGCTCAAGAGAAAGTAAGCCGTGAATTGAAGAGTGAAGAGTTTCAAAAAGTACTTGTCACAGGATTTTCTTTATATAGAAAAAAAAAGACACATTGCCAGATGTAGATTTTCTCAGTAGTTCAATGACCTAGAAAAATCTAAAGAGACTTATATTCTAGTTGACCACTAAAGTCAAAACTAGGTAGAGTTTAGTATGGTAAACTCAACTACAACATCTGTAGATTATCTGAAGTAGCTAATATGCTTATTTCAAGGCAACAGAATGAAAGATACCAAGAACATATCTAATAGTATACTGGAAAAGGAAATGGTGTATTTGGTCTCGAAAAGTATGCTGTCTGATCATCTTTTAGGTATTGGTACGAGGTGGATGAATATCAGGAGAGATTTAATCTAGCGAGTTTAGCTAATTCTCCGCGATGTCAGGTATAATAACTTTAACATGGCAGGTGTGATTATTGTGGAGTTAAATGTGGTTTATCCGTAGGATAATAATTATAATGATAAATCAACCTCTTTACACCTACAAAAACAAGCCATTCATCGAGAATCACAATGGTTTACATCAGAGTTGAGTACATCAGTATTGGATAGCGACCAAACTATCCTCAGAGTCCATCGAGTCTCGAAATTATGAATTCCTATCAAACATCCCACGAATCATAGAGTCATTAAGTAAATGTTCTCGTTCTTTACCTACCTAGTTATTTCAGATCTAGCAATATAACTACTTCCTACTGACATGGTGGGACTTATGGGACTACTTACATCACAGTCCTCCATCCCCCCCACCCCAAGAACCTTGTTTGTTTTTACTTTTTTTTTGGTTTTGATTAGTCAATCCTCCAGACCAACATCACCTACTCGTACGAGTAGCTAAAATATAGAAATCTCACACTATAGACACCTAGTAATGGATTACCTTGGTTATTTATTTATTTATTTAAGAACGAGTGATCTTCATCTTCATCTTCTACTTGACACAATCTCACTCTATTCTCATCCGATGAAAGTAAGCTGGATTCTTCATCCCCGTTATTCTCCAAAGCATCCAATGATTCCCGTCTCGTGTGGTACTTCATAACATTAATATATAGTTCATCATACCATTGCATCGAAGCCTTTGATATACTTCCATAATCGTCATCCTATACCTCCCATCCTTTGGTTTACTTCCTAGAATATATATTATTATCTATTCAAGATTAATACAGAATTTAGTAGGACAGTGCGCATATCTCGACGATGAAAAGGCCATCTCATCCCCGCAGGTATAAAAAGAGTATTCTTACTTATTATTAAAGCTACGATTCCTAAATACATAAACCCACAATCGTACTTGATATGTACCATTGAGCCTAACAATACAACGGCTTCTAGCATGGAGCGACCAAGGTGCGTGCTATGACTACACTACTAGCTATAATCAATAACGACCTAACTCTTCCCCCCCTTCAAACCACCTAACCCCTTCCAGCCCAAGTCCGAAAACAAATAACCACTAACCAACACCAATAAACACTAACAAATCCAAGATAACCAAATCCTCATTCCAAGCTTTAAGTCTTAGTCTTAGTCTTAGATAATACCCCGCATCGAAGAACTGTAAATTACTCGTATATGCTTCAAGTACACATTTCAAGTAAGTAACTTGACTTGATGTCTACTCTCCGAGCAAATCAGTGTATATACTCAAGTTGAGATAAAATGGTATTGATTTCTCGTACCTGGATGGATGGAGTGGATTTCAATATATGATATAAGATTTTGATTATGATTCCGTATAATTGATTGTATCTTTGGAGCAGAGGAAAACCTATATGGCTGGGCTTTGTAGATATACATGATTATATTTTATTTTCATTTTCCTGGTTACTATCCATTGATTGCTCTCATATCTCACTTGAGTGTTCTGAGATTTCTTTGCGAATGATATAGATTCCGTCCGGGTAAAGACCATCAGTGGAGTTCGTAGAAAGAAATGGAATCTGAGAAAGGTTCAACATCCTTATTATTATCAACATCTAGCCACAAAATCATGATTGAGACTTAAAGGGCGATTTTATTATCCATGAAAAGCATGTTCCTTCCATCTAGTTTCTTCTTCTTCTTCATCGCCAGAGTATACCCAAACGCCTATAATCATATCATGTCTCCTCTGACTTGTCGTAAATTCAATGCACTTGTGTATGCAACCAATTTGTATATGTATGCTCATCATCCATCATAATTGCCATGCCATACCATGCCATGCATACCGTATCCATTCATCCCACGTATACCAATTTCTACCCGATTCATAAAATTTCCCAGCATCAATCGAAATTCATCTCGACATTCAAATACCTCCACCTTCACCGCCAGTTAGCAAATAAATAATGACAGAAGCAAGATGATCGGACTTACCACTTCTTCCAGCAGCAACAGCGAAATTTCGTGGTGATCCAGCGATCTTTGCCGCTTCACTTCTTTGCATTACTGCTTTCCATTTCATACTGACGAAGAGAGCTCCGCCACCGAGTACGGTACCGAGGATTAATCTTTGACGGCTGTGAATGTGAAGTTAGCATAGTAGGTTCATGGTTATAGCATTTGAGGAGTTTGTTGAGTTGGAGATTGAGGATATGAGGTTAAGAAGATAGTGATGGATGAATGAGTGAAGGGATGAACATACGAGAAAAGGGCTCGTGCTGGTGGTGCCATTTTGATTTCTTTCCTTCTCGTTGGTTATTATTTTGAGATGTATTATTTGTATTTAATACAATGAATGTATTGTGATCTGAATTTGAATTAATTAAGAGAAGAGAGAGATGATTAAAGGGAAACAAGAACCAAGTGATGGTTTAGATGGTTCGATTTTAAAAGTACGGATAACTTCGGAGCAAAAGAAGCTTCGAAGTTAAAGTTTAGAAGCTCACGATAAAAAATCACACGAGCTATCACCAATTGGAGTTAGTCTTCTCTGATGATCCATGTTTACCCCAGAATTCAAGGAATTGGCGAATAAGAGGACGCTAAGATAAAAGATAAGATATGACGGATGTGTTCCGCTGCTTTTGCCTCGCTGAGAGTATGAGGTATCCAGCAGTTGATAAGAATAGGTTACAACCGAGGTCATTGCAGCTGTTGATTTTGTGCAAGGCTACTCGACATACATATATTTATACATTATTTATGCATTTATTGCATGGTATTAAACAATAGGGGATAAAGTCCGGCCCGATTAAACGGTTCTCCTTTTGGTCCAGGTGTTTCTCGGCCACTCACTACTCACCACTCTTCGATATCGATACTCCGACGTTAATTTCATCTCCTGGATGATTTGACATCTTCACGACCATCTACGGTATAAACTTATCATCATGTTTGAGGCAATTCAAGAGCCCGTTGATATGAGGTATTGAGCAGCGATGAATACATCTATCAATCTTACAGTATCACGCATTGAGCTGTGTACAAAGATCGATCTGCCTTGAATTCTTTCCATGTTGATTTCAATTCGGGGTTCAGCAACTTGGTATACAGTATACACGAGGAGTTGCCAGTGCCACCCCATATCACCGTTAATCGAAATCATCATGTCGGAAATTTGGCTGGAAATAATTACTGGCAATCCGGTAAGTCCTCAAGTAGGTAGTTAAAATATTGACATCTAGAATCTAGATCCATCCAACGGTCGATGGATTGATCTCAAGGCTGGCTGACTAGGTTACAGGAACCTCGGTTGGACTTTACTCTGTGAAGCTCTCCTTATATCAGGTCAACTGCGGCCGGTTTATTATTAGATATCCGGAGAATGGATTTATGGATTTAGGGTTACTTAACAGCGCTTACAAGGTAGGTCCCCTTGTCAGTTACTGCGCTTAGAGGGTAGTACTGCAGTTATCGAGGGGATGAAGGGGCTTCCCTCGGCTTCCTTTGGCTTTGGCCAATGGTTAATTTACGAATTTACTCTACCAGGTATGTTATTTTGTACAGTATGTTCTTCCGATACTCATCTTAAACAAACTCGAAGAATTTCATAATAAAGCATATATCTTTTCAAGTGAATGGAATACCGACTCAGAATCATACTCATACTGTAAATCATCTACTCTCAGGAGTATCAACAAAAAGTATTTGTTGTCTTTATTTATATTAAAGTTACTATGAAGAAGCTTCCAAATCATTTTTAATATGGGTACTCGTAGATATACGGGACTAAGCAATCCTGAACAACGCAGGATGCACAATATATCACAAACCCCACCTCAATCTCCCAAGTTTCTCCTTCACAAAAAGTAAATCGAGAAACCATTGGGGTCGAGACATTCAATCGATTTCCCCTATCATAAATCTTGGCTGAAGTTGGCATGATCTAATTTCGATAAATGTTCGATTACTGGAGGCACAGTCCACGATCCACAAAAGAAAGAATTTCACATGCAGGTACCAAACGGTGTGGTTACTACTGAATTAATAAAGGAGGCCCAATTGCAACCTTTAAATATAGACTTAAATGTTACTACTGTATATACTGGGTCAGAGTAAATTAAAAATTCATCATATCCGAATGAACCGAATTAACGACGATTTAATTCCTTGCATTATTAATCTATTATCAAGGATGGAATCCAAGGATTATGCTGATTAACTCATCCATTCCCAAGTCTCTAACGGCTTTTTTCATTTGTAGATACAACTCGCTTATCCTTTTCTACCACGCCATTGTTTCCAATATACAAGATTGAGAGATGAAATAGATTAAATAGATTAAATAAATTAATTGGAAGACCTTCTTGACAATTACAATCCTGAATGGTAAGATGTTTAAAAGGTACAGTCTCTCCATGGTAAGTGATCTTTTTTCTCCTTCCTCAAGCACATTTGCCCTCACTTCACATTCATTGTTGAATATCACGCTCTTTTCGCAAATCTTTCACATACAAGCTCCAAGTCGAGTTTATTTCAATCTTTTCAAGTAACTACATCTATATCTTTATCTATACACCCAATATCCGGTCCGTGACCAGATCAACTCAAGAACTTCGCAACCGACCCAACCAACATCTCACTCAACCTTCAAACCAAAATTCAAAATGCAGCTCCCAATGACGACACTCATCGCTCTCCTCCCCTTCTTCCTCCAAGCCAACGCTCAAGCCTCCGGCTCCGGCACCACAACCCGTTACTGGGATTGCTGTAAACCATCCTGTTCATGGTCCGACAAAGCCGTTTTGGCATCTGGATCCGGCCCCGTAGGAACCTGCGATATCAATGATTCTCCTCTCTCCGATCCTACCGCCATGGCTGTCTCCGGATGCAACGGAGGAACTTCCTACATGTGTTCTGATCAATCTCCTTGGGCTGTTACCGATGATTTGGCCTATGGATATGCGGCGGTTAATATTGCCGGTGGAAGTGAATCGTCTTGGTGTTGTGCTTGTTATGAATTAACTTTCACCAGCACTGCTCTTGCTGGCAAGAAGATGATTGTTCAAGCTACGTAAGTTTATTCTCTTGCATTCAAATCTTACTCATCCTTCTTAAAATACATCATCTAACATACTTCCCCTCCAGAAACACCGGAGGTGACCTCGGCTCCAACCAATTCGATCTCGCCATGCCCGGAGGAGGCGTCGGAATCTTCAACGGCTGCACGACCGAATTCGGCGCACCATCCTCAGGCTGGGGCTCCCAATACGGCGGCGTCTCATCCGCAACCGATTGTTCCACATTCCCCGCTGCTCTCCAAGCCGGATGTAATTTCCGCTTTGGCTGGTTCGAGGGAGCCGATAACCCAACTGTTGATTTTAAACAGGTTGAGTGTCCGGCTGCTTTGACTAAGAGTACAGGTTGTAAGAGAGCGGATGATTCAAGTATGCCTGCTCCTGATGTGGCGGGAAGTGCGTCTGCTTCGCCTATTGCTAAGGTGGCTACTTCTTCTTCTTCTTCTTCTTCTGTGGCTCCTGTTGCTGCTACTCCTGCTAGCTCTTCTTCTTCTTCAAGTACACCAGCAGTTGTCAAACCCACTTCTGTTAAACCTTCTTCCTCTGTTGCTGCTGCACCAGCACCAGTTACTACACATGTTTCTTCTTCTTCCTCTTCGAAGACTGTTGCTCCTCAGTCAACTGCCGCTTCTGCTCCTTACAGCGGAGAGGATGATGATACTTGTGATGCGGAGTAGATGGAAGGATATGAGCATGGGATTAGAAAAAGTGGGAACTCAGAGGATGATAGAGCAAAGGAGAATTAGATTGGTGATGAGTAGATGTATATACATATGCATATGACCATGACCATGGCCAAAGAAGACAGACATGTATAAAGATAAAGATCTATTCTTGTAACTACTTTTTTATAAACGCAAATATATTTTTGCATCATTTTTTCGATATACATCTCCTAGTCTTTTTTTTTGGTTGCTCTGCTTGCGAATTATCATGTCGTGAATTATGTTGTGAACATGAACATGAATGTACGGAGTATACGGGGGCCAATCTCTATCTTGTAAATATCAATCAATCAATCAACTAATTAATCGATCTATTAACCAAATTAAGTCTTACAAGAACTACTTACTGCCTTCACCCACATAAACTTATAATAATAAATAATCGGTTTCAATTCAAATTCCAAATTCCAAATGTACCTCCCTAACATTGATACGCACCACTCCATCCCAATCCTCACGTCTCAAACTCTCACTCACAGTTACTCAATCCCATCCACTCATAAATAAATAACCTTACATTCAACATCCAAGAAAACAACAAGCAAATCATGCATAAATCATAAATCCCTAAATCTATAAATCACTCACGATCGCTGCGCCCGAACGAAAAATAATGTAAGATCTTTATTTCATAACCACAGCCTCCATAGCCCCATACCCAGCGTTTCACAACCGCACCCTTTCATTAACCTTATTCGAGGACACGCTAATTAATATGAAGATTCAAGCATCACCCCAACCAAACCAAACCAAACCAACACCATGCATTCCTCTAAGTCTAAAATACACAGATGCAAAGATATAAATCTCATCCCTCCACCATCTCCTTTCATGCATCATCCCATCATCCCTCCCCCCTCAAACCCAATCTACTCTACCACCCCCAAGTCCTATCCACCAATTTAAACGGTTTCCACACGATCCTCGCGGGATCAATCACCCTCTTCGGTCTCAACTTATATTTCTCCCTCATCGCCTCATGTCTCTTAATCAACGCCGTCGGTAAAACCATCTTATGTTCCCCCTTATGATAAACCTGCATTTTCAACGCTTGTAACGTATGTTCCACATCTGCGCTCGTCATGCTAAGTTTTTGGGATAGACCTTCTATGCTTATTCTTTCATCTCTTTCGTTGTGGATTAAGAGTTCCTCGACGATGCGTTCGGTCCAGTATTGTCGATAGGAGAGGAGACCGAGATCCGAGAGGGGTTTTTCGGGAGAGCCGAGTTTTCCTTCGATTTTGGAAAGTTCGTAGGAGAAATTGATGAGGAGACGTCCGTATCCTTTACGTTGGTATTGGGGAAGTGTGAGGATACAAGCTACATTGTATCCATCTGCGCTTTCTTTCTCTTTTGAAAAATATCCTACGAGATGAAATCCCTTTTCGTCTACGGAACACATGACATAGAAGAGGAAAGGATCCACATCGTAGTAAAGAGTTTTGTGATCGAGAAACATCTTCGATATGAGACATAAGTTTCGACACCAAGTTCGTTGACGACGACCATCAATTTCGAAGAATGAAACGTAATCATCTCGATAGATTTCATTTCCAGGAGGATGTTGTAATGTACACTTGTGACGATGTCGAGTAAACGATTTGAGATCTCCGTAATAAGATAAACAAAATTCACAAATGTACATTAGATCCTCTTGAGTGAAGACTTCTGGATAAGGAGAGAAATACCAAGGGTAAAGGTCGAATTTACCGAATTGAACTTTGGAAATATTTCGAATTCGTGATATTTCGGCTTGATTTTGTGTCATGGAACCTCCAGTTCTTAACTTTTCAATTTCTTCTTCTCGACTGAAATGTTGAACGGGTTCATTCTTCGCATTTGCTGCTTCAGCTGCCGCTTCATCCACATCCATAGGATCATTTGCTTCAGGAGTAGCATCAAGATCTAATGCCACGGTAAGTTTTGCATCTCCATCTCCATCAACATCAGGAGTTTGTCTTTGAGAATCAGCAAATTCCGACCAAGGTTGAGCATTTGAACCTGATTCTGAAATGACGGAATCTTCTCTTTTACTTGCTTGCGCTGGACGTTTTTGATTCTTCTTCTTACCCACGCTGGTTTTCTTTCCAGCTGGAGCAGCTTTGGATTTATCCTTTGGTTTTTCTGGAGCTGGCCATTCAACATCTTGAGTAAAATCTATTCGTATAGCTGGAACCCATTCATCTAGACGTTTATTGAAATTGTCAAAATTGCAATAAAATTGACGACCACTTTTCGTCTCTTTTATACTTAGAATTTCTGCTCTTCTAAGTGCACCATCCTGAATGAAATTAGTATGGGATTTGATAGAGCCAGGGGAATTAAACTGGGATCGATGTCTTAACTAAAAGAATGAAAAAGGGAGAATGAGGAAGTTAAAACAGAGAATAATTGAATGGAGGTTGAATGTTGAAATTCTGATGTAAAAATTCCAAGTTCCCAGATACAAATACAAATAAACACAAAATGAACACTAACCTTCTGAACCATAGCTATACATCCTACCCTACAGGCATCATCAGCACCACTATAAAATTGCGACCGTGAAATTTAGAGCCAAGGTAAAAATAAACTCACCTCAAAGTATCAATCGTCGCTTTACTCTTCTGTTTAGGTGCCGGTGTTCCTACATTACTATCCTTATCCTGTGAAGGACCCGTCATGATGAATTAACTAATTATTTTTGATGATGGGGAATTGATTTTGGATTAATTTTGATTGATTTCGCGATTTCGTGATTTTGGTCGTTCGTTGTTGACTTATTTTGTTCTAGAGGGGCAATTTGACAAGGCTGTTGAAAGAATAATGCTGTACGGACGGAGTATTTTTAGCGTTCCACTCATTGACATCGAAAAGTTGCAGGCACGAGCCAGCCCAATCCAGCCTTGTCTTATCACCAATATTTTATTTACTTGATGAAAACCCATCCTCGAGATTTTACCCTCCAATCCTATCCAAAGCGCAACAAGAACAATAACAACAATAGAACATGCAAAATAAAAATCATGGCACCTGTCTTATCAAGTAATTGGAAATCCCTACAAGCCATACTAAAGAAAAACCCCCCAGCATCCATCGAAGCCCAAAAACGAAAAGCCGCAGAACCTTCCGAAAGGACAAAAGACAGTATCGCCAAACGCAGACGATTAGAAGGCAACACACTTAAAACCCGATCAATCGCTGAAGCAAAAGGAACAGCAACGAAGAGGAAAGCGATGGGGGGAATGGGAAGTTCACCAATTTTGGAATCGACGGAAGATGATACTCCACTTCCTAAAAATGCACCGTCTGCCTCTTTAGCTCTTTGGGCGGAAGACAATGATATCTCTGCGAAGGATCTCGCGGAAGCTTATGGAGGGAATTTAAAAGATACGACGATACAGGGTGCACGAGCTGATAAGATCAATGGGGGATTATCCACCGATGTCGACATAGGGAAATACATCGGGATAGATTGTGAAATGGTAGGTGTAGGAGGTGCAGAGGATCGATCAGTATTAGCACGCGTTAGTATAGTGAATTTTCACGGCACGCAAGTATACGATTCATTTGTGCGACCTCAGGAATTTGTGACGGATTGGAGAACTCATGTTTCCGGGGTTTCGACGAAGAATATGGCGACGGCGAGGGAATTCGACGAGGTACAGAAAGATGTTGCTGAGATATTGAAGGGGAGGATATTGATTGGACATGCAATTAAGAATGATTTGGAAGCGATGATCTTAAGTCATCCAAAGAGAGATATACGCGATACATCGAAGTTTTCAGGCTTTAGGAAATACAGTAACGGGAGAACACCAAGCTTGAAAAAGTTGTCAAAGGAGATATTAGGTGTGGATATTCAAGGTGGTGAACATTCTAGTATTGAGGATGCGAGAGCAACGATACTTTTGTTCCGGAAACATAAATCGGCTTTTGACATCGAACATGCGAAGCATAATCCTTCGCATTCTGGTGCTTCGTCAAAATCTAAGCCAAAGAAGAAGAAGAAAGGGAAACGTTGAGGGAGTTCAGGGTTAATAGGATGAGGCCAAGCAGGTTGTATGGATTTTTCTTCATTATGAAGTATTTCAGCAAGACTGGTGTCAGATCATCTGGATTGAGAGGAATTTGGAGTTTGGCGTTAAGAAAATCATGTATTAGACTTGAGCTATACTTTCATATCATATGGACACTTTCACGATGCACCAATATAAAACTTACAATCATGTTCCAATCACAGAAGTTTTGACATTTGACCAAGAGCCGAAAGAAAAAGCTAGCACTCACACTCCCCTGTCTGTACCTGTTATACAATGAATTATCCGAAGAAAATTCTCTAGTCTATAGTCGGTCTATCAAACTACCATTCCAAAGCAACATCAATCCATCCTTCAATTACTTTTTTTGAAATATAGCGAGAAGAGAAAGTTCGTTACCCCTTCATTCACCCACCCATCGACTCCAAGCGCTCAAATGAAGTAAGAATAACCAGCAATATGAAGCAAGTCTGAAAGCTTAGCTTATAAGGGTATACCATGCATCAATTCCAAAGCTCCCTCTCTCCCAACCGTAATTATCGCATCTCCTAGTGTCTTTGTCGCGAATCCTGCTTCGCAATATGTGAAATAATACTATAATAAGAAAGAATGAGTATGTTAGCATGTGATCTTCGGAACGATAATTCATAAGATTACAAGGAAAAGGGAAATGGGATACTAACCTCCCACTTCTTTCTGAAAACTTCAACCTCTCTCTCACCCATCCCTTCATGCTCTGCCATCAACGCGGGTCTAATCCTCGTTTCGAAATTCGCTAGGAACTTTTCCCTCCATAATCTTAAAGTTTTCGCATAATGTCCTCCGATGTTTTCTACCTTTTCTACCACCAATGTTCCTTCCGAGGCTTTGGTAATATTATCAATTAATTGAGTAATGGAAGGAAGATGTCCACCTGGAAATATATATTTTCTAATAAAATCCTCTCCTTTTGCGTATGCTTCATATCGACCTTCTGGCATGGTAATGCATTGAAATACAGCGATTCCATCGGGTTTTAATAGTCGATGAATACATGAGAAATATGTTTCAAGGTATTCTGCTCCGACAGCTTCGAGCATCTCTATTGAGATTATTTTATCATAAGGTTGTTTTGGAATAGGTAGGGCTCGATAGTCCATCAGTTTTACTTCGATTCTGTCCGCCAAACCAGCTGCATATATGCGCTTTTCAGCCAAAGCTTTTTGCTCGATCGATAATGTTAAACTTGTCACCCGACATCCTGTTCGTTGAACGGCTCGGATAGCAAATGAGCCCCATCCAGTTCCGATTTCTAATACTTGATCTGTGGATTTGATTCGCGCTCCGTCTATAAATCGATCGAGTTTCGTATTTTGTGCTTCTTCAAGAGGTTCTTCTTCAGACTCGGAAGAGATGCTAGAAATGGGTTTCCATATTGGACATGAATATGTCATATCTTCCGAAAGAAATGCGGCGAACATTTCATTGGAGATATCGTAGTGCGCGGAAACATTGAGGAGAGAATTGGAGAGGGTATTCGTACTTCGGGCGAGTCCTGTGATGGTCGCGGCGATAGATGAAGTTAGGGTTGTTGCATTTGCGAGTTGATTACGATTTTGGATAAAAAGCTACCAAAAGGAATTAGTATGAAAACCCAACCACCAGTCGTGGAAATATATCATACCTCAAAAAACCCAGTCAAATCATCGCATTCAACTTCTCCCAACATATACGCCTCCGCGAAGCCCATGTCGGCAAATAAGAATAATCGCACCCAGAATGCTTGATTGATAACCCTCAATTCTATCTTTCTTGCTGCACCAGCTTTCCTTGAAGGATAATGGCCATTAACGCCGTCGACCTTGGGTTCTTTGGCAATCTTCGCCCCGTAACATAATGTGGTTCCAGTTTCGACATCAGTAACAAGTAGTGTACCACGCTCAATTCGTCCGAATAATGAAGTGACAGCAGTCTTTGAGAGAGAAAGGACGGGACCCCAAGTCAAACCACCAATTGTACTCTTCAAGTAATCTGTACTTTTTGTTAAGGGTATGGTGATGGCACCAGGAAGGTAGGAAGCCATTGTGATATATCAGGTCGTTTGAGTATGAGAACGAGTAGGTCTAATGAATTATTGTATTAATGACCTGCAAGTTCAAAGAACGTTGGATATAAAGTTCAACTAGAGAGACAAGAAGGTAAAGGAAAAGAAAACTGTTCACTCGGACGAGGTAGAAGGGTAAGTGCCGTGCGCCGGACACTAGATTTGAGGCAGAAGCTAAGCTACCGGAGCTAGATCTTTAGCTTGATTTGCGCACAATCACAAGCTAAATTTTGATCTAATTGACAAATGATTGAAAGGGAAGGAGAGGAAGTAGTATGTAATGAGGAATTGGTATATACCTTTGTTACTGTTACAGTATCAGCATGGGACAATATGTTTCTATATCTGAGGAAAAAAAAGGAAAATCGAGGCAAGACATACAATTGTGACTTCAGACAAGAAAAGCATGGGAATCCTTGATCACGATGTTTTCCGAAGATGGCCAAATGTTTAACGCTCAAGTAGGAAGGAAGTACTAGTCTGAATATGGTTTAAGGAGGGGTTAATAGCTCATGCGGGTAGGTGGACCCCCGCGATTAGTGATCTGTGCTAGATATATGGATATTTGTAGATGTGCTTGGGCTGGCTTGGACTTGAACTTGGACTTGAGCTAGGACTTGAACTAGGACTGGGACTAGGACTCGGACTTAAGATATGGACAACTTCTGAAAGGTGGTTGAAGGGACAACAGGTTTTTGTGAAGAAAGATAAAATGTTATTCTGCTGTGTTGTGTGTATATATGTAAAGAAAAGTATGTTTAGCAGTGCTGCTGCTGTTCTTGGCCCTCGAAGCATGCATTGCATAGATCGGGAGGAAAGAAATATATATATATGTACAAGGATTTAAATCACACGGATACCATTTACTATCTAGGTACTAGTCTGTAAAGCATAAAGTGCTTTTTTAGTTTTGTATATTCCTAGCTAGAGTAGATATGATGTGTGTATGAGCGTGTTCGTATAAGGCTGAAGTAGAAAAAATATATATCAAAGAAAGATCTCGGAGATCCGAAATAATATGGGTAAGATGGGTACACCACATTACTCCAGATCACACATCGATGAGTACTTGTGATATCGATAAGTAGCTGAAGGCTTCGATCATTCGAAGAAGAACTATCTCGGAGTCCGTAGATATCCGAATGAACGATTTGTGAGATCTTGGAATTCTTTTCTCTCTCCAAAATATATCTCTGAATCGAGCGGATGAGATTGATGAAATAATTATTAATCAAGGGTCCAGGCGCCTTCAAGGGTCCAAAACATTAAAAGATGCACTGGCATGAAAAAGCAGAAAGAAACTTGGTGATGATTATGTAATATACAGGGGGTGTATCGCGCAAACGTTCGATTGACGATGCTCCGGCCTATATCTCACGGATCGACCATATGTGAATCCAACGAGACGGAAATGCTGAGTCTCCGTACCTAGGATGAAGATACTTCCGATGTAAAAACAACAGTGGGATAGTTATCTGTGCCGAGTAGGGATTAGTATCTTCTAATGATGGATGTTGGTTATCAAACATGATGGCGGTTGTGTGGGAGACTACTTGAGTAGATGGTAAATAAAGTTGAGTATCGATAGGAAAAGAGACAGGAACTTGCAAAGTAAGATTGGTGATTTATTCGCCCAAAACGGATCATGGTATATACCTGGTAGTATTTTATATCTCTTAGTGTACTGTGCCACTCTGCTGCACCGACATTGAAGCATCAAATGTCACAAAAGGCAGTGACCCGAATGAAGGGGTAGTACTAGTAGACGAGAGCGACACAATCGAAGCTATATAAATTCCTTCAACGTAAATGATTTGATCTGCGAGAAATATGAGAGTATGCAGAGAGAACTGTCCTACAGCTTCGGATGCTCGAAAGGTAAATGAGGTTTTGTGAAGCTAGAAAATAACTTTGATATCCCGATGCGCAACTACCTACGTAGCGTAGCTTCAATACGATTGAATCCAACACTGTAATAAGACCTACGTGTGACAACTAATGGTCCAAGCTCAGACACGCATTTCCCTCACAACGCGTCAAGTCGCGTCTCATCCCAACACACAAAAGATAGATCTAGATATTTGCATCAATTAACTCAATTGACTCAAGCCAACTCCTCAAATTTCAACTAATAAAGGATCCTCCCAAAATCAATACAAACCACAAAAACCATGCTCGCAATCCGTCCACCATCCAAACAATCCTCCTCCAAACCCTCCAAAAAATACACACCCAACCTCATTCCCTGCCGCATAAACCACACTGCACCCACCAAGATCGAAAAAAGATACTGGGAACCAAAGCTCACTAAAAATTCAAAGGGGAAAGAAGAATTAGTGGCATATTTCAGAGGTAGAAGATTAATTGGTAGAAAGGTTAAGGTTCCAGAAGGATGGAGGGGTGTTGTTTTGAAGGTGGGAGAGGAAATTATGTCACGGGAAGTTAATGTGGAAGATGAGAGGATGGGGGATGGGGATGAGGATGAGGATGAGGAGGGAGATAAGGGGGAGGAAAAAGATGTGGAAACGAAGATGGTTGAGGAGGAGGGTTTTTTTGATGATTTGACGGTTTGGGGTCATGAGTGCTTGGTTGATGCGGCTGGGGATATGGTGGTTAGAGGTATTGAAGAGTGGATGGGCTGGGCGGGTGCGGTATGTTATTTCTTTTTGTTATTTTGTCGGGGAGATAGAAGGCCAGGAGGAAGCAGAAGATGGGCTGGGCTGGAGTGATGGTACGATGGGGAATTGTGCTAATTTGTAGTTTTAGATTCACGGCAGTGAATACGAGACAAACAAGGAGGGCAAAAAGTCGACTTGACAATTGATATTGGACTTCTGTTCTAATGGGAAATGGTGGTGTGCATGGCGTTAGTTGGGTTGCATTGGTGACCAGTCTGTTGGATTCAGCACTGTATTGGGTACATCGTATTTATTGGCACGGGTAAATGAGGGTCACAAAACATAACTCGAGGTGTTTGGATGTCCAATGATTGGAGTAACATAGGCAAGTTTATAATGCGTCCCGATGCTTTAAGGCACGTGGATGGGACGACATTTGCAAGCAAGACGAAGAATAACAGAAACATCAAAGATTACTTGTTTTTCGCTTCTTTCTTGGCTTCCAAACCTCTCCTCTGTGATCCCTTCCTGCTCAATCTTGCGCTTCTCTTTTGTTACATTCTGTGGCCTGTTTCTCGGTTTGCGATAAATGTTCCCTACTTCCTCCTGCTTAATATACTTTCCTTCCCGGCTCTGTTCCTGCACGTCGTCTTCCGGCGTTTCTTCACCATGTACCTGTATCCAATCCCTCAACTCCTTTTGATACCTATCCTTCAAAACTTTATACCCCTCATTTCCCCTACACCTCTCCAACGTTTCTTTAAATATTACACTAGCAATCAATTTATCTCCCTGTCCCTCATGTCCCCGACCCTTCTCCATTTCCACCTTTTGACCATCCTTTCCAATTTCACATTTTCGCCCCCCTTTATGATTCGCATAACGTTTTGATCGCGTCATACCCATTTGTGTAAATTTCCTACTCATATCCATGCCCACAAAATCATCCTCTGTATAAAAACGAAGAAACTCGTCGTACAAGGCTATCGAGGATTTATTTTTAAAGCAATTGTGTTACGATCAATCCTAACAGCTATTCAGATGACTAAGCTTACAATCACATGATCCAATATTGTCCCACCTAGAATCACTCAACTACAGGCAGTGGGACATAATGGGAGGCGATGGGATGTATAGTACGAAGGTCTATATAATGAAGATGGATTTCCTTTGTATAGAGCTTCGTGCTCAAGATCAATCATTTAGTATACTCCACTATTAGTTACGAATTGCATCATTGTCATTACTCAAGTCCCTGCTTGACGCCTAGTTATAAACCACCTCGAGAGCCTAGAGCACTTCCACGTGATCTAGACGGCAAACCTCGTAACAAATTTGAAGAGTGTATAATAAGTAATAATCAGAACTCTTTTTAAAATCTGTATCTGAAAACTATTTATAATTATATTTCATATTGATAAGAATTAATAATTGATTATTTTGTTTTCATAAAACATTTAAAGACTTGATCATAATGCTGAAGGGATTAAGATTGAATGATGTAGCTACCCAAAAATCAATCTATTACGGGAACCAAGTCGCGTCAAAATGGTATTCTCCGTGTTCTGACAACGCGACCTGGAATTTTTGACTCCAGAATTTATGCCCCTCAAAGTAAACAACATTATTTGAAAATCACCAAATACCCACGAGATACCCACCATTCATTCAATAATATTACACAATGGCATCCGTAATGATGTCTGATGCCCCTACACCCGACTTTGGAAATTCTTCAAGAGCTGGAACTCCTAAAGCTCGTAGGCATAGGGGTTCTTCAGCATCAGGTAGACCACGAGGTCCTCCATCTGAGAGTGCTGGTGCTATGAGTGATGATGAAGGTTTCGCAGATGACGCTATTCCACAAAATACCAATCGTCCAAGGAAGAGTGATAGACCAATTCCAAGAGTGGAGGATGCAATTGGGCAATATGTTCAACTTACGTTTGAGGAATTCCTTGAGTCGTGAGTTTTGTCCTCGTTGGACTCTCGCATATCTATCTAATGCCTTTACAGATATATCGAAGATCCAACACTTTCTGGTGCAACTCCTTCGTCCACCATGACCACCGATAAATATTATATTGCGCAAATCCATGGGCTGAAGGCATATCAACTGTCTACTTTATACGTCGATTATACACATCTCTCTTCATACAAAGGAGGCGTATTGGCAGAGGGTATTGTGGAAGAATACTACAGATTCCTACCATTCCTTACGAAAGCTCTGCATAACATGATCGCCAAATATGAACCAAGATACTTTAGAGATCATCGTCAACCTACCGCATCAAGCAATCAAACTTCATCTGGAGCAAGCAATGCTGCATCTGCAAGTCAATCCGACTTTCAAGGAGATAAAACCACAAATCAACAAACCGATAAATTATTTGCGCTAGCATTTTACAATTTACCCCTTGTTACTCGTGTTCGACATTTAAGAACGGCAAATATTGGACAACTTCTTTCGATTTCTGGTACCGTTACGAGAACTTCAGAAGTCCGACCTGAACTTTCCTTGGCTACTTTCATATGCGAAAACTGTAAGAACGTTGTACCAAATGTCGAACAAACCTTCAGATATACCGAACCTACACAATGTCCGAATTTAGAGTGTAATAATCGTCAAGCATGGAGATTGGATATTAGACAGAGTACATTTGTGGATTGGCAGAAAGTTCGTGTGCAGGAGAATAGTTCTGAAATCCCTACAGGAAGTATGCCAAGAACTATGGATGTCATTCTTCGTGGAGAAATTGTCGATCGTGCTAAAGCCGGAGAGAAATGTATCTTTACGGGAGCTCTCATTGTTGTACCCGATGTTAGTCAACTTGGTTTACCTGGTGTTAGACCAATGGCTATTAGAGATACACAAAATCGTAGTGGAGATGCAAGTGGTGTTACTGGATTGAAAGCACTTGGTGTTAGAGATCTTACATACAGACTGGCTTTCTTGTCATGTATGGTTACACCCGATACATCCACTCAAGGAGCAGCCGCAAATCAACATCTTAACGGACAATCCAATAACATCCTTGCATCCCTCAATCAAACCGCTCCTATTGATCCCAATGAGCCTGGAGATCATGCTCAAGAAGCTGTCCTTGCATCCATGACGCATGCCGAAATTGAAGATCTCAAGGAAATGGTTCATTCAGATCACATTTACTCACGTTTGGTCAATTCTCTCGCTCCTATGGTTTACGGACATGAAATTGTCAAGAAGGGTCTTCTGCTTCAACTCATGTCAGGTGTTTCCAAGGTCACACCGGAAGGAATGCAACTTAGAGGTGACATTAATATCTGCATCGTTGGTGACCCTTCTACCTCGAAATCTCAATTCCTCAAATATATCTGTTCTTTCCTTCCTCGGGCTGTCTACACATCTGGAAAGGCTTCTTCAGCTGCTGGTCTTACAGCTGCTGTGGTTAAAGATGAAGAAACTGGAGAATTTACCATTGAAGCTGGAGCACTCATGTTAGCAGATAATGGTATTTGTGCCATTGATGAGTTCGATAAGATGGATATCAGTGATCAAGTCGCCATTCACGAAGCTATGGAACAACAGACTATTTCCATCGCTAAAGCGGGCATTCAAGCTACTCTAAATGCTCGAACTTCGATTCTCGCTGCTGCAAACCCTGTAGGAGGAAGATACAACAGGAAGACCACACTGAGAGCTAACATCAATATGAGCGCTCCTATTATGTCACGTTTTGATCTATTCTTTGTTATTCTAGATGAGTGTAATGAGACGGTGGATCGTCATCTAGCGGAGCATATTGTAGGAATCCATCAACTCCGCGACGAAGCAGTACAACCAGAATTCACAACCGAACAACTTCAACGTTACATTCGATTTGCCAAAACTTTCAAACCGGAATTTACAGATGAAGCTAAAGAATTACTGGTTCAAAAGTACAAGGAATTGAGAAATGATGATGCCCAGGGAGGAGTTGGTAGAAATAGTTATCGGATTACTGTCAGACAATTGGAGAGTATGATTCGGTTGAGTGAAGCTATTGCGAAGGCGAATTGCGTTGAGGAAATTACCGAGCCAATGGTGGTTGAAGCCTTTAACCTTTTGAGGCAAAGTATTATTAGTGTGGAGAAGGATGATGTTGAGGTTGACGATGATGATGAAGAAGTTCCAGCTCCAGCTGCGGATGGTGGTGCAGAGGATGCCATGGAAGAAGATACACAGGATGCCAATGGAAGTGTACCACCAGCTGAAGGAGATGGACGACAGAAGACAAAGATTACCTACGACAAGTATATTGGAGTTGTGAACTTATTGGTTAGAAGAATAAACGAAGATGAGCTGGGTAGTGGTGAGGGAGTAGAAGGAGAGAAATTGATAGAGTGGTATTTGGAACAGATGGAGGATGAATTGGCTGATGAGGAGGCTTATCATGAAGAAATGAAGTTATGCAAGAAGATTATTAGGAGGATGCTCAAGGTTCGTTTCTTTTCCCGTCTCGCCCTCTTTTCCCGGTTGGGTCGTGCCATGTTCTATGGATATGATAACTAACATTTAACTCTGTAGGAGAATATCTTAATGGCAATTCGTGGTCAAGGATTAGTCGATCAGGATAACGCTAATGGAGAAGGAAGTTCGAGATCAGAGGAATCAGTGGTTTATGTATTACATCCTAATTGTGCAGTGGAAGAATATTAAGTTTTGGTATCGGTTTCTGGTATCGGAGAAATATGTCATGCTATGTCATGTTGCATATGAAGGCGTTAGGGATGAACATTTTAGTGTGGTGATAGCATTTGAATGAATGGATGGTTATGTTTAGATGAGAGAATGAAGAAGGGAAATGTACACTTTTTTATGTTTGATGATTATCCAATCTTGGTTTATCCATATAAATTCCGGCCTTGCCCAATAATTCCCCCTTTCTAATTCGTCCATACTCCGTATACTATTCCACGATCACACAAATACAACATGTACTCAATCCCTGGTGCCTTATCTTCTCATCCATAAACATCTCTCACCACCGCATTTAGCCTCCTAGCCACCTGTTCAGAAAAAATCGCAACTCCCACCTCCTGGCTCGTAACCCAACTCGCACGATCCATATTCCCACTCCCCAGAACCGTAATCTCGTTATCAATTACCGTCATTTTAAGATGAAGTTTCACCGGCTGATTTTCCATCCCCATATCCTCAATACGCCTGGGCATTGTTTCGTCACCCCTCGTAGATCGACTATTATTCTCATTTACATTAACAAACGCCGGATTAAAATAAACGATTTCCAAATTTCCAATCCGGGTATTATTACCCGCTTCCAAATCGTCCGTTCGTCGTGATGAGCGTGCAACGAGCTTCCGGTATCGACGCTCCATTTTGTATACTTCCCATTCTGTTAGTGTGCCTGCTGTGACTATTTGTTCGAATATCATTAGTTTTCTAGAAACGACGATTCGGATGTCGATGCCGCGGGTTAGGGCTTCGAATAGCGTGTTGATGAGGGGGGTGTATGTGAGGTTGGGGGTGTAGATGTTGATTGAGGATTTGGCGGTTGAGATTTGTGAGAGGAGGAATGTGTTGAGTGGTGTGGAGGGGGTTTTTGCGTTTGGGGTGAAGAAAATGGAAAAGGGGTTGTAAGATGAGTGGGTATGTGGGAGAAGAAGCGTTTCGATGTTTGCTGGGAGATGTGATAGATCGATAGAAGCTAATAGTGAGGAATCGGAATATCCCAACTCTACAGGAACTTCCTGACTTCTTCGTATAACCTTAGTTGACATCTCCTGTGGAGATTCAGGAACTCTCATCCGTCCATCCCCATCCCAAACCCTACTCCAATAACCTCTCAAATCCTCCACCAATCCTCCCCCTTTAAACCCTACACACCCCTCCCCCCACGCCTCCCAACTAACATTACAACTCGGAAACCACACGCGTTCCTCATCCTGAATAATATACTTCCCATGCAAAACATGACACGGTCGTAAAAAAATCGATTTAACCCTCAAATCTAACCCGGGGATCTCCTCTACCGCCGGTAATCCCAACGAAGAATATCGCGAAGAAGGATATATATATCCATTTTCCGAGGCGGTATGGAGTAATTTCTGAAGAGGGGAAAAAGAGGAAAAACATATTCGGATGTGGATGGTTTTATGGGAGGAGATGGCTTGGGAGGAGAGATGGAGGAGGAGATCCCGGATGGATTGTTGGGTGCTGGAGGGTGCCCAGAAACATGTTACGAGGATGAGGGAGTGGTTTGTGGTGAGGAGTTGGGGGAGGAGAGTGCTGAATAGGGTGGTGCCGGTGCCGAGGTGGAAGGTGGTGGGTTGGGTTGTGCTGGGGGGGTAGTGTGGGAGGTGGGTGGTCATGTGGATGAGGAAAGGGAGGGGGATGTTGATGGGTTAGGGTAAGGGTAAGTGATTATGGGAGTTGGGATGGATGGGATGAGGAATTAATAGGAAGTACTTATAAAAATGCTGGTTCTGATTGTTGATGTATAGGATATTAATAGTGATATAACGGCGTGGTTTCGTTTTGGCGGTGACACTTTGACTCGGCACCCTAGCTTCATAATTTCCATCATTTAACCTGAGGTTTATTTTTGGTCAGATAATCAAATACCCATCTTCACCACATCTTTTGCTTTACAAATTCAAAGAATGCAAATAAAATCGACAATTCTTATTTCTCTTACTACTCTCTTACTGTACAATCAATATTATAATAAAAACTTCTTTTTCTATGAATGAAGGATAATGAGTTCTTGTTCCGTGCATTATGAGACTAGTATCCTATAATCAGAGATGAAAAGTCTACGGTAGTAATCTTACCTCATACATAAGTCTTACATACCTAGGTACTCTTGCTTATACTTCAATGTTATTAAGCTCATTCAGTAAGAGACTCCTAGTGAAGGTGTGATGTTTTTTTATTATTTTGCCAGCATGCAATATCTTTTAGAGTACTCTGTTATGAATGTGTATTTGAGTACTCCTTCGGTGTCTCCTAGTGGTGTCATTGATGTAGGATATACGAGTAGAATGTTACTATTTCTTCCGTTTCCATACTCATTCTCATAGCGAATGATAGGAAAAAAGAGGTCAATCGAGAGAAAGATTGATCGAAAATGAGTCATTCCATAAATGGGCTCTGTTGGTTGTTATCTATGGTGGAAAATTCGATCGTCTTAGGATCATTACAGCAGAGTACATCATGTTACTGTTACTGCCTAGTCAATACTTCAGAACAATCTTGTGCAATGAATGTATTTAATGTTCTGACTGTTTCAATTTTTCAAATGAGTTCAAGAAATGACTCCCTAAACGAACAGCAGTCCGGGCTATTGGACACCTGGACATCCTGCATTTCAAATGCCTTTTACCATTTTATCTTGTTATCAAACTTCGAATAATTCTTTAACAAGTCCATCCACAGTAATACACTCATGATCTGAATGTGCTGAAAGTACAGATCCTGGTCCGATCAAGTAGCGTTTATGATTCCCTTTCAAATTTGGAACATCAGTTCCTCCTCTCTTCACCTCCGTCTCGAAACCTAAAAGTACAAAGTTCAGTATAAGCGACACGAGATTCACGCAACATACATATCATCAATATCTATGTCACAATCAACAGGAGCAAATTGATGACCAAACTTTACTTCCACTCTACCTTCATCAAATCCAAGATTTGCAATAATAGCTTCGATCCTTTTAATGACTTCTTCCGGTGTCCCCGCTGCCAATCTTGTTAACACTGTAGCTGATGCCTTTGCCGGAATGACATCCATTGCCACTCCACCTTCTATCAATCCAATACTCGTAGTTGTTTCACCCAACTTATCGCTTCCAGGTAATTTCATTTCATCAATTGCCGTCAGTATCTTTATCAAAATACTAATTGCGTTAATTCTTAACTCAGGATAAGAGCTATGTGCATCTTTCCCATGAGCAATTATCTCATATGCTAGTGCACCTTTATGTCCAATGACCAGTTTATGTTCAGATGGTTCCCCAAATATGACAGCTTCAAATTCAAGACCATCTTGTTGAAATATTTCACTTGCTCTTTCCATACTAGCACCATTGGTTTCTTCACCGACAACAAAAAGTAATCCAATATCGCCTTCGTGAATTGATTTCTCAGCCATCAATTCTTCCACGGCCATAATTTGAGAAGCCATACATCCTTTCGCGTCGGTACTTCCCCGACCACAAATTTCATTCCCCTCTCCGTTGGACGAACGTGAATATGGAATATATGGTCCAACTGTATCCATATGAGTTGTAATTAGAAGTCTAGTACTTCTCTTTGCCCCTTTATATGCGAAAATGTTGAGTCGTGGCTTATCATCGATATCGTCAACATCATGTAGCAATTTGGTAGAAGAAACATATTGAGTTTCCACCGTAAAATTGCGGGATGAGAGATACGAATATAAATATTGACCAATTTCATATTCATTTCCTGTAATGGATTCGATGAAAATAAGATCTTGGTGAAGATTTACCAACTTGGATTTCGGGTCAGTGAACTGAGAATGTGGATTTTTGGCACTGGCACCCGCATTTATGGGTATTTGTGAGGGATGGAATGAAGAGCTTTTTACGATTGGTATGAAGTTTAAGCTTCCCAGAAGAAAAGAAAAGATGAATGGATTGATCTTCATGATTGTTGATTGATGACAGCAGGATTTGGCTGGTGCGTTATCTGAGAGCGTGGTATTTATGATTTGTTGATACTCGAGTATCGTGTTGGCAAATATTCTGTCATCACGTTACTGAATGGGTCAGACCCCTGGTCATACCTGCATAGTCACAGTCACACAACTAAGATATTCAGTGGATTGAAGAATGAATTTATACTAGAATGTTTGAGCTCTAATCAACTCATCAACGAGTGAATGCTAAACTACTACTATCTTCTACACTAATTGTAAATTTAGTGGTATTTACCCCAGCCATCCAGAATGAGTAGATCCTTTTTCCAAAGCCTTTTACATCATCTCCTCCAACAACAACCGGCTGAACACTTAACCTATTTTCCTGTCCTACAACTTTGATAGTAGTATTAAAATCAAGAAATTCAGACTGAATTTCCTCTCAACCCCGAAATTCGATTTATACCAAAAACCTCAATCAAATTATCCATTTCTCGAAGTCGATAAACAAAATTCTCGTCAAGAATATTCTTCTCTCCTGAAGATGCTTTGCAGATATACCCAGAATCATAACCCAACTGAGTAGGATATCGAGGATAAAAAGCTGTCGTCCCAAGTATTTCCTTTAATCCAGTCTTTGGGTCTTTTCTCTCTATCTTCCATTTCCCTTGCAAGCCACGAAAGATAGCTCGAGCTAAGAAAGCGTTCCCATACTTAGAAGCTTGAGTGAGCGTTTGGAGTTTCTTCATCGTGGTTTCTGCCTCGGCGATAGCACTCACAAATGGATCGATACGAGAAATTATGATTGTGTTGCTCACGGAAAGAATACCAAAGTTTGGATTGCTAAAGGATATCCATTGATCCAAGTTCACTTTTCGCGGAAGTGTGGAATCATGATTTGACTAATATTCTTGACTCAGCAAGCCTTCATTGGTACTTATATTGGTCACATTTAGAAATCACTATCTAAAGCCTGTGCCTTATTCATGGCCCAATAAGTCCCTTTTATCCCCATTAGTTGCACGTGTGTGCCTCTCTCTACGATTCTTCCTTTCACGAGTACTAAAAGACAATCAGCGTTTCTAACAGTCGCCAGTCTATGTGCTACTGTAACCGTGGTGGTGTGACTCGTAATTCGACCCAAAGCATCTAGCACCTCCATCTCACTTAAGGAGTCAAGTGCACTGGTCGCTTCGTCTAATAGTAAAATTTTGGGTTGGCGTACAAGCGCTCTTGCAAGTGCTATTCGCTGCCGCTGACCTCCGCTGAAAGCGAAGCCTTTGTCTCCACACTGCGTGTTGTAACCCTCCGGTAGTGAGACGATGAATTCATGTATATTTGCATCTTTTGCCGCAGCCTCTAAGCGTTCATCTACGGAATGCAGATCATGGGTACCGAGAAGAATGTTATCTCGAAGTGTGCCTTGAAACAAAATGGTGTTTTGGGAGACTAGAGCGGTTTGGCGGCGGTAATCCTCGGTATTGAATTTTTCTAGGGAAGAGGAATTGATTAGAATGGAGCCTTTGTTGATCTTGTAGAACTTTTCAAGCAAAGCAATGATGGTAGATTTTCCAGAACCCGAAGGGCCAACAATCGCCAGGTTGCGGCCGGAATCAACAATGAAATCAATCTCTTTTAAAACCAAATGGCGTAGGGAATTTGGATAGCTAAAGTCAACGCTCTTAAATTCTATAGAGTTTGGGGGTTCTTTAGTTTCCCCTCCATGGCAATGCTTCTGTTGAGTTGTGAGGCCATCAGTTGTTGAACCAGCTTTTGACCTTAAATAAAAAATACTGTTGATAGAATGGTTTGCTCGCGATATACCTAGAACTATCGTGAGATAAATCACCCTTCTATGCAACCAGACACTTACTACTTGAACTTGCGAAAAATTCAGCGGCACCCTCACCACCTGACAACATCGCGAGGAAGACAATCCACAGTTCGACTGTTTCGAGCTTACCATCGGCCAATAGGTTGCCTCCATACCAGAATATCAGGGCCATACCTAAGATATGTTAACTAAGCTAGGAGACATATTCGCAGGATACAGTTACCAAGGAAAGGACCACTCTCGGAAAAGGCAAACAGCGGCATTGTCACGACAATGTTCTTGTAGAAGACAGCAAGAGATTCCCGCATTCTCTTATCAAGTTGAAGGCAAACCTCATTCTCCATAGTCAACGCAGCCACTGTCCTTACTGCTCCAATAACTTCTGACGCATATTGTGCACTGTTCAGCAGCGGCTCGGAAAGAGCTTTACTTTTCGCTGAAGCAGAGCGAACTCGGAGATAACCGGCAAGGAGAATGATCGGTACGCTGCCGAACAATCCAACCAGCGCCAGTCGCCAACTGACTGCTAGTGCCAAGATGCTACAAGATGTTAAATTAACCAAGGCAACCAAAAGCGACCCAAGAACCGTGAACAAAATCTGCATGTGGTTTGTATGCAATGAAAGAGATGCCACAAGAGCTCCTTTTGAGTTAGGTTTTTCGTCAAAGAAGGAAGGATCCTGTCGTAGTATGGATTTGAAATATTCAATTTGGTAATGGAACTTCGTGGTGGTTCCCATAATGGATGATATCGTGCCCATCAGAAAGAAGGCGACAAGAATAGCAATTGCAACCACGAACCACATGAGAGACCAAAAGTTTTCGCCATTCCGAATGTTTGCTTCGATTTGGCCAAGTCTAGATACACTGTGTCCGAATAAAATCGCTTGTGCGGGGTATACGGCACCTGCGACAATGCAAGTGGGTATCACAGCTATGACAAGTTTTCGGAGAAGTCGGTGTTCTACGAGAATCAACCACGTAGATCGGAACAAAGAGGACCCTGGCGATGAAACTGTCATAGGAGGAGAAATAATGTTGAAAGGTTTGGCCATTTGCGTCTTTTTATCGAGTTGAGATTCTGGTACATTGCTTTCCTTACTTTCTTGAATTTCTGAACTCTTGAACGGCTCATCAACGGACTGAATTTTTGCTTCAAGCTCTTGGGCCTCGTAGAACTGAGCATATTTGCCCTTCATTGCCAGTAAAGATTGATGTGTACCTCTTTCAAGCACACTTCCATTCTTTAGCAACACGATCTGGTCGGCTCTTTGGATCAAGGATAGCTTGTGGGTTATAATTATAGTCGTCATACCTACTGAAACCTTCTTGATCGCTGCCTCTACGATCCGTTCAGACTCTATGTCTAAACCCGATGTTGCTTCGTCGAAGATCAAGATTTTTGGAGACGAAATTATAGCTCGGGCTATACTGATCCGTTGTTTCTGGCCGCCACTCAAAAGATTTCCTTTATCCCCGACGTTAGTTTCGTACCCATCAGGCAAGCTTTCAATGAAAGTATGCGCTCCGACCTCGATGCAACTTTGGATTACCAAGGCACGCTTTTCCTGTTCAGAACAATTTTCGAAGGGTGTGCTGTATAATCCACAAGCAACATTGTAGAATATACTATCGTTGAAAAGAGTAACTTCCTGATCGACCGATCAGCTAATTTTTACGAATAGTTTCAAAGAATAAGAGATATACCTGCTGTACAAGCCCAATATGACCCCGCAATGATTTCACATTCAGCTCATTTATATTGAATCCATCAACGGTAATAGTACCCATTATAGGCTCATACCATCGCTCCAGTAATCCAACGATAGTGCTTTTCCCAGAGCCACTCGTACCTATCAAAGCTGTCATGTTGCCGGCCTCAAAGCAGATGTTTAGGTGGTCAAGAACATTGACTGAGGGCCTGGCGGGGTATGAAAAAGATATGTCATGCAGTCTGATATCACCCTTCACACAGTCAAGTACTACACCCCTGGGATTAAGAGAGTCAATGGCGGGCGTGCTATTAATCACCTTGTTGATGCTCAAGGACGCTGCCCTAGCTTTGGACAAAATACCATAAATAGGTAAAATTTTTCTCATACCATTCGTGCCTTGGTTGATAGAGAGAATAACACTATATTCGTCATTAGCGAAAGCACTGAACATCAGGCTTTAACTGATCACACATTACAATCGTTCCACTGCTTGAAATTCTCCCCTGACTCAACAGGATACTTCCATACCAAAATGCAAGGGCATATGAGGCAAGCAAAGCGAAATAGCTCATTGAAAATTGCACTGCAAGAATGGGACTTTTCCGCAGTCTCTTGATTCTGGCGGCTTCAAGGATTGCTGTGTACTTATCAATAAGCTGTGACTCTGCCACGCAAGCCATAACGATACGGATACCGTTGAACACTTCTTCAGCCAGGTTCGCAGCGTTTTCCTCTATCTGCTGAATTTGCCGTTCAAATCGTGTGTCCAAGGCAGCGGTGCCAAAGTTACTGATGAACAGAAGGACGATTGTGGAAAAGAGGACTAACGTGAGCTGCCAGCTATGTACGAAGGCTACGACCAGGGAGATAATGACAGTTGCACCTGCTTGCATGACAACCCCGAGCTTCTCAGATAAAGCGTCTTCAATGCTGCTGATACTCGTGGCAAAATTGTTAGCGACTTTGCCTTGGCTTACCAAACCTGTATCTTGGCTGACCGCAGACCTTAAATATGCCGCCCTAAGCCTCCTAGAACGATTCATTGCTGAGACAGATAGTAAGATACCGTAAGTACAAGTGAGAACCCATTGACCGATGAAAAGATACAACAAGTACAGCACTTCGGAATCGACAGTCTCCTTAAGGGTAGAAGCATTTTGAAAATTGTTGAATTTGTTTGCCAGACCTCCAAAGACAAGGGGCATAAGCGGCCTTGCTGTTCCAGCACCTATTGCTGCTGCAACCCCGACGAGCTGTAGGATATCTAGTGGCCATCTTGATGTACTGAAAACAGCTGGCAATGAATGGCCTGTTGCTGAGGCCCTGGACTCGGCTAAGCTAGCAGCTTCTTGGGTAATTGCGGCCATTTAGGTTAATGCAAAATGACGGAGACAGAAGAGAGAAAATGAAGAAATGAGTTTTGCAGAAGTTTGGAGCATAATTGATGTCTCGCTAAAGAGCTCGAGAAGAAATAATGTGCTCTTTACAATCGTTGCTTAGCAACAGCATCAGACTTTTGTACCAATTAAAGCATTTCCTAGTTCTACTCCTTATCTTTTCGGGCTCTTTGCACCAGATGAAAGCAGATTCGATTACAGGCAGAATACCACAATCTAAAAGCATGATTGGTGCGGAAAAGGAATTGTGAAAGTCTTTTTTTGTTTGTTTGGTGGTTGCAAATGCATGTAACGCTATTGTGGCACGACTACATCCCTGGGTAACCCAGACCGAATTACAAAGACCATAACTTTGCCGACCAATAAATAACCACGAATCAATCACCAACTAATGGGTTTATCCTTCCACCTTACACAATCTCACCACTTTCCGCGTATGCATGTATCGAACTGCTCATAGGAGTCGGACAAATAGTCATTATTAGCGAGATCATGCTTAAAACTTTGTCGCTTGCGACTGCGGTTCGGGATTGAGATCTGCTGATTCTGGCTCGGACAAATCGTCGTTATAGTTGATAATCATATTCAAGACTTTGGCACTTCGGATGAAAACTCTGTCCGAAAGATGCGCCGGCGAAGCCTCGTCTGAAGTATATATTAGCATGGACTCGCAAATGGAACACTGGAGGAGAAAGTACTTTTTGCTACGATAGGGGCGCCCACAACGGTCGACAAAACGGTTATGAGACTGAGCACAAGTGCGAGTTGCATGATGACAGGCTGGACTATGCCCGGGGTCTGAATCTAATTTTTGATGCGAGGTACTAGGATTGGAAACTGAATCTAGTTATATTTTCGTGGTATTGTGAAAGCCAGACAAGACAGACAGGAAAATAGTCGGTCTCAAGCTTTTATACCTACAACTTCCCCATACCATGTTGACCGCCTTGTTAATCACTCAAATGTACCAGTGCACGAAGCTCAACTCCAATTGGTGTGATATCATGCGTACCGACATATTGCGATACCTGGACTGTTCTTCCGATTTAAGTTCTGGGCCCTGGAGTTGAACCTCAAAGGGAAGTTAGGTCCTCTATGCACGCTCTGCCCCGCATTTAAGCGATCTAGCTGCTCATGTGTTGTGCTGAAAGAAACTGCAAGGCGGTGATTAATATCTGTGGAAACCTGTCCAAAGGACTGTTCGCCCCTCAATATCTTGAGAGTAAAATGTGCATGGATCATATAAAATATTGGGCATGGGCTGCTGAATCAATATTTCTCTGCATATCTTCTAAAAAGCCTTGAACGGGCAAAAGTCCGTTTTCGTGACCATTGAACCAGATGGTTGGATACCATTATTTGGCCGAGTGGCTAGTTCTTCGTGCCACAGTATCATAGAACCATATTATTGACTCAAACTATGATTTCCCCGCTGATAAGCCAACTTCCTTTGGCTTCTGTTGTCGCTAATCATTACGGTAACTTATTTTCTTTGAGCTTCTGATAAGTTTTGTTCTAGTACGACCCTCAGATACTGGCTATGCGCCTTTAAATCCAAAAGTTTGATGTTCTTAGCATACTCCTTAACTTCACAGCTCCAGGTGCGATACAATGGAACGAGAAAATCTCCTTCGTTCTTCAGATCAGATTCATTGTGGTGACGAAGAAGCCACACCGAGTTTTGAAGTGTTACTGCAGTATAGAGCGCCTAAGTTTCATGAAAGCAATTGTGCAGGGCGAAAGTCAGCCTTCAAGAAGACTTTGCCTTGGATACTGCACATTGCGTTGCTGTCTGCATCACTAGGGATTCTAGCAAAAGCTTTCATCATTCAAAGATCTTTACCTGCGAACTGTATGGAGGACAGATTTCAATGGAGTAAGTTTGGCTTTTAACGTGCTATTATTCATATACACCCCGCTAATTGACCAAAGCTATCACCATGGGGTCCATACCAGATGTCCATCATTATGAGCGTTTAATTGGTACCGTCAATCGATCCTCGTCCCCTTTCAAAGGTCCTCCATCCCCAGCTGTTGATGCCGCCTGGGCCGAATTAACAGATTGTAAGGCGTCTGTCGGATGTTCCTTCCTCAGGACTAACATGTGGTAATAGATGGCGCAATCAGCATTTCAGAGGCGACATTTGAAAAGTTAAATGCTTCCAAAAATGCCGTGAGGGTTCCAGCAGAATATGGCGGTGGCAGAATGGCTTTCGTAGAAGCAATTCATCAATTGCATTGTTTAGTAAATCAGCGTTACCTTTTGACACCTGGCAGTACCTAGCTAACAGGTTCCCCCGCAGGAATCACTTTGGCAACATACATACCCAGATTATTACATTGAAGCTGCAAGGAAAATCAGAACCAATAACCAAGAATGGCATGAACATATGGGTATGTTATCTTTCCTTTAACGCTTTTTTATTATCTCTTTCTTTGCCTAATAATGATATGATTCCTTTAGATCATTGCGTCGATATGCTCCGCCATAAATTGATGTGCGATGCCGATGTACATCTGATCACTTACAACTGGCTGAAAGGGCACGACGCTCCGCATCCTAACTTTAATACAGCACGACAATGTCGAGATTTTGAATCTGTCAAACGATACGTCTCGAGGAAAGCCCTTGATGGTTCCAAGCTGCCTAAATTATACTTTGAAAAACCTAAGGACGGTTCTGTAATGGAGTATGAGGAACCGCCATTTGATCCTCTTGCCGATGGATGGCCATCACAGCCATAAATATTCATGGCTGTTTGATCTGAAATTTGCCGTAGAACCGATCAATGCACTTGCATTGGATCATGGAGTAGTACAACACTGCCCATGCCCAGTACATAGCACCTCGCAGCATTGTGAACTCGTACGTACCGGCTGCTTCTGCGTATAATCTTTCGGTTTTGCCCCACTATCCGTTCGCATTTATTACAAGGGGTGCTCGGAAGCTGCCGATATTAAGCGTGGAGACAAAAGACAAACCACAAACTCTAGACCACAAACCACACACTTTCCACTGCATCAGCAATAAATGTAAAGATAACATTACCTTAATGAGTACATTACCAGTTTGACTAAGAAAGACGGAAGCCTCAGTAGTATCTACGAATACCAATATCGACCCCAAATTAAAGAATGAGCATCGGATGATAGAAAGTGCAAAACATGGGTCCTTGCTCGCCGATGCCAATCTTGTCAGCCCCGGCTGTCAATGATAACAGAGTCGTAGTTGGTGCGGAGTTGGTCTCTTTAATGCAAAGGAATCGAAAGACAACTTGCAATTGCCCCGGCAACTTCCTCTTGGGCCACGTGTACCTACCTATCCAACCAGCGAGTGTCTTCTCTAGTATTTGGAATATCAAGGTGTCAAGACTCAGCAGTCATTCAATAATAACGGAGGATTCCTTTCAAAATAGATTCTTGGGCCAACGGCTACAACCTTCCGGATTTGGAATCTTCGGCAGTTCTCCGTCTAGCACGCATTATTCGTGGATGTTGAGCGCGGCACAGTACATCAGCTTATTCAAGAATTGAATTCTGTCAGACTATTACAAATAAACATGATCGAGACAGGTATATACCTACTTATTTCAGCCCGGACAAAAAGTCTTTCTAGGTTTAGATTTGCAAGAAGCTTTATCTAGGAGGCGTGAGGTATTTTTCTACTGGTTATAGCCAAACCGGAATTATTCTAGTCCATATGACTCCTTTACCTTTACATTACGTCCTCTAAAATACATTTTCTTCTCAACGCATGCCAAAATTAGACTGCGTGTTACATCCGCGATATCATTACTGGAGGGGACTCTGATCAAACTGTAGGATTGTGTAGTATGCCCTTATACAAGAAATTTGCGGCGAGGTAACATCTGGGTGGCACGAGTCCGGTTTCATGCTTTTTGGACCTGAGTTGAGAAAATGAAGACGACCTTTCTTTTCCCACAAGTACCACATTCTGCTCACTTCGTACACTGGCTTCTCTAAACCTCCTTATTAATCTCCTCGCGTATAGTCTTTGTGTTGTGTTTTGTCCATAGCTAGTCAACGTCCGTTATCAAGGAATATGGTACTAATAATTCCAATTAGGAATCTCAACGTAAAGGGGCCGCATTCTGAATCAATTAGCCAATTATTCAACGCTGACTATCATGGTAGGCATTAGCATGGACATTATTCTGCATTTCGACTGTTATCACTTTTGGTCGCTTCTACATCAGATGGGAAAAAACAAAACGTTTACATTTAGACGACGCTTTCAACGGATTTGCTCTTGCAGCTTTAGTCGGTTTCATTGTAACATATCAGATTTATCTTCCTATTCAATACAACTACCAACTGTATGCTCTGGGTATTGGCGGCTACCTTCCAAGCGATGGCCAGCTGCTTTACGTACAAAATGTGAGCATCGTCAACGTCGCTTTCTTTTGGGTAACAATCTACCTGGTCAAAGCCTCCTTCTTATCTCTATACTGGGCTTTGTTCTCGGTATCCAATAGTTTTCGAAAATGGTGGTTCGTTGTTGCGGCGTATACTCTAATCTCATTTCTGGCAACATTTTTGGCTATTTTTTGGTCATGCAAAACTCCTACTCAACTTGAAAATCTTGGTAAGAATTTTCTCCTTTTAACTCAAAATCCCAGCTGACGAAGCTTTGAAGATGCATGCAACTCCATATCTGAAGGACTTATCGTTGCTCTCGAAACTATGTGGTGTGTCCTCAACACAACCGGGGATATCATAAGTAAGGCGAATATTCACTGCGTCATTCTTTCACTAGTCGAACGTATCTAACATGATCTCCATCAGCGATGACACTACCATTAGGTATGCTACGGGCGATGAAGATGTCAAGATCTCGAAAACTGGGACTAGCTGCTATCGCTGCTCTAGTAGTTATTGACATCGTTTTCGACATCCTCCGAACTATATACACGGTTGGAAGTTATGAGAGTACTTTCCCAAATGCCAATGCTGTTTGGGCTCTTTGCGAGCCAACTATTGCCGTCATGGTCTGCGCTCTGCCCACCTATCGAACATTGCTTTTTCGGAAAACCCCTGAACCATCAACCTCATACCAAGGAATGCGGGGGACAAGGAGCACCCGGAAAAATAACATACGAAATACATCAACACCCCATGAGATGGACGACATAAGTGCATATAGTCTTGCTTCTACTCAATCTGTGTTGGGAAATCATGCGGAGGCACATGTTGTGTGATTGAATTTGTGGTTCATCAAAAAGGACGAAGGCTCGTAGTTTATGGATAATGCATGTTTGCCTTTCAAGGTGATGAACAAGATGGTTGTATAGCTACCAATGAACAAAAATATATTACAAGGAAAGAATGTCAAAACCAATCACGTTGAAGCCTTGTCTTGCTGCTCTGCCATTGGTATGTTTATGGCAATATCCGTAAGGTCCGGGTAGAATTCACTGATGTCTGTGACAAAAATGACTGAAAACAATCATTCTCAATTCCGGCGTCGTACTGGAACCACTGCAAAGCAATGATAAGCAATCAATTCTCTCTTCTAATTCGATTTCCTGCAGGGGAGACCGCTGATGGCTCGTAAAGTGGATCTTTGTCACACAGCCAATCATAGTAATATGATAAGTCACTCTTGCATCTTGCCATAGTCCAACAGTAGTGTCATCCTACTCTATAAGTACCGAACATCGATGCCAATAAACTAAATCATAGTAAAAGCAGATAGAACATCACGAACAACCATGGTTTCAGTGGCAATAATCGGAGCAGGCCCAGCGGGACTTGTTGCTGCCAAAACCCTCTTACACTCGTCTTCAGAAGGGCCTGCCCCAACGGTCACAGTATTTGAGCAGGGCACAAATGTCGGCGGTCTCTGGGCTGTGGAATCAAACTGCAACGGGATCATAAATCCTGGAATGAATACTAATCTTTCCAAATTCACGGTCTGTTTCTCGGACCTAGCTTGGGACAGCCTCGAGTTGCAGCCGCCTGCCAATATTTATCCTCAAGCATGGCAAGTCAATCGATACTTGAATACTTACGCGGCGAAATACATTCCAGCCGGTGTTATCTTTCTTCAAACCTATGTTAAGGTTGTTGAATACTTACAGACCCCATTTGACCAAGAGAAAAGATGGAAAATCACAACCATCACACGCGCTGGTGATAATTGGACAGAAAGAGAGGATATTTTTGATTATCTGATCATTGCATCAGGATTCTTCTCCAAAGCCAGGCAAAAACCGTTTTCATGCCACAGTACAACCACAGAAAATGATGATTGCCTACCTACCATTTTGCACAGTTCCCAGTATCGTCAGCTTTCAGACTTATCACTCACAAATCAACCTCCAACGATGGGTAAAATTCTAGTCATCGGTGGCTCCCATTCGGGCGGTGAAGTAGCTTCTTTGATAGCGATGCAGATGTCCGACGCTCGGCATTCACCTGTTGGCTCTGGGGCGCAACCACTGGACATCATTCATGCCATGCCGCACCCACTTGTTTCCATACCTTCGTTTGTTCGGACCGGGAATGAGAATTGTCCAACCTTTATGCAACTGGATTCGCGTTTATATGACCTATCTTCGCGACCAGACGATCCAATCTCTTTCAATTTTGGATTTACAAATGCAGAAAAGAGGAAGAAGCTGAAAGATACGCTTGCGATGCTTATGTCCGGGACAGCACATGCACAAGACGATAACTTGGTGGTCCAAGCTGATAGAGATAAATTTGGAGCACCGTATGCTGTTGTCGGTGACAAATATGTGGAATTTGTCAGATCAGGTGCTATTAAGCAGGTACTTGGCCGCATTACTCAGGTAGAACAGCCATTAGTAAGTCAACCCCGCTTTCTACTATTTGATACTATCTTACATGTACAAGGAGGAGGGAAATTTGATGCACGCCACAATAGTATCACAATCCGAGCACGTCAAAATAGGCGAAATTGCAGCAGTCGTGTACGCAACGGGGTTCTCTTCGTCACCCGCTCTCGATTTCCTGCCAGAGCAAATCAAAGATAGTCTTGGCTATGACGCTTCTTATCCTCGGCTTCCTTTACTACTAACCCAAGATTGCTTGACTAGCTCGCAAGACTCCCCAAGTAATTTGGCTCTAATGGGATTTTTCGATGGTTCGTACTGGGGAGTTTTGGAAAGTCAAGCTCGCACGATCGCAAGGAAATGGGCTCAAACATCGAAAACACAGCTTTTCACTCCCGCTCAGAATGAAACAAAGAGCACGAAGTCCTCAAAGCTTCGCGCGTTCATGGAAGAGCTCAGGGTTGTGATGAAAAAGGATCCACTATCGGTTCCTCAAAATTTCTTCGGCGATTACCCTGGATTAATGGAGGAAATCTGTCGTGAGTTGGGACTCAAAAAGATCAACTTAGCATGGGGCGAAAGAGAGGGGATGGTGACCCCTGCCAGATATGTGGATGATGGATGCGACATCAGCGAAGCAGAGAAAACAATGTTGAAACTTCAGCAGACGATTAAAGATTCATTCAAGGGTAGTGCCGCCTTTGCGAGAGCTACTTTTCGTGGGCTCCAAGGAGACTGGAGGATTAACACGAACGCCCGGTCAGATAAATCATTTGAAATGAGCTCATTTCATCCCCGCTACCCGACAGATCCCAATTCCGATTTTGAATACATTTATATACCGCATTACAAAGCCCAGAACTATCTAGTCTCTAGACTAGTCTATCGACTTCGAGAGAGCAAGAACCAAATTGAAGTTTGGAATGTTGGTCAAAAGTGCGAACTGACAGCAGACAAAATACATCATGTCCTTGACTTTAATGATGGACTCGTCGTAGACAAGAGCGGCTTGAATGTGATTTCAATTGCAGCAAGGGAAGGCCTTGATGCAGATTTGGGAGTCAAGATCATGTACTCATTTTGGTTTGCTGGTGTAGCAATCACAAAGTTCGAGATCGAGAGTTTTAACGAAGACAATGTCAAGATTGATAGTTTTGAGTTTGTACGATAGGCGGCAGAACTTGATAGTGTAAGGGCGATATGGTTACTTCGTATCTTTTTAAAATCAAAACTTATGCCTGTTCTCCAACACAAATTCATCAAAAGTCTTTGGTTTGTGGCCTCCAATCTTCTCTACCACATCATTCCCCCTCACTTCTCCACCATTAGCAGTCATAACTTCTAATCCGGTCAAATAATTTGCAAGGTCTTCAGGCGTTCCCGTACTGATATACCACTGTATCATCTCCTCAGGCGTGACCTTGACGTGGGTGATTGTTCGTCCGAGACCTTTGCTCAACTTTGCAGCAATCTAATATTGATAAGCCAGCTGATCTAGACTGAAGAAGAATAAAAATACCTCATCATAAGTAAGTAATTCAGGTCCAAGGACTCTGTACTCATTATCCAGGGGAGTCTTGCTGGTAAGTGCACTCATTGCTACTCTGGCAATGTCACTGGCTGATACAAACGGGGCTTTACCATCTCCCATAGCGGAAAAGAATTTACTTTCTTCCTTGATGGTTTGAACGTATGGCCATATGACGAAGTTATCTTTCAGATTGATTAACAAAACTTGTCTAAGAATTCTGTGGGATGGAGAAGTACATACCCATGAACCAAGTAGCCTTCAGAGCCGAGTGTTCTACACCCAGATTATCCAAGTGCTGCCAAACCTTCCCAGTGAATTCACCTCCCTTTTCCAAATCACTACCACTTAAGAAAACAAATCTATTCACGCCATTTTTGACTGCCACATCGATGAAAGCATTCATTGCCGGCACTGGATCTGAAATTGCCGGAGCAACGAGATAAACTCCTGTGATGACTTCATCATGCGGAAATTTATAAGAGAAAACAGACTGATAAGTTAATGGATCTGTGTAGTCGAATTTAACAGCTTGCATTCCCGGAGGAGCAGTCAATTCAGCTTTTCGAGAAGCGAGAAGGAAAGGAATGGATGCGGATTGGAGATGATGGGCTAGTTGAAGAGAAGTCTTCCCTGTACCGCCTGTGATGAGAATTACCATTTTTGGAGATGTGAATGAAATGTGGTAAATTGAGGAAAATGGAGACGAAATGCACAGATTTAAAGTAGAATGGAAAGGTTTATATCTGGAGGTCAAGTACAGTAGATTATGACGTGAAGAAATGTCTCCTTTAAAAGGTAATAAAAGTAGCCGGATTCGGACTCCGGAAAATCAATAATATCCAGTCATGATCAAATCTTTTAAGAAATTTTACAAATTTCAAAGAAGCTTTGCAGCTGCTGGAATGAAGGAGGTACATAGTTGCCCGAGATCCAAACTACCGCAGAGAAAAAAGTACTCGAGTATGTGCTCCGTATGTACTCCGTATGTACTCCGTAGGCATATTTGCGGGGTGAAGCGAATTCCGTACGGAGTAAAAGTAAGTGTTTGTCGGACTTTACCTGTGACCGAACCTCTGGCTACTCTAGGGTGTGCAATACAGACCCTAAACGCAATGTCACTAATTTCTACTCGTAGATTTCATTTCAACCTTTTCAATCTCATCATCTTCACTTCCTTACACATCTTCTCTTCCTTACAAACAACTTTGCTCTTTCACAGATCTTGCTATGGCTTCATAGAAATCAAAGGTTTGCCTAACTTGTTGTTTCTGACTTCAAAACCCATGTCCGTCTCGCCAATTCATGGAATCCATGGACGAAATCTAACATTGTTGGACTTCAACTTGGAGTTATAACCAAATCCCAGAGTTTAATGGTCCAAGTGATAAGAAAATTACCCAGAGAGAAGACGACGATACCAGCAAAATACTCATTGGTCATGTAAATCGCTGACATGACTCCCAAGCCAAGTTTGAACATTTAATTATCGCTTCCCATATCGCGGATGTTGCTCCACCACTGAGATTTTGGAGAGAACGTGAAAGGATTGCACCGTTTTTCACTTGGCTCAACAACAGTCCCAAGAACTAGTTCCAACGATATCGACATTACGAGCTGCTTTCATCCCTGCGTTTCCAGGATAGCACACTGGATTTTGATTCGTCTTATCATCCTTGGCGAGTGCTTGGATAGCCTTACATTACAGCCATTAATGTGCTCCACCAATTACAAGTGTGAAATTTTGTACCACGAATAATTCTTATTTGATCATTTTGTGTTACGACAAGACATCGGCGCAAAAGCCCAAGACCGCGAAATTTTCGAGAATCGTCTCTCATCTCTTAACCACCTTCCTCATCAAGAGAGGCTGATACTCTCCATGATCATGAGGCACGGTAGGTATCTCGAACGATAATGCTGATTTTCCAGATTCAGGTACAGGTCCGAGAAGGCTTCTTGGGAATCTGGGCCATGAACTAAGGTTATCATATCTTGCACGATAGCGACCATGGCGGGTAGACACTAGATGGCGAGCTCTTCAACTTAGAACTGGGGTAGGTAAGGCTATCGTCTGGACCTGATGAGCTAGAAGTGTAACCTTGGTGACATGTGAATACGACGTCAAATACCAAGGTTGAAGCTCTCATGCCAAGTTTTCTATTGGTGGTATGATACTGAAAATGAATTTCGACGCTATGTCGTGCTACCCCTCATATATCTTCTAATTTCCCCTTATTATCATCCCATAGTTGATTAATGTGATTACATCTATCAATCAATCCCATCTCGCCACGGTGAGCAGTACTGCGACCCATATTTTCAGCTTCTTGAGTTCTAGACATACTTGTTGATGATACTTTACCTTGATCGTACCGCATTTGGCCATCTCGAACCACATTGCGACCTTTAATTCGGATCCTACCGCGAAACTTGTCATTAAAGTCATTAAAGTCATTAAACATGAGTGTGTATTCTGTATTCCAGCAAAGAACCTAAACTAACACCAAAACCATCAGCTTCTATTGCTACTACGACCGATGCACTCACGACTGCTCCCGTGAATCAAACTGGTCTGTTGGCAAGTGCGCCTGATAATCTTGATGCCAAGATTTCGAGCGAAATTCATGCTTTGGATCACGAATCCTCCCTCGACCATGATGGGCTACTGAGACCTACTGAGGAAGAGAGAACTACTCTTCGCAGAGTCTCTGGTTCAATTCCTTGGACTGCTTACATGATCTGTCTCGTCGAATTTGCAGAGCGCGCAAGCTATTATGGTTGCCAATTTGTGTTTTCGAACTTTGTTCAATTTCCACTTCCGTATGTGTTTATACGTTCGGGGTATACCTCTCGAAATACGTGTTTAAGCTGACAAAATAATAGGAAGGGAGGAAATGGCGCTGGTGCAACACCCGCAGGTACACAGCAAACACCAGGTGCTTTGGGTAAAGGTCTAACTGTTTCATCCGCGCTTAATCTCTTGTTCAAATTCTTAGCATACACAATTCCTGTCTTTGGGTTCGTTCAATTATTTCCCGCTTTCCACAGTCTCTTGCTAAATAAATTTACAGAGGATGGCTCGCAGATACAAAACTAGGACGTTTCAAAACTATCTGTATTGGAGTGATTGTCTTTGGAGTTGCGCATCTTGTTTTAGTCATTGGAGCCCTTCCTAGTGTATTACAAGCTGGTCATGGCATGGCACCTTTCGTCATTGGAATTATAACCTTGGCTTTCGGAGCTGGTATGTCTTGCTGCATTCATTTCATTTTACAATGCTAATCAATGCTACAGGTTTGTTCAAGAGTAATGTTTCTCCAATGCTTCTCGACCAAGATACACAAAAAGGACTCATCATTAAAACTCTACCCGATGGCGAAAAAGTTATTCTTGACCCAGAAGTTACTGCCCAGAAACTTGCTCTCGCTTTCTATGGTATGGTGAATGTCGGAGCATTCTTTGGTATTGCCACAACATATTCTGAAAAGAAAGTTGGATTTTGGTTGGCCTTTGGATTACCAATGATTCTTTACCTCTTACTGCCAGTATTGCTATGGGTAATGAATAAGAGATTAGTCAAGTATCCGCCACAAGGGAGTGATATTGGAAAATTCTTCAGAGTTATTGGTACCGCAATTAGAAGAAATAGCTTTAAAGGGTTTGGTCGTAAAGGTTATCTCGACGCTGCAAAACCTTCTGTACTCGCTGCACAAGTTATTACTGGTGATCATAAGGGCAAACAAATGGACTGGACCGACGCTTTTGTCGAGGATGTCAAGAGGTCTCTGGAAGCCTGCACCATTTTCTTGTTTTTTCCAATCTACAACTTGAACGATGGTGGTATAGGAAATATCACAACATCCCAAGGATCAGCGATGGTAACTAATGATGCACCTAACGATCTTCTCAACAACTTTAATGCTCTTACGGTTATCTTTATCATACCTCTCCTTTCCTATGGCCTTTACCCTCTTTTACGTCGTTACAAAATCCATTTTGGTCCTATCAAGAGAATAACATTGGGTTTTCTTATTGCCGCGGTGTCATCTGCTATTGGTGCAATCACTCAATGGAGAATTTATGAGACATCTCCTTGTGGATATTATGCCACTGGCTGCGAGATAGGAACAGGCGTTGCTCCAATTAGTATCTGGTGGCAACTTCCTCAGTGGTCACTAGGAGGAATATCGGAATGTTTCGCCAACGTCACTGCTCTTGAACTCGCATATTCCAGAGCTCCTGCGAATATGAAAGGTCTCATTACTTCTATGTATTTGTTCTCGGTGGCTCTCTCTGCTGCAATTGCACAAGCTTGTACCCCGAGTTTAGCGGACCCATATTTGATTTGGCCTTATGTTGCACCAGCGGTGGCGGGAACTTTATTGGCAATTTGGTTTTACTTCTTGTACAGAGATCTGGATAAAGAGGAATATGTTCGGGGAGGTGCTGCCGAGACTATGGGTGAGGAACAAAGAGTGGAGCCAATTAGTGGTGATGGTAACCAAAAAGTCAGACTGGATGAAAAGGTTTAGATGTGGTTTATTTGCCGTCGGAAAGTTGATGGGATTATTAGTGGTGGTTTTTTGATGCTGTTAAAGAGCATGCTTATGGTAACGGTGCTCGGAGAAACCTTTACTTTATTTTCGTATTTTTGGGGTAATGGATCAGTCAAAAGGGGAGTACGGGAGAGGATGAGAACTATTACAGGAACTAAATATGAGAGGTCAGAGAATATTGCATAGTCTACTAGTTTGGACTCTTGAGCAATGCGCAAAGCATAATTTCTGGAAATCTAGTGACGAAGCAATAAGAAATGATGTTAAAATTTTGAAAATCTCCACATCCTACCAAAGACCATTGATTTTTATTCATATGATGTATTTGTTTTGGTAGGTGAATTGTGCCGCTTCGCTGATTATAACTACCCGTCTTTTGAAAGAATGTCGCATCACATCGATTGATAGTGATTTAGTTAGTCACGGAATTGGTAAAGAAGGGGGCTTACCTAATACTTATGCCTTAAATCAGAAGAGATGGGTTTGGAACTGCAAGTTTGTCAGCGGAGTGAAGCTGCTGAGACCTAGGGTCGGATTCTTGAAGTGTGTTATTGCAGGAACGGTGTTGAGCTTAGGTTAAACTATTGAAGTATTGAAGTTATGATTCCTGTCTAGTTGATGCAAGTGTGTAATATAGATGACCAATCTATTGTTCTCGGTCAATTGATGGAAGTATTCTGTAGAATTGGCAAGATTGGATTACGATATTTTATTAAAGAACAGCAAGGTTTGTACATCTTCCTATATTTTAATAAATGAAGCTGGTGAAACTATGGAAATTTGGCACAAATGATTGTATGAGCTGTGATTATGAGAAATACAATGAGAATATGAGATTACATAGAAATTCATTATGACCGAGCAAGTATGCTACGGACGTTTCAAAAAGAGTGTAGAACCTTCAAATACACAAAATCGTTGTAAATAACAGTCCATTATATTTCCTCCATCCACAAACATCCACTGGCTAGCAGCAATTCAGCTCGTAATCATCCCATTTGCATACTCGAACCCGAAAAATCAAAATTCCATTTGCAGATAACCCTCACCTCTCATTTTCCTGCCTGAATGAAATCCCAATCGATATCCCCTTTCAATAATTTAAGGTTAGTGCTCCGGATCCGGATCCCCATTCGCCTTAATCATGGCATGCATTATTATGGCAAATGGTTCTTCCTCCAGCATCTCCTCGGCAGTAGGTACAGATACGGTTATCGCAACAGGGGATGTTATTCATTGGGGAGCAGAATTCTGTGAGTAAATAAAATTTTGTTAGTTAGTTTATTCTTGGGTATAGGTATAGGTATGTATGTACTACTAGTTGATTTTCAAAAGCATATGCATGATTGTGGGAGAGGATGACGTACCAAATTCTCCAGCGCATGTTGCGTGTACGGGGTCTCCTTTCATGAGACCAATTGTTACTAAGATGTTTGTGTTTGGGGTTGTGGGGGCTTCGCCGTCGTCTGATTTGGGGGTGTTAGTTGGGTGGACTGAATGTTTGATGGGGGAGGGATTCTGGTGATGGGATGAGATGGGATGAGATGGGATGAGATGAGATGAGATACCTTTCATGATTTGAGTTTGAGAGGTATAGTGGTTGGGCGCGGCGATTGCAGAGGCGAAGTAGAGTGTTGTTACTAGGAGAAACTTCATGGTGGAAGGTGTGTATGTGTGATGAGCAAGCTCAATTCTTACAAGATCTTAGTTTTCGTAGAGATGATTTTGTGAGTTTATGAATTTGTGAATATTTTGTAATGTATCTGGACCACTTTGAAGATTGGGAAGAAATTGTAGATTTAAGGAGTGTTTTATAGATACCAGGTAACACCAGATCTCCATGTTCTGTTGGGTAATCCCGTATCGTATGCTCGTTCTCTCCGGTTTACGACCAAGGAGCAAATCAATCTCTAGAATGAGACGGGATGAACAACAGGAATTCAATAATCGGCGCATGTTGTTCGACGCCTTAGGAGATAGATCATCACACATCGTGACGATGAAAGGAGTTTACCTCCTATACACATGGGCAGGTAAAATTTCCTTGCTTGAAGATGGCTGAGACTCTCTCTAGTCAAGGAGATTTCTTATGATGTCAAGATAGATCTCAGCGATGATAATCCATGCGGGCGTTTCTTCGTTGGGACGGAAAGAATTTTATGGGAATATTTATTGCGTAAGAGTAAATTGGTAGTTGTGGATGGCGAGATACCAAGACTTATGATCTTGCATGGGAAGGATATTGTGATGTTTCTGTGTGAACGAAGTGAATGACTTCAATTCAATTACTACTGTAATAAAGAACTAAGCGAACGCGAAAGAGACTAGCTCTTTTAGTAAGTCTATATAAGACTTACTACTTTCAATATGTAGCTAGCTCTTTAGACAGAATACAATTAGACATACAGGACCTACGTAATCTGTATCCTTCTTGTACCAACAGTTTCCGTAGCTTTTGATGCGGCTTGGAATACCTGGTTTCGATAGGTTGGTGTAGATGGAAGGGGTATATCTCACAGTGGGAAAGTTTAATGCGGGGCAACATAGCCCTGCTGCCGAGCATACTCGTTTCCAATTTTGCTAAACTTTATTTCAAGTACAATTTGAGGGTTAAAAGATATTCTGACGTCGACATTCCATAGCTAAGAAATGGATGATGGGAGAGATTATTATTATAATATACAGTAGGGAGCGGGTATTTCGGAGGGGAAATCTCGAGACAGTACTACTCGTTTTATGCAGATCATTCATTTCATCTCAATTCTGATATAAAGTTTGATATCAAGTGCAATCCTAGTAGTTCCAAACGAGGTTAATTGGTATGTATATCCATGTCCAGACATGCTTCTTTGATTGCAGAAGCAGCATTTAACATAGACGTAGATCCAATGCACTGAACTACTGAACTACACCACACTCAAAATGCATTGATAAAAAGAACCGGAATTCCCCACTAATCACCAATTATTCGAGGCGCACCTGCATCTCTGTCGCAGTTCAAGATCGGCAGATTGCCGCGTCCGGAAGGAAAGCGGGGTGCGTCCTGGCCTCGCGAGACTGAAACTTGCATATGCAGCTGGCTCGATATGCAAATAGATAATAAAAAATGAGGAATTTTGAGTCATGTATTATTTCGAACATGATCTGTGGATTGTGTAGGTATGCATCGGCTCAGCCGTCTTTACTCCGGATTTTATATGTTCATATTATTTTGGAAAGCTAATTCGTAATGAGAGGTAAGAGATGAGAGAATAGAAACGTCTTGGGATGTAAGGATCCGTTCCTATCGACTTTCTGAAATATTAGAAATATCGAACCTAATAAAAATATTGAGATTAATATATGTTTAAGTATAACATGGTTTATCAGTGGGTCGGCCATATCAGTGGGTCGGCCACTTTTACCTCGAATTATTGATTTAAAGCTATATTATTCAACGAAAACTAAATCAATTGATTGAAACTATTAAGAATCTAATAATCTAGGATCAATTATACTATTTGACAAGTTCTTGAATTGTGACCAGTCTTTCCACATTTACTATAGCATCGATTAGAAGATGCTTCCCCATTAGAATTCCCCCCATTTCGACGCTTGTCGCATTGAATCTGAATATCAACCTTTTGTTGAGATAATATATCTTCAGCTTCTTGTCCAATAAGTACTCCTTCATTGCGTAATTGAATCTTTTTAGCATATCGACATTTGCTTAATACTACATTTGCCTTTCGAAGTATATGATTCTCTGCATTTAAAAGAGTATTCTCATAGGCTAATCTTTCTATACCTTTAGCTAGAGTTAATACAATCTCGAATATAGATATAGGGGAGCTTGATTGATGACAAACCATTCGAGATTTTACTAAAATCGATTTTGAAAGAGCTTCAATTGGATTGTGAGATGTTTGAGAAATCCAAGAGTCTAGATCGACGAATGGAGGGGTAGGTGTACGAATCCGAATATCTAATTTTGAGAGTATAGCTTGAGGATCAAATGGTATTAGACCTGCTTCTCGGAAACCAGCTTTTATATTCTGAGCTATAATTGATTATTGATATACAACTTTAAAAGCTATAAAGAATTCAATCTTAATGATATAATTGATATAAACTTTAATAAATTCATTAATTTGACAATTATATAACGTGGTTTATCAGCAGTCCGCCCATATCACTAGTCCGCCCACTTTTTGGCCATTTCCAACTCTTCCACTTCAATACGCGTTTTATCAATAATTACTTATGGAAACTCATTCTAAAGAAGTACGAATTATCTTAGCTATTGAAGCTATTAAACTTAATCTACAATTCTCGATTCGGAAAGTGGCAAACCTTTATAATATACCTCGATCTACTTTGAGGGATAGAATTAAAGGTTGTACTAATATAGCTGATTATCGACCAAAAGGTCATAATTTGACCAAATTAGAAGAGGAGGTACTTACCCAGTATATAATCGATATAGATGAGAGAGGGTTTGCACCTAAATTAAGTGGTATAGAAGATATGGCGAATTATATCCTCGAATCGCAGAGTGCGAAGAAGATTGGAAAGCTCTAGGCTCATCGCTTTGTTAAACGATGCCCAGAATTAAAGACATGTTTTAATCGCGTTTATAATTTTCAAAGAGCTCTCTGCGAAGATCCCAAGCTTATTGAAGAGTAGTTTGGATTGGTATCGAATATGCAGGTGAAATATGGTATTGTCGATTCCGATTTCTATAACTTCGATGAAACCGGCTTTATGATGGATGAAATATACCTTGGAATGGTCGTAACTAGTATTGAACGATGTAATAGAAGCAAGGCAATACAACCAAGCAATCGAGAATGGGCTACAGCGATTATATGTGGTAATGGAGAGGGTTGGACTATATCTCCATTCTTGGTGGTACAAGGGCAATATCACTGTGTGAACGAAGTGAATGACTTCAATTTAATTACTACTGTAATAAAGAACTAAGCGAACGCGAAAGAGACTAGCTCTTTTAGTAAGTCTATATAAGACTTACTACTTTCAATATGTAGCTAGCTCTTTAGACAGAATACAATTAGACATACAGGACCTACGTAATCCGTGGGTGCTACGTCTTCCGTATCCTTCTCGTACCAACAATCACCTTTCTAATTGGTATACCGAAAGCGGTTTTCCTGCAGATTGGGCTCTTAAACCTACTTCCAATGGATAAACGAATAATGAGACAGGTCTAGAATGGTTAAAGCATTTTGATAAACATACTATTCGTCAAAGGAAGGGCAAATATCGAATGCTAGTATTGAATGGGTACGAAAGCTACGAATCAATATCTTTTCAATCATATTGCAAGTCAAATGATATTATATGCCTCAGATTACCACTACATTCAAGTCATTTAACTCAACCACTCGATGTTGGGTGTTTTGGCGTATTTAAACGTTTATATGATTGTCAAATTGAAGGATTTATCAAAGCTCATATCAATTATATCACCAAAATTGAATTCTTTATAGCCTTCAAAGCTGCATATTTACAATCATTTACTATTCAGAATATGAAAGCTGGTTTTCAAGGAGCAGGTCTAATACCATTCGATCCTCAATCTATACTCTCAAAACTAGATATTAGGATTCGTACTTCTACCCCTCCATCTACCTCTTTGGAACTTACCAATTCCTGGATCTCTCAAACCCTTCACAATCCAACTGAGGCTCTTTTACAATCAACTCTAGTAAAAGCTCGAATGGCTCGTCATCAATCAAGCTCTCCTACACCTATATTTGAGATTGTGCAAACTTTAGCTAAAGGTACAGAGAGATTGGCATATGAAGTTACACTTTTGAGTGCTGAGAATCGTATACTTCGAAGAGCAAATGAGGCATTAAGTAAATGTCGATATGCCAAAAAAATTCAACTACGTAATGAAGGAGTACTTACTGGACAAGAAGCTGAAGATATATTATCACAACAAGAGGTTGATAATCAGATTCAACGCGACGAGCGTCAAAATGGGGGAAATTCTAATAGGGAATCATCTACTAGTCGATGCCGTAGTAGGTGCGGAAAGACTGGTCATAATTCAAGAACTTGTCAAAATGATATAATAGATCCTAGATTATTAGATTCTTAATAGTTTGAATCAATTGAATAAGTTATGATTGATTAATTAGAATTTGAAGTGGTTAAATGGTCAAAAAGTGGGCGGACTAGTGATATGGGCGGACTGCTGATAAACCACGTTAATTGTTTGTTTATTTATTTATAAGCCGCTGATGTCGATTTAAAAAAGACATGAAGTTATTGATGATATGCACGGACCCTCAGCATCATGATCTGCATCGCTTCTACATTCCCCCCTTTATTGCCGACATTTGTTTTTGTTATATAGACTTAATTTTATCGTTAGTGAAGATATAATTGAGAAAGATTGTGATTCGGAGTTTCTTTCCAATCATACTACATTATTTTGAAATTTATGTTTTAATTTTTTTATTTGTTATTTTATAAAAATTAACATTTATAAACTGATGTGACGGAAATCCCTGCTTTCCTCCCACCCTTATTATATAAGAAACCTCAGGTACATTAACCATGTCCACACATGATACGATTACTCGAGATTAGTATGCGATTTAGGTGACCCGAGGATCAGATCCGGACAAGTACTAGGTATCAATGGTTATCGGTAAAGTAAGATCATTGGAGGAATAAATATGACTTCTTTTTGCCTAGCCATTGCGGCTAGGCCATTCATTTGTGTGTATATAGAGTAGCTATCCCCATCTACAGGTGCTCTTCACCTGTAGATTCTAAGTTAAATACAATTGCTGGTCTATAAACACCCTTTTGGTCACAACTGAGTTGTTTACTTTTAGATCTTCTTTGTTTTAATTTATTCTTTTATATCCAAAATCATGATTTTTATACATTAATAACTTTCTTATTTATAGGGTAATAAATTATCAAATGAAGTAGTTTATTTTATTATAAGTTGAATATTTATTTATAAAAGATAAAATATAAATATCAATAAAAGATTAATTAAAAATAGTTTTCTCAAAACAAATTCTTTCATTTTATTTATTATGATTTAAAGATCCCGTTCTTGGGAAGATGAGTTATCTTTGGAACATGAACAATTCATGGGATTCCTTGATATTTTGACGAAAAACTTCCTTATTATCCACGTCCAGTAACAAGTGGTTCAAGTCTGAGCTGGCACATCAAGCATAAATAGGCTTCCATTGAATATTGTTCCTGGTAATTTCAAGCTGCGGCTACTCCCCATTTCTCCTACAATTCATAAAATCTTTTTAACCAAGCCTTCAAACTCACTTGATTTGCCCCTCAGATACTTAGCTCTTTTGATGCAGTCCCAATCGGCAAAAGTTACCACTCTTCACTCTTCAATGACTGGCTGATGGTCGATTTAGAAACAAAAGACAGCAATGCGTAGCAAATCACCAAAAAAAGGGCTAGCTAAAGTGCCTTAACCATCTAAGTAGCTGCTCAACACCGGCTTCTTGACTACTCAAAATTTTATTCGCGCATCCACAAATAATTACAAATACAAGGACAACATCTATTGCTGTGACTCCTAATTCAATTGCGGCTTTCTTATAAGGAGAATGTATTTTTAGCGCGACAGGAGGATCGCCATCTTCCCCATAAGTCTATCTCCATCACTTTGTTCTTAATATATGGATTAATTCTAACTTACCATGATAGCATCACAACAAAACCGCGAAGTTGAGAACTAGATCAAATGGAGGCATGAGAATTCTAAGAACCAAAAAAAAGCCATAGAGTTCTCTGGAGATTCAATGTTATAGTAAAAATTGGAACCCGCGAGCATGAAGGATCAAAGGCTTGTGAGGCATGCATAATTTGACAGGCGTTCGATAAATCTGCAGGTCTTACCGTACATTGAGTCCGTATATTATGCTGATGAGATCAAGCTGCCCAGCCTGGTTACAGATTTCCAGGATCTTTGTTGGGAATCATGAGAATTGGTGGTTCCCTGTTTGGATTTTTTGGAGCTATCGGAAGATAGCCAACAGGATGGTCAAGCAATAGAGCATAGATACGGACCACCGGCATTAGATTGCTGGGTTGTATCACAAGAGATTCAAGGTAAAGTTGTTTCTAGCTGGCGTGCATCAGTAGAAATTCAAGATCACCCAGAATCTACCAGCCTAAAGATGAGAGCACTCTCAAAACTCTTCAACTGGTTCAAACCAAACGCAGAATTGTGCACGTTGATGGGGAGCATTTAGATCAAGATATTTCGATTCGATCAATGGAGAAGAATGTTTCTGTTAGCAAGGGAACCGAACAGCTTAACAAGCTGGAAACACAGATTGAGAACATCTCAAGGTCTTTTGGCAACACAGAGATGTAGGATCACAGAGCACGTACGGCCAAAAATAGGGTAGAAGCAAGAAAGATGCCAAGGCCGAGTCATGGGGGCATGGAGACTGGGACAAAAGCCTATATAGTCTAGATATAGATCAGACATGCAAAACAGTTTTTTTATGTAAATTTTAAGCAGTTCGGGTGACTTTTTGGTCGTTCCATGTAGTCTCTGGCTACAACCCCGCATACCCGTAGTGTCTCGGATAAACACCGGTTCCAAGGTTACACACCACACACCCCACCTTCTCATCAGTCACCAATTTTATTCAGACCTCATTCAATCCATTGATATCGAGGGGAGCAAATCGAACTCTAAATACGAAGCCTGAAAATATCCACCCGTCGACAGCTTTCAAGCTTTCAGCTCAGATCGATTTTGAAGCTTTGACCGGCAAAAATGGCAGCAGTGACGAATACCAATATATCGAGTGTACATACCAAAATAGAGGTATTGTTTTCTAATATTCCTCCTTACTATTCACTAACGAAATCTCAGGTTGTCGACCGATTAAAAGCAAGCAGTGGAAAAGGCACGTTAGTCTTGATTATTCATCCCCGCAATCAGAATGACACTGACACAATTCTATCAGTACCACGTATGGTCTTTCAGATCAAGTCACTCTTCTTCAGCATGACCCTATGTTTGCTTCCTTGATTGGCGAATCCCCGTCGCATTCTCTTCTATTTTCAACTGCCGGCTCTACCAATAATCCTTTCTTTCACGAGGCTTGTGTTTTGCTGCCCGACCATGATGAACTTTACATCACATCCAATCTTCTCCAAGCTTCTAGCTCCGCAAATTTTCCCACTATTTTGATCTCTAGAATCAAAATTCATCGTGATGAGGATGGAAGTATCAAATCAGCTGATTGGGTGAAAATGCGTCCTCCACCGGGTATAGATATGCCGAATGGTGGTGTCAATTACCAAGATGGAATTCTCTTCTGTGCTCAAGGAAATACAAACGCAAGCTCGGGTGGTATTTATTATATGCCAAGATCTTCACCTCCAAAACCTATGGTGACTAATTTTCATGGAAGACCATTCAATTCGGTGAATGATGTTGTGGTAGCTAAAGATGGTAGTATTTGGTTTACGGATCCATGTTATGGGTGGGAGCAAGATTTTCGACCAAGACCTAAGTTGCCTTGTCAAGTCTATAGGTTTGATCCTGTTACGGGGGATATTAGGGTTGTCGCAGATGGGTTTGGTAGACCGAATGGAATTGCTTTTTCAGTGGATGAATCAGTGATTTATATTACGGATACAGATCAAATTCATGGAGATGGGACTAAAGATTTTATGCGGTATGTAACTTTTTTAAATCCCAGATTCTGGGTCTTTTACTGACTCAAACATAGCCCTGCTACTATATATGCCTTTGATGTTCACACGTCTTCAGGTGCACCTTTTCTTATCAACCGAAGAGTATTCGCATATGCAGCAGATGGCTTCCCAGATGGTATCAAATGCGATATCCATGGTAACGTGTACTCTGGCTGTGGGGATGGTGTCGAAGTCTGGAATTCAACCGGGACTTTAATTGGAACGATTTTAGTTCCTGGTGGTGTTGCCAATTTTTGTTTTGGAAAGGATGGAGAAATATTCTTATGCGCCGAGCAGAAATTTTGGAGATTACAATTGGCAAGGACGACAAAAGGTGCATTGCTTGGTATCTAGCTTAGTCGGACTACGATTTTAGATGCATGGTATTTGCATGTTCTAGGTGATTTTGGATATTCATAGATCTTGCCGACTCATGGGCGTGAATTTCCTTGTCATAAATCTAATCATTCAAGAAATATTCAAATTACCTCCACAATACACTGCGGGGAGTTGACTCCTCGTTTTCCTCTTCATTGTATGCAACCGTACGAGTGCTTTGTTGGAAATGTATCCAGTTTCTTGACTCTTGACCTATTAAAAAAGCAAAATTTAAACCACCACAATATCAAAAACATAACCGTTAACAAAATACTTCCATCACACACCCTAGATCCAAAATGTTTTCCTATCGCCCCTCGCACTGTTCAAACGACGATATCGAAAGCCAAATTAATCAACAACCCAACACGTAAAGCTTTCACGTTCCTTTCCCATACTCACCACAGGACCAATGAAGTAGAAGATAGGCAGTCTACTCACCAGTATAGCATTCAAGACCCATCTAGTCCCACTATAAGTATTTGGAGAGGTTGAGAACCAATATTCCTGCACGCAAAGCTTTGAGCTTCATCCAAGTCGTGAGTTGAGCGACTTTCTCACAGAAAGACATTGCAGATATTGCGGAGTAAGTAAAGTAAAGTAATCCAGAGAATCAATATCATGTTCCTGAAGAACACCTCCAATATCGCGAAAATCACCTGGAATTAATATCTCAATAATTACCCGAAGCTTCAAGTATTATTCACAGAACGATTTACACTACTTTTCCCGGGAAGATAAAGAAGAACTGGCCATCCCGAAATTCAACCTTCAACTCCTCGAATCTTCGAACACAGCAAAAATGACCCCGAAAATCAAATATCCCAATAGGTACCTACCTAAAGATTCGAGACAAAGTATCATTCGAGCACCGACTCCACCCAGAGACCTACAAGGAGATATCTTTAAACTAGTAGTTCTGAAATACAAAATCGTATTATTCTACTTCACTGTTTATTCATCTTCCAACTTTTCGAACTAATTGACTAGTATAATGATGTCGAAAATCAATACTCTAGAATATTAAAAATCACAGACTCTAATATCTTTCCTTGCAAAGGCCGCTCTTAAGTTTTTTCAAAAAAGAATATAGTTATACTTATTTAAATACTCTGTTAATGTCTAAAATTCTCGGTTTTATCATTATTAAAACATTATAATTTATATTTTCTTTCTTTAAATTTAACTTTTCCTTTTTTTTTTAATATAAAGAAACAATGTAATGATATTTATTAAAAGAATAAAAAATTAAAATTAAAAGCTTAAATGTTTTTTTATTATAATTATAACTATAGAAAGAAGAGAGTGTGACAAGCGAGATCGAGGTCGAGGTCGAGGGTCGGGGTTTGAAGAGGGTGCTTGGGTTTGCGGTTTAACTAAGGGCTTAGCTATATGTCTTGGAGTACGATAGGGAAATAGATGATCGTTGAGAATTAAGTAGAAAAGTTCTAACAGCCTAGCTACTTGATAATGATTATATGCGGCTATCGATATTATAAAAGCAAAGAAAATGGAAAGACAAGACATTGATTGGCACAGTGCTAGACTACTTTCCATACATTCGCCAGACTCCAATAGGGACATTATCAGCGGAGTTTTAGCCATCAAGAACCAAATGCGGATATAATCAAGCAGAGGGTTAAGTTATTATCCAATACTTGGTAAATACAAATTCAAAAGAGAATAATAGCAAGGGTATACCGCACCAACGAGCTCCAATTCAAAATGCGGAGAAAAGCACATCCCAAAGCCTATATCCTCATACGCTTTGCCGGCAAGTGCGAATCTTTCATTCCAATTTCCTTATCACCTTTCATTACAGTATCATCTGATTCATCCGAATCATCAGAAATATCCCCAATTGAGCGTTTCTGATCAACGGCGCGGGCGCCAATTTCAGAACTAAAGATCACTGTGAATCCCCGACATGCTGTATCTGCTTCAACGACTTTATGAAAATAGGGTTTCATATTCAGATTAACCCCGACGTCTTTAGGCAGTGAAAAGAGAGTCCCGATGTATATCAAAATATGAGTGGACAAATTAATCAGGGATTCCTTATAATCTCTTTCGAGGGTCATTCCCTTCCATTGAGCATATATATTTTCCATGACGGTATATCGAGCGATGATGCTAGCGATCTCTGCAAGTTCGGTGATGATTTCGATTTGGAGATCAATTGATAACTTTGTACGAATCGAGAATAGATCCTTGAGAGTGTTATTAGCTAGATTTACTTAATCCAAAATACGCTTTAACATACCTCGACGGCAATGAGAAGAGATGCCCATGCGATGGCCCCAATTTTAAAGCCGATTGTCTCTTCCATCACACCTAGTATATCAAGTATTCGTTGAATAGATCCAGCTACACTAGGAAATATCTGACAGTATGAAGCAACTCTTTCCTTGCAAGGATTTGCAGACCAATCTGGATTAATAAAAAGAGGGTTCAAGTTTGTAGTTGAAGTAATGAATAAACCTTCGCTAGCTAAAAGTCTTTGTAAGTTACCGTATATGAGTTGATTAAACGATTTAACTTCTGTAAGGGCTCTGGACCAGAGTCCACCTAGCCCTTGATCGGAAGCCTCATTTTGGCGATGAGACAATGCCATTTGACACTCTAAAAATTGATTAATTGGTTGGATCGATGGGTTCTTATTCGGCACTTCTGAAGCTGGTCCAGGAATTACCCCAGTGTGATCCGCGGCTGAAGCAATGAATTTTTCAGTTTTTCTCATGAGATTAGTAGGCTGGTTATGAGGCTGGTTGACGCTTGTATGGCTTTGTTGTGATGCTTGGCGTTGTATTTGGACTTGTTGACTTTGTTTAATTTCATGAATTTGATGAGAGGATTGCTGGCTCATTTGTTGTTGTCGTTGCGTTTGAACCTGTTGATATGGCTGAGAATGTAGCTGTGATGCTTCACCTTGAAGAGATGATGAACTTGACGGCATTGCAGTTGAGCTCCGACGAGCCCGACGTCTAAAATAATCTGTATCAACACTAAAGTTTTTGGTACCATCAAATGTATTATCACCTGAGGTCATTGTTGCAGGTGGTAGCACAGGATTGTGATTTTGCTGCTCCAGCTGTGCCATCGTCGATCTTTTTCTGTTCTGCTCTTCAAGAAGCATAGATTGCCTTTGCCAATCACCCCGATCTTGTTGCTCCTTCTGTGCCATCATCAACCTTTTCCTATTCTGCTGCTCAAGAAGCATAAGTTGCTCTTGATAATCGCCTTTATCTCGTCGCTCCTGTCGTGCCATCATCAACCTCTTTTTGTTCTGCTCTTCGAGAAGCATAAGTTTCCTTTGATGACCTTGCTGCGCGTGCTCATCCGAATGCATATTCATCTGCAAAGCCGTGTTTGCTAAGTTTGATCGGTTCTTTCCTAGTAATTGCTGACGGCCAGCTTGTTGCTCCTGTCGTGTCATTGCCAATCTCCTTTTATTTTGATCATCGAGAAGCGTGATTTGAGTTTGGTAATCTAGCAGAGGAGGCTGATGAGAGGGACCTGGATATGGGTATAAAAATGACGCTATAGATCCATCGTGATGCAAATTTCGAGGAAAGATGATCTCATCATTGTTGTGCATAGTAGGTGGGTATTGAGTAGGTAAAAGTCTCGGAGGAATCTGTGACTGTTGCTGCTGTGCTTTTCGACCACGATCTGTCGGTTTTGAAGGAAATGACTCTATTTTAGAAGCCGCACCATAAACTCTTTCATCATTATGAGTAAACAGGCTATGGCTTGCCTTCTTAATAGGTATTGTTGGAATAAATGTAGACGAAGTCGCAGGTTTCATCTCCTGTCCTTCCTGATTGTCCATGAGCGGTGACTCATCGACGGTCAAAGACTCGCCCTCAAATCGTGAGATAGTAGGACGTTTCTTCTCTTCGGTTGAAGATGTCAGCGTAGCATCAGCCTGAAGAGCTTCAGTCTCCGGACTATCGCCATCTATAGGACTGTATCCAACGCTGGTAGGAGAGTACCCATAAAAAGAATCATCTTCGTCTTGTTGACCTTGAAAGTCCATAGGCGTGCTATTAGGCTGCGAAAATGGACTATTTTCATGATTTCCTAGCTCATGCATATTATTCGCAGTTCCAAGTTGTCCATACTTTTCAGCGTGAGGAGTGGTTGCCAGAACTTTGCTGGGAACTGGCAAGCGCATTGCCCATTCTTCAGCATCTTTCTTTTCCATGTTGAAATGCTTCACAGCCGAGAGAGCCATTTCGTTTCGCCATATCTTCACAGATTCCTCGTCTTCGTTATGAGACGACACAGCGCTATGGAATGAATCCACAGACTCGAGTGCTTTTGAGTTTAGGAGTGGTGGCATTCTACTGGGTGTCGTGGCCATCGAAATGAATGCAGATGTTGCAAAGCTGGCTGTACTAGGTGTTCTAGATGCCGCAGAACCAATATATGTTCCTGAAGTGGCCGATAAACTTAAAGCTGTGCTTGAGCTCCCTGAAAGTGAAGATACGCTTGATTGGACCATCGTTTTTGACGTAGAGCAACTTTGAGTATCATCCTTAATCGTCAGTCCAGCGAGTTTCATTTTCGTGTCTTCAACTTGCTTGCGCGTCTCTACCGATAGATCATGACCTTTCTGTCCTCCAATCAAGCTGGAATTTTGTATACCCAAAGAATCCATCATATGATCGGCCCTTAACGCACTCAGTACGCTCAATGTACCCATCAAACTGAGCTTCAAGTCGCGAAGTCTTGCCAATAATTTCATGATCTCCTTCTCTTTATACAACCACTTCACTTTAGCCCACATATTACCACTTTTCAATTTTCGAATGATCCGATCAATTTTTGTACATATCGTGGCAGAATCTCCAATAATTTTGGCTGTAAGCCTATACACTTGATCGGCATAACGTCCATCTTTACCATGGAGCAGTGTGGATAATAAATGAAGCTCATCTGAAAATGTCTCGAGGTCTCTTGCTAAATCCTTGATATCGGAAGGTGCATTTGATAGAGCCTCTCCCACTTCGTAAAGGGTTTTTGATATTGTGTAGATGGTTCCAGCGAGTTGAGCAATACTTGCTATCCCACCAATCAATTCAAGAGCCATGGTGTTGAGCCAGTCAACGCTACATACATCAACTGGAGGAGCTTCCAATCACATGGAACAAACAGTTTGAGAATATGACCTCTTTTCGAGGCTCGCTTGTGGTGGATCTTATTGACTAATGAGTCAAATGGGAGGAGTTTGACATCTGACAACCAAATGCTCATTGTATAACGAGGCTGAGCTACTGCAGGTCATCCTGGACAGATCTATTTTTGCCCCAAGTACTAGTCTTGGGTGAAGTTATACCTAATAAACCGGCCAATTTCTATATTTATCAAAAGTTGGCCTTTGATATAGAAACGAATTATCACTTGAATTATCACTTGAAATGTTTCGATGAATATAATAATGGATTAGTAAACACTCTCCTCCCACGCAGATCTCTAGCAACTACTACTTCCCTTCCCCCAACTGATACACGGAACGTTCAAAGGCCGATGCCAAGCCTTTAGTCCCCTTTTGCCAAGGCTCTATTCCAGAACCCTCTAGACATTATTCATAATCAGCCTCGTCCTTCGTCATTAAATCCATTTCCATTTTTAAGACCTACCTACAACGACACATCTTTACTCAGCAGCTAATACGTACGACACATTGAAGCCTACCCGACATCTCCTTATATATTCATATCCTTCATCATGACTTCCTCATCAAACTCAGACGCCCCCGAAGACGCATCTTTCAGTACCATGGACGAAAAAGATCCAACATTAATAGGAGTTCACTGCCAATACGAATATTGCAATCAACTTGATTTCCTCCCATTTCGTTGTGAATCATGTCGAGGTACATTTTGTCTCGATCATCGAACAGAATCCGGCCACCATTGTTCACGACCTGGCGAATGGGCAGCCAAGCGCAGGCTTGCCAATCAATCTAAGCATTCACTGGGTGAAGGGAAAATGATGGCAGATGTCGAAAAACCATGCGCATCACCGACATGTAAAACGACCATTGGAACGAGTTTATCAACAGGTGTACATTGTTCTACATGTAATCGCGACTACTGTCTGAAACATCGATTGAGGGAAGATCACAATTGTAAAAACCTCATACCGATCGGTGCAAGAGTCGGCAGGTTCAATGAACAACAAGCAACAGCAAAATTAGCCTTGGGAAAATTGAAAGCTTGGGGAGCGTCACAAAAAGCAAAGGTCGCATCAACTCGAGTCCTACCTGAACCCAAACCTTCATCCGCAGCTGCAAGATTGGTAGCAGTCAACCAACTTAAAAAGACGGCAAAGGGGGATGCGAAGATACCTCCGGAAAAGAGAGTATATATATACGTGGATGCAGAAGCTGCGACGACGACTTCGAAATTTCCCAGTGGTGCTTTCTTTTACTCAAAAGATTGGGTGATGGGTCGAGTTTTGGATGCAGCGGCAAAGGGACTTCAAGTGGAGAATGTCAATAATCAAGGAACCGATGAGAAATCAAAGCTTAGAATCTTTCATGTTGAAGCTGGAAGGTTATTGGAGTTTAATGAAAAGGTCGGAGATGCTTTGGTTAGTGGTAATCGTATAGTATTGTTAAGAGGAGTCGGACCAGCTATACCTAATCTTATAGTGGCATGATTTTCTTCATACATATTGATGCTATTCGGAGTATTTGGACTATTTGGACTGTTTGGGAGGGCATGATTAGAAATGAGGGATTTGAATGATACCAATACTATAGGAATTGCATGGGGTGCATAGGATGTACTATGTAGGATGCATAGGATAGGAGTTTAGGTAGACTAGCATTCAATAGATCAAACTCGAGTAATAGATTGCGACTAAATCAGTCCACAACTTTATCGCACCACTTAATCTCATTGATCAATTTGAGATTCGAACCCTCCCATAGCCAGCCAGCCGACCGGCCAGCATGTTTGATGCATTGCATGTTATGAGTCAAGATTCGTAACCAAACACCCAATGCAACCTCAAATCGGCAACACAGCTGACTCGCTGACTCGCTTCTTTTCCAACCATCCTAGGGCCCCTAACTTATTGGACCCGGAACCTGGTGGACCATTCATACATCCATACTCCATACATAATATTAGGTACCTACGAAGTATAAATTATCCATCATCCTACCCTATCCTATCCTATAATATTCCATGCATGGCCCCACAGAACATCCCCATCTCCATTTCCATCCCCACACACACTACTCACAATCACATTACTCACTCCCCTATTCTAATTCTATATTCTATATTGTAATCATTCCTGTTCTGTCTTCTGCTCAGTGTACCGAGTACGGAGGACGGGAGTGCCGAGGATGGAGACGGAGGATGGAGGATGGAGGATGGGAGGTCCTGGTGTAATTACTCAGTTAATTAGTTGATTAGTTAATTACTTTGAAAGCCTGGTTTGAAGTTTTTGTGTATGTATGTGTATATGTTTTTTTTTGTTTTGGGTTGGTATATAATCTTGTTCATTTATGAACTTTGATTTGTTTTATTTTATTTTTATAATAAGATTATTTAATCTTATATATAGATTTTTGTTTGTTTGTTTTATTATAACAAATTATATAAAATTAATTTATAATATATATAAATAATAATTAAATAATATTAAAAATAGAAAAGGTTGTTTCGTATTTTTATTTTTATTAAATAAAAAAAATTAAATTAAATTTAGAAAATGAGATAAATAATAAAAATAATAAAAAAATTATTATAATATTATTTAAATATTAATTTAAAATCATTTTTAAAAGTATTTAATAATTTAAATCAAAATATTAAAAATAAAAAATAAAAATATTTTAAATTTTAATAATATATAAAATATAATAAATTTATTTATTATATATTATTTAAATTTATAACAATTTTTTTTAAAAAAAGATTATATTTTTTTAGATAAAATTAAACATTAAATTATTTGTTTTTAATACTTTTTTATTAAAAATTATATTAATATAAATTCAAAAACTTTTTAAAGAATTTATTTATATAATAATTTTTATATTATATTTTTAGTTTTAAATATTTTTATATAATTTTCAAAAAAATATAAAGAAAAATATTTAATTTAATTTAATCCTTATAAAATTTCAAATTAAATTATTAAAAAATCCTTATAAATAAATACTTACCATTCAAAAAACTAAAAAATCATCAATTTCAACATCATTTATCCCGCTTACCTAATAACCCACCTTATACAATACGCCCATCCAAATCAGAACTTTTAATCTTAATCTTAATCTTATAATAGAATTCCACATATAATTATTTATCTATTCCATCTATACTAACTACATCTATACTTACATATTTACATATTTACATAATCAATCTACCCTTACCAATCAATCAATCTACCTCCAATCAATCAATCAATCGATCTAGTAACCCTAAATAAAGCAACGTAACACAACCCGAACCCCAAAGTAACCCTAAAACAACACAACCCTAAAGCAATACAACACAACTGCAGAAAGCGGAAGCAGAAGCAGAAGCAACGCTAACGCATGCATTCCCTCCCCTTATCCCCTCATTCTCATCCCTTCCCCCATCCCCCCTTTCCCTTTCTCCTTTCTCCCTTTCTTTCCCTCGGTAATCGAAGAGAAATTATTAGTGTGTCGAGGGGAATTTTTTGAAGCTGGAGCAAAAAAAAAAAAGAACTTTCCTCTCGTCTAATCATGAATAGTAATCAACCAAATAAATACACTCCCCGGTTAAATAGTCAATAAGTATTTCAATCTGAAGAATTATTAATGATGGATATAAAAATCTAAGATCATATCACCATGTAACTATTTGATTACAAGTATAGATATATAGATAGGTAGATATAATATATAATTCTAAGGTCGTTAGGTTTTGAAATGAAATAAATATAAAGTATATGTAAATGTTCCTCCGATCCTCCGATCCTCCGATTTTAGTCCTGCACTCCATTACCATTCCTAACACCAACACCAACACCAACCCCATCGCCATCACTATCCCATCACCATCCGATAACCACCCCCATACCATCCCCATACCATCACCATCCCATCACCATCCCATCACCATCCCATCACCATCCCATCACCATCCCATCACCATCTCATCACCATTCACATATACACCTCATACTAACCCTCCCCTCTTAAATGCAACAACAATGCCATATCCAAAGCTACCCCCCAAGTCCCAAACCTCATCAACAAATCCGCCGCACTCCTGAGCAACACTTTCGAAACCGCATTTATTTTCTGTTGATCCATCTTCAAATTTCCTCCTTCAATATTCATATCCAAATCCAATCTTAATCTCTCATCATCCCCTTTCAAATCCTGGAATTCACACTCCAAAAGATTCAAAAATGTACAGTCTTCTCCCTTCGCCCTTAATTCCTTCATCAAAATCTCTTTCATCTTCCTATCTGAAACCCTTGCAAAAGCCCATAGGATAACATGTGTCATCATTAACAATGAAGTTCCATAAACACCTGTCTCTATCATTCCACCCTTAATTGCTTTCGGTATCTCAGTTGTTACTTCTGCGCTTGTCTCAACCTCAAGGCTTTTATTAATTTCCATAATGGCTTCCGCAGCTCTAAGAGCTACACCAATCGCTAATTCCGGATCGTCTCGTGCCCATGATTTAAGATTCTCCAAAGCAGGTGCGATACCTGTCTGTCCCACTTTTCCAATCGAATTTAATAGATCTGTAAATGGGATATGAAGGAAGAGCATAGAGAGATGGTGTTGAACAATAGATATATGATTGAAAATATGAGATGTCGAATGGAGTGTACTCAAATTCCGTGGTAAATAAGTTTGAGAAAAGAGGTTAAGCGAGTCTAGGTTATTATTAGTTTCGTTGTGGATCTTTGGAATTAATACACCAACGTACAGGCTAATTTCTGTCTTCTCACGGCAAAGCTGGATTTGAGGGCCTGAGATGGAGATGGGTTGGGCGTATAATGTGATTTTTCTTGGGTTTCGGGAACATCCTGACGATTTAGGAACTTGGTAGCCAACAAATGTTCTTGAGAGAAGTCAAAGATTTGATGTTGGATTTCAAGAAGGACAAGAAATGCGGTATAAGGGTTAAGATTCGGTAACGACAGGTGTTGGGATTGTGAGAGCTGTTGCTCTTGCGACGAGAAATTCCCCAAGGAGAATGTAGGGGAAGTTGTGGTGGGTGAAAAGAGAAAAGGTCCTATGGCGGCTGCAAACGATGGAGCCTTTGGTATTGTCGCAGACCCAAGAGCGAATTTCCAGTCTTCAGCAGTAGGGGCACACCAAAAGGTTTCGTCGCAGGGACAACTAACATCAACCATTTCACCAATTGTGATTGTTGATGGTTTATTCCAAAGCGCAGGAAATTGACGATCAATTGTGTAGATGAACCAGTAAAGCCTATTCAGAGACTCTTCATGAATCCAGCGTTTCCATTGAACTTGAGTATCTCCCGACGTCTCATCCACGGATGAACGTTGCATCGATGCATTCCACTTCTCACCCTCGTATAGCTGACGCATATGAGAGATAGCATTTCCTCTGTATGCTTCAGCTACGTTGAATGCACGTTTGTTTCCACACCACAATCCCGTGTGGATAAGTAAGGCTTGCGTAAGAATTATCATTGGATTTCGAATCAAACTATTGTCACTTTGAATAGCCTCGAGTAAGTTCCAACCAATAATGTCGATTAGAACAATTGCTAAGCGTCTCCCATTTTTTACGTGACTATAAGTTGCTCCAATAATCATCATAGCAGATAATAATGATGGAGGTAATTGATTGGTATCCACAGTATGATGATGGAGCACGGGTGCTTGGTGGGAGAAATGCTCAAAGTAAAGGCCAATGAGGATATTGACCACGTGAAATGATGGCATTGTAAAAAGAGTTTTTCCGTTATGAGCTTCGTGAATGGGAGACGTTAAAAGATCTCTCATTTTGTGATAAGTCGATTCAGAAATATCATACCTTGGATTGTGATTTTGAAATAAATGATGGCCAGATGGTATATCAATTGGACCAGCTTCCAGCATTGGAAGTGTCGCCGATATAGGATTCCATAAAAGAGGCCAGCTATGCTCTTCCCATGGCAAATTCGGAGGTGAAGAGACCCTTGTGATACTTGCAGGTCGTGGTAACAAGGATTCTGATGTAATATTATTAGATTGATGATACTCCAATCTGGGCTCGCTAGCCATTATTGTCGAACTTAGACCTGGACTTTCCAATTTGATATTACTAAAACTTTGTTGCACTTGATTGGCAAGTGGAAAATTTTGGTTAAAGCTATTTGGAAAAATTCCCCATTGATTCCCAGTCTCAAGCATAGCGGCGTAAAAGTCGTCAGAGAACCCGGTATTTCCAATCTGGTTGTTCTCCGGCTGCAAATAAGAAGCATGATTGAAGGGGACTTGATACGAATATTCCATTATACCAAGAGAGTTCGTAGGAATTTGGTTGTCTAACGCTGCATCTTGGAATGATTCTCGATATTGTTGCGGGAACGAATCGGCTTCATGGTGTAAGAAATTAAATGATGGCACTGGATGCGTTGCACTAATATTGATGTTTAGTTGTTGACTTTCCATAAATGATCTAGGCGCTGCTTCAGGAGATATCCAGTTCGTTTGATTGTTCCCCAAGCTCTGCTGTTCTCGGTTCTCGAGAAAAGACATATTCACCGGGATAGGTTCTTGAAAGGAAGTGGCATAACTTGCCGTTGCCGGTGGGAATGTGGCTTCATTCGATAATGGAGAAAGATGAGCTGATTCCGGTGTAGTCGTAGTTGCCCAGTTGAAGTTCTCGAGATTTTTAGGACTTTCGGCTGGATCTTCCGAAGTTTTCCGCCGTTTTACGGAACCTCTTCGTCCTTCCGACTTGGGTAGCTTATCCCAACGTTCATGGCCAGCTTCATGTCTCTTTAGTAAGTCACTTCTGGTAAAAGTTTTCTCGCAAATTTGACAAATATGAGTCCGAGGAACGTCATCTAGAATACTTTATTAGCGGTCGATCAAATTTTGGACCCCAAGCCAATAGATGAGTGGTCAATCTGATTTATGGCTACTTACGAGTTTTCATGTGACGGCTCAAATTCTCGCGTCTGTTGAATGACTTAGGACATAGACTACAACCAAATGATGAAGCTGGTATGGTTATGCCGGACTTTCGTGGAGCTGAAGCGTCATTGTCCATATTAGCTGCGCGGACTGGAGCTGAATCTGAGTGGAAGTTTGAGTGGACGGCGTGTGTAAAAGAGTGGACTTTATCAGGCATGATGCTCGAGTAGATGGAAGAATATTCAACCCACGACAGCGACCCAATGTATATTTGAATAAAGAGTCGTATATATCAATGATCTCCATATAACAAGCGGCCTAGACCATTACCACGAGAGCGTGGCCGCATTGACCACCAAATAAAAGCCGTAAAAGCCTGTGAACGTTGAAGGCTTGAAGCGCACGTCTGCACGTCCGATAAACGATTTTCCACCTTATGAGACAAATGATGCGTGAGAAGTTGAGAAGCCCACGGTAACCTTCCAATTATAGCTTCGCTCGCTATCGTACATGAAAGTAAGTTACCCATGCGAGTGATCTAAGCATTCAGAAACTCTGTTTCCGTCCTGCCCCTCATGCCCAGCAATCACTGGTCGATCAGTAATGGCACTGACTTTATGACTTCCCCTATACCGTTGCCCCGGGAAGTAGGATGTGTGTGTTCCGAAATCCCCGCGATCCTTGGAAGCAGCAGAATAACCAAAAATCACCAAAATAATCAACTTGAAGAATCAGCAAAATCATGAAACAAAACGGCATTCAGGCCATCCAATGTGTCTTTTGTCAATCTGCAGAAATTTTTAAGACTCCCCTTGCCTAAAGGACATGTAACTTGCGAGTGCGGCGGCAAGTAAACCTTCCCGCAAGCAAAAGCCCGGTAAAGATACCACATGGTAATTGCCTCCAACCTTATTAGATTGCCGTGTCAAAATGTACCCACTTTTCCGGGCTTGCAAGCCTAATTGCACTTGGTACTGATTATTCTGTCTCTTATGTTCTGTCCCTTCTATAACCTTCACGCCTTAGTGTGAATTCCTCCCCCCTACACGCCCTTGATTCCGCCAGTCCGTCATATGCGTGACAGCAAACATGCATTTAAAATATGCCGTGCAGATCCACATTGCCCTTTCTTCTCTTTCCGAATCCCCCTTGTATGTATTGTTCGTCTGATGTCTGGGCTGCAAGATCTCAGGTAATCAAGTCTCATATTTCGCGCAATTCAAAATCCCATCGCATCGCAGATTGTACGAGAAGATGGCCTGGCTTGAACGGTGATGTGAAGGAGGGAAGGGTTCGCTGCGATCGTGTGATTGTAGGTGCTTTCGGCATTTATGTGGATCTGCCGGTGGTCTATTAAGGTTCAACGTTATTCGACCTCGCCCTGTTTATCTGTCATGGCATTATGCTTGACCTGAGCCCCAAGAATCGGCGGTTGCCCAACAACGTGGTTGCTAAGATGGTGAGATTGGGGAGATGCTCCGCGGGCAGCTGCCCTTTCTCTTCCACGACGAACCTCGAACATCGAACATTGAACAAACGTGCAAGGGGGTAAATGGCATGGTTGAAGAAAGAGGAAGCCATAGTCTGCAAGTAGGTTTGAGTCTATTTTTTACCTGTCAAAGTTTTGAATAAATCAACGAACTGCTGCTCAATGTATATTTGACACGGTTGTTTTATCTTAAGAAAAGCTTCACAGCTTGAACTGGTTTGTATAATTTTAGACTCGGGAGACTCTCGAGAGACTCTAGTCTCGAGAGTCTCTAGAGACTTCCAGAGAATCAAAATCCTTGGGCGCATTTTCTTGGCATCTCTGACATAGCCCCTTAATAGGTTTAGGGAATACGTAGGTTATTCCCTAAGCACCTAGTAGGGTGAGCTAAGTATAGATATCGGCTACCGTAATCAGCGTGCTACTAGTGCTACGGTACTCCGTACTCCGTTCCTTCCCCATCTACCCTGATCCCATCCATCGATTTCTTTATTTGTGATTTATTATTCATGCTAGCCTCGTCTCCTCAAAATCATGTGTCAAAGAGTCCAGCAGGATTAGAGGATTATTAATAAGCCTTATGCACAAACTCTTCATCATCACTAACGAAATCTCCTATTCTTTGTAAGATTACGGGGGACAATTAACCTGATCAATGACGATATTTCTCGACCTCACGTAAAATGTAGACAGGTTGCATAGACTCCCTATTCCCTAGCAAGGTTACGTCTTTATGTATTTATGTATTTATGTATTTTTAGTCTGCCAAGACAGGTGACAATTGTTGCGAATAGAATGTCACCTTCTATTTCCAGAGATGTAGTATCTTAGGCAATCTTAAGCTTAGGGTGATGGATGGTGGATGGTGGATGGGGGATGGCGGATGGTGGTTGTGGGTGGTGGATGTATGAGATGGTCTTTAGGAGACGCTCGTTAGGAGACGCTCGATCTCCTTGATTGATCTTCCACCAATCTAATCGACGGGAGAATCTTTGAGAAAGCTTCAATCTCCTGAATTTGACTTCAGGCAATCTTAGTCTGTGAGGGTCCTGGTGGTCTTTAGGAAAAGCCTCGGTCTCCTTAGTTCTAATGGGCTAATGGGCTAATGGGTCTTCCAGTAATCTTTCTATGAGAGACCTTGTTTCACTGAATTTTCGGAGAGGACCTCAATTTCCAACATTAAACTTCGAGCAATTTAAGGTATAAGAGAGAGGGTCTTTGGGAGAACCTCGTCTCCTTGGTTGGGCTTCAAGCATAGCTCTTCTCGTCATCGGTGTACGTCGTCCTCTGGCCTAGCTGAGATGTTACTAGCCCGAATGATAGATATGGCCTGGGCTTCGAAGGTTGTACTCCGATGAATCTCCTCGTCATGTATCGGCGCATATGAGCAACCTCCAGTACAACATACACGGTATATCTTCGATGGATGCTCAGCCATATAGCTATATTCCCATCTTCTGCACATAATTGATGCGCTTGTTGCGCCTGTCGGGATATGCCAGTTACAAGTTTCAACACAACAAGGTTGCCCTAAGATTGGTGCTTCTACCAATGGTAAAATCAAAGGTTAAATTGGTGAGGAGGACACTTGAGGATATTTCAAGGGATGCAAGGAATGTCATTTTGGAATGCTTTATCTCTAGATCTCTAGTGTTCGTAAAGCAAGATCTGCTAGGAACAGGCACGGTATGCTCCGTTGGATAATTGGATAATTCTCTCACAGGCCAATTCGAGGTTCGTTTGCTTTCTATAAGACTTACGTCTTGCAACGCAGTATCAATATTCTTGAGGCGTCAATTACCACGAGTCAACACAAGGCTGACAATTTTGAGTTCATTCTTTTTTTTTTTTTTTTTTTTTTTTTTGGTTTTTTTTTTTTTTTTGGTTTTTTTCCCTTTTTTTCTTTTTTTTCTTCTGCCTGGAGTGAAAGTTCACGTTGGAGGGGTTCAACTTCAACCACCTTATGTAGTAGAAATCACTCTTCCAAACTTTGACCATCAACAACCTCAACATTGAAGGACTTCTTAGGTAATTAGTCATCATTCTCACTTCCAATTCCAAACCACGACAACCTTTCTAAATGGTCAAGCTTCTCAAAACTTCTCTTCTCTTCTCTTTTTCTTTCTTCACTTCAGTCTCTTGTGTCTTGATCTCACAATACGACGGTGATGGTGTCTCGCAATCATCCTGATTGTTTATCAAACGCCGCCTTCACTTTGGTCTGATTGCTCTACAAATTCTATCACGCACCTAAACCCATTGATGGGGTTTTTGTGATAATACTTAATTCTCTTTTTGTCTCCTCATCTCATCTACTTTCTCCTTCTTTCTCGTTCTCACGATCTCTATCCTGGAATCTTATTTCACCTTTTATGGCTTGACAGTCTCATGCTTTTTTTCATCAATTTGGCCTTTCTTCAACCCAGCGACTTTTCGGAGGTTCAAGATTCAGCCGGTCTTGTTCATCGAATTTTATTCAAGTACTGTAATTCATATCCAGATCATTCAAGGAATTCCTGGTCATTAAAATCAAGCTCACAAGTGATTGTCGCTTTTCAAGAACAAGTTAGTCTATTAATCCCACTACAGAAGTATGGTAAAGGCTAACAAACAAGCAAGTTCCTACGCGTCAGATATACCAATCGAATACCCTTCCATTCAAAGTCACAATGAACTTTGCATGCTGGACTTGTGATGAGACCTTTAGATCCAAGCGGGAGATGATTAGGCATTGCCAACAATATGGACATAATCGGGCCTGGATCTGCGAACATTGCTACAAGCCATTTGGCAGCGCGCGCTCCCGAGAACAGCATACAGAAGACAAACACAAGTTCTGGTGTGTTCCATGTCAAGAAATCTTCAGTACCGAGGATGAGCTTGATCTCCATGACATTACCCAGCACTATTTTACATGTGAATTTGGCTGTGACAGACACTTCACTTCTGTCCAAGCCCGGGATCAACATAATAACGACGTGCACAACTACCGCTGCTACGACTGCGATCAGAGTTTCAGGTCTAAGCAAGCTTTTGAACAACATGAGGCTGCTTGCCACGACTTCAAATGCGAACCCTGTGATAGAGAATTCAGATCGGAGTCTGCATTGGAACAACACGTCAATTCTTCGGCTCATCCATACCGCTGCTCAAAGTGTAACAAATCATTCCCATTCAATATCGATCTTCAGCAGCACATTGCAGCTGATCATAGTTGGAAATGTGATCTGTGCCATCTCACTTTTGATGGCCCAAATCATCTTAATCTACACAAAAAGTCGGAACATCAAGCCATCAGGTGTTTCAACTGCCCTGCCAAGTTCGATCAGTTCGCCGATTTTGAATTACATAAAGCGCAGCAGCATTCTTTTCAATGCAAATACTGTGCCGCTTTGCCATTCGAAACCTTTCCCCTCCTCGAGCAACATGAAGCGTCTTCTCACGACTCCAAATGTACCGCATGTCTAAAAAGATTTTCGTCTGAGGCTTTTCGAAACAAGCATTTTGAAGGAGTACACGTCCATATATGCAAATTATGTGGTAGTAAATTCAACGATTTGGCTCGTTTGAATGATCATCGCCTCTCTCACCATGTCGCATGTTCATTCTGCAAGGAAATATTTGAAAATATTGCTGCGTGCGAACTGCACTACACAAAGGCACATAAACTCTATTGCCCGAAGTGCCCAAAGACGTTTAACAATGTGGATGAGGTACTACAACATGCTCCTGAACATATGAAACCGATAGTACCAACGGACGCCGGACCTTTGGAACAGACGGATTCTGAGAAAACTGCGTTGGATCACCACAAACTCAAATATGGCCAGAACACCTGTAAGCGATGTGGTGGTATGTTTCTTAAGCGACTCGACTTACAGAATCATTTGGAAAATGATCATGGCCTTCAGCTAAAGTGCTCGAAGCCGGATTGTGATCACATTTCTACAAGCTCTGACGCATGTACACTTCATTTCCTCTGCTGCAGTATGGTAAAATGTGAAAAGTGCGAAGGATACTTTGACAAAGATAAGGATCCTGAACTCAAAGCACATATAGCTAATGTTCATACTCCCAAACCAATTTTCGGCTGCGTTCAATGTACTCGAACATTCGAATCGTCAGATGCTGTTGCACAACACTATTCAGCTGAGCATGCATTCATATGTGAAGCTTGTCCTGGAACTTTCTTCATCAACCCCGCTACTCGAGAGAAACATTTTGCTATTTGTGGCAATTCCTCAGAGACGTCAGATTCTGGTGAAAGTTTTCAAACATCACGAACTGAATTTTCACCATTCATGCAAAGAAACGCAATACCACTCGTGTCCACCAAAGCATCTCTACCTCCAACTCAACCACTTGTTCGAATCCACAAAGAGTTTAATATCTCAAGAATGAATGCTATAGAAAGACTCGCCCAAAAAATCCTCGATGAGGCAATCGCATATCAGAAACCCACATATCAATGTTCAAAGTGCGATGTACCGCTTTTGGAATTCGAAGACGACGAATTGTGAAATTTTACTATTTCGAGGACTTCCATAACTGATGTCATGAGTAGGATTTGTGTTTCGAAAAGGACTGTTCTTCTATCACGTTAAGTGTACCGCGTAAAGTTAATGAGTCCTCGGTATAATCCAATTGATCGGGCTCTGAACTAGTGCTCGGATCAATGGGTAATTGTTGTTTATGTAAGTTTAAGTGTGAAGTCAGAACGGGAAAATCTAGGGAGATGTGATATCTCAGACGGGCTGGGAGGCTATGATATATGTATGGTATAATGAGCGGCGTTCATATCAAGGATTTGTTACAATGATGATATTTCCAGATTTGATAATGACACAGGCTGGTATGGCGTGAAGCAAGCGATTTATTCGCTCATGATAGGTCTAGTACTCTTAATTCGGATCACTCTTTTATATCAAAAATCACTATTTTTATTAATTAATTATTCTATTATTAAAATATAAAATATAAGATATAAAATTAAGATATAAAATATAAAATATAAGATATAAAATTAAGATATAAAATATAAGATATAAGATATAAGATATATGTTACGACGGCTATCTTCTACGCCGCATCACATGACTAAACCAAGGTAACGTGATTAAGTCACGTTATGGACCGCTGAGGAACGCTGGCTGTCCAGGACCGCGCAGCGGTCCTGACTAGCCATAGGCATGAAGGTCTATATAATCAAGATGGATTTCCTTTGTATAGAGCTTTATGCTCAAGATCAAGATCAATCATTTAGTATACTCTACTATTAGTTACGAATTGCATATCATTATTGTCATTACTTTAAGTCGCTGCTTGACGCCTAGTTATAAACCACCTCGAGCAGCCTTGCACTCGGCTTCCACGTGATCTAGACGGCAAACCTC